ACACACCTGTATAGCGCACACCCCTGTATAGCACACACACCTGTATAGCACACACCTGTATAGCGCACACCTGTATAGCACACACACCTGTATAGCACACCCCTGTATAGCACACACCTGTATAGCACACACACCTGTATAGCACAAATACCTGTATAGCACACACACCTGTATAGCACACACCTGTAGTACACACCTGTATAGTTCACACACCTGAATAGCACACACCTGTATAGCGCACACACCTGTATAGCGCACACACCTGTATAGCGCACACCCCTGTATAGCACACACCTGTATAGCACACACCTGCATAGCACACACACCTGTATAGTACACACACCAGTATAGCGCAGACACCTGTATAGCGCACACACCTGTATAGCACACACACCAGTATAGCGCACACACCTGTATAGCGCACACACCTGTATAGCGCACACCCCTGTATAGCACACACCTGTATAGCACACACACCTGTATAGTACACACACCAGTATAGCGCACACACCTGTATAGCGCACACACCTGTATAGCACACACACCAGTATAGCGCACACACCTGTATAGCGCACACACCTGTATAGCGCACACCCCTGTATAGCACACACCTGTATAGCACACACCTGTATAGCACACACACCTGTATAGTGCACACACCAGTATAGCGCACACACCTGTATAGCGCACACACCTGTATAGCGCACACCCCTGTATAGCACACACACCTGTATAGCACACACACCTGTATAGCACACACACCTGGATAGCACACACACCTGTATAGCACACACCTGTACAGCACACACACCTGTATAGCACACACACACCTGGATAGCGCGCACACCTGTATAGCGCACACCACTGTATAGCACACACCCCTGTATAGCACACACCCCTGTATAGCACACACACCTGTATAGCACACACCTGTATAGCACACACCTGTATAGTACACACACCTGTGTACCACACACACCTGTATAGCGCACACACCTGTATAGCGCACACCCCTGTATAGCACACACACCTGTATAGCACACACACCTGTATAGCACACACACCTGTATAGCACACACCCCTGTGTAGCACACACACCTGTATAGCACTCACCCCTGTGAAGCACACACACCTGTGTACCACACACACCTGTATAGCGCACACACCTGTATAGCGCACACACCTGTATAGCACACACACCTGTATAGTATACACACCTGTGTAGCACACACACCTGGATAGCACACACACCTGTATAGCACACACCTGTACAGCACACACACCTGTACAGCACACACACCTGTATAGCACACACACCTGGATAGCGCGCACACCTGTATAGCGCACACCACTGTATAGCACACACCCCTGTATAGCACACACCCCTGTATAGCACACACCTGTATAGCACACACCCCTGTATAGCACACACCTGTATAGCACACACCTGTATAGTACACACACCTGTGTACCACACACACCTGTATAGCGCACACACCTGTATAGCGCACACACCTGTATAGCGCACACCCCTGTATAGCACACACACCTGTATAGCACACACACCTGTATAGCACACACACCTGTATAGCACACACCCCTGTGTAGCACACACACCTGTATAGCACTCACCCCTGTTAAGCACACACACCTGTGTACCACACACACCTGTATAGCGCACACACCTGTATAGCACACACACCTGTATAGTATACACACCTGTGTAGCACACACACCTGTATAGTATACACACCTGTATAGCACACACCTGTATAGCACACACACCTGTATAGCACACACGGTCGCACGCCCACGCACCCTCACACCTCTATCCACGCACTCCGTAAACCAACTCTTATTGATCACACACGCACAAGACAAAGATTCCCCATGTAGCCTTAACAGACTTTTGGGGCAAGTGTTGTGAGCGAGCGCCTATGAGGGGGTTGGTGGCCAGCATCACGCCCGACCACCTTTGTCTCCCTAGCGGCGATATTTAACACACTGCACCAGGTACTCATTTCAGGCTGAGTCGAACTCGGGGAGGCTCAGGACCGGTTCAGATAATCGTCACTGGTGTTGGCCTCGAGCAGGAATCGAACCCGGGTGGCACGCGAACCGCGACACGACCGCTCCCCACCCCTACACCCACTCGCACGTGTCCACAAAAACAACTACCGCCAATCGCCACTAAGTGTTGGTGACATCACCACGCTTGCTTGTGCCAGGCTAGGTTCACTTTGAGGGTCCAATACCAACACCTGCCATTCGCCACTCAGTGACGGTGACGTCACCACGGCGTCTGTGCCAGGCCAGGTGCACTTTGAGGCCACGTGAAGTGTCGAAGGCTCGCTGGCAGGTCTCAGGACAGACCCAGGTGCCATGGGTTGGCTGACTGAGATGACTGGTAATTGCATCAGCTGTACCCCCTACTGTGCGCACTTGCTGCATTTTATTAGCCCCAGTGCTCCGATTGTTGTTGGAGCGTCGCTCCTCCGCCCTCCGTTGTTGTTGGAGGGCGACTGCCTCCAACTGCCCAGTAGCGTCCTTCACGAGCCTCCTCCACAGAGGCCGATCTTGACACTGCTGGTACCAGTCGTCGGCAAGTCCACTCAGCTACACACCCTCCCGTACCGCATCAGCCCATGTCTTCTCCAGCCCATGTCGTGTCCGTTTGGCCATCTCTATGCGGCCAAACAGAAGCTGCGTGGGCATTCGGTGGCTGGGCATGCGGACTACATGACCCTGCCAACGCTGATGGGAATTTCTCAAGATATATCAAAAGATTTGTGAGCTCCTCACACAATCCAGCCTGGTTAAACCCAGCATGGATCGCAGGCATGGCAGCCTGAATGTTTCTAACTGGCGCAGATGTTCCATGAGAGAGGTTCACGTTTCGCAAGCGTAGAGAAGGGAGGGCATTCTAGATTTGAAGCATGACTGTGGCCCAGAACACCCGAAGCTTAGCGCGGAGCGACAGACCAGGTAGCTTCCACACAGCATTGAGAAGCCGATGAAAAAATGCCGCCCGACTGATTCGGAGTGAGGCATCTGTTGTCAAACCGGAGCTGGTCATACGCACACTGCCCAGGTATTAGAAACTCTCCACTCTCTCCACAATTACTCCAACACCAAAGGGGGGGGGGGGGTGTTTGGTGGAACAAAATACCCAGGCAGGTGCTTAGTTTTGGTGGGGCTGATGGTAAGACCCCACCTCTTAGTGGCACACTCCAGCCAGGTTCGGCAGCAGCGCCTCCAACTCCTCCTGAGTGAGCAGCAATCACAGATCATCGGCCAATAGGGAGCCATCCCTCGACCGCACGCGGGTATCGATCAGCCTCCCATTGTATCAACACCAGATGTGATATGTCAATTCCTCCCACACACATCCAAAGCACACACACCACGTGGACCCCTCTCCACGCGGTCCCGCCCCCTCCTCGGGCCCCTCCCTCGCGCAGGGAGAGCCACGGGGCCCTCCCGCGGGGTTTCGCGACTCGGCAGAGCTCGCTCGGGGCCTCGCTCGGGTTCCCTCGGGTTCCCTGGGGGCCTCGCTCGGGTTCCCTCGGGTTCCCTGGGGGCCTCGCTCGGGTTCCCTGGGGGCCTCGCTCGGGTTCCCTGGGGGCCTCCCCGAGCAGCGGGGACATGCGGGGGGTAGAGGCGACGCGGGGTAGAGGCGACGCGGGCCCGGGGTAAGAGGCGACGCTGGGACTGGCGGGGACCCCGCGCGGGCTAGGGGGACGATACACAGTGGGGCAGGTGAGGGAGCGCGGGCTGTGAGGTTGTGGTCAAGTTTGGTGTGTGTGGTTGTGTGTGGTAAGGTTTGGTGTGGTGTGTGTGGTTGTGGTAAGGTTTGGTGTGGTGTGTGTGGTTGTGGTAAGGTTTGATGCGTGTGGTTGTAAGTTTGTGTGTGGTTTTGGTGGTTCTGTGGTAAGGTTTAGTGCGTGTGGTTGTAAGTTTGTGCGTGGTTTTGGTGGTTCTGTGGTAAGGTTTAGTGCGTGTGGTTGTAGGTTTGTGTGTGGTTTGGTGGTTCTGTGGTAAGGTTTAGTGCGTGTGGTTGTAAGTTTGTGTGTGGATTGGTGGTTCTGTGGTAAGGTTTAGTGCGTGTGGTTGTAAGTTTGTGTGTGGTTTGGTGGTTCTGTGGTAAGGTTTAGTGCGTGTGGTTGTAAGTTTGTGTGTGGTTCTGCGATTGTAAAGTTTCGTGGTTGTCGCGACAGGATGCGTGTAGGGGAGCGGTGGTGCAGCGGTTAGAGCGCTGCTCGGCGCGAGTTCGATTCCCGATCGCGACCACCACCGCAGGTGACGATTATCTTAACCGGTCCTGGGCCACCCCTAAGTCTACTCAGCCTCAAATGAGTACCTGGTGTATAAACATCGCCACTAGGGAGACAAAGGCGGCAGAGCGTGCTGGTGACTCACCCCTCGTGTGCCATGCCGGCCTTCATAGGTGCTCGCTAACAGCACTTGCCCCAACAGTCTGTTTTGTCTATACTGTACGGGGGATCTTTTTGTCTTGTTGTTGTGGTTGGGTGCGTGAGGAGGGCGCCTGGGTTGGGGTGCTTGGTGTGGCGTGCATTGTGTCGGGGTGCGGGTGTGTACATTGGGTGGGGTGTATAACGGTGTGCTGTGTACATATTGTGCGGGGTTTGTGTGTTCTGTGCACGTTTAGCATGTGGTGTTTCTAGGTGTTGGTGCTGTGTAGTCTACGTGGTGAGTGGCAGTGTATAGGCGTGCGTGAAATGCATGGGTTTATGGTGTAGGATGAACGTCGTGAATGAGGTGGTGGAGTGTGGTGCGATGCGTGGTGTTTGAGGGTGTGAGTGTATGGGTTTGTAGGGGGATGCACACGCTGTGCGTGGGGTGCGTGTGTGGTGCGTGCGGTGTGGAGCAGCGGCGGCGGCGGCACGCCGTCCCTAACGCCCCTCTCCCCGTGCCTCCCTCCCTGCAGGACCCCCTCGCCCCTCGCTCACAGCTCCTGCCGTTTTATTCTCGTCGCCTAGCAACCGTCTCCCCGGACAACCGCTCCACTCCGCGGGGCCATCCTCCTCCATCCGCCTCTCCTTCGCCTCCTCCTCCCTCTCTCCCGGGCGCCGCCCGCGGCCCAGGGAGCCCCGGCGGCAGCATGGGCAGCCAGCCCAGCTCGCTGCGCAAAGACGGCAAGGAGGGCCGGGAGGGCAAGGCCGTGGGAAAAACCAAAACCAAGAAGCGCAAGGAGAAGGCCGTCCCCCAGGCGAGCGCCGCGGACGACCGTCACCGCCGCTCGCTGGACGCGAAGCCCCCCGGCGGGGGGCCGGCGTGGTCGGGCGACGTCTCGGAGCGCCGCCACTCGGAGGTCGTCTCGGAGCGCCGGTTCGCGGAGGGCGGCGGGCGGCCGTCTCCGCGGGGGGGCGGCGGCGGCGGCGGCCCGGCCGGGCGCGGGCGCGGAGAGCGTGCGCATCACGCGGCACGAGGACGAGAGCTTTGGCCTGGACGTGGAGGTGAAGTCGTCGCGGCCCGTGCGGGTCCTCGTCGTGAACCTCCACCTGGGGGGGGTGGCCGAGCGCGTGAGTCGCCCGGCTCTCGCTCGCTCATTCACTTCCTCGCTCGGTCGCTCGGTCGCATGCTGTCTGTGCTGCTCCCTCTCTCTTGCTCGATACAATCGCTTGCTCACGCGTTCACTCACTCTCTCACACGCACACACTCACCGTCTCACACACCCTCTCACTCGGTCCCACCGCCATTCAATCCACTCGCTCACTGGCACGCACTCTTTGCACATCCCTCCCACTCGCATACGCAAAGACAAAGCTTTTACCAGACTGTAGGAGTGCTGTTAGGGAGTGTGTAACAGCTATGACTTGCGGCACAGCACGCGAGGGGGTGGGTGGCCAGCACCACACACCATAGCAGGTATTTATTTCAGGCCGAACTGACCTAGGGGAGGCCCAGGACCGGTTCAGAAATTCGCCATGGTTATTGGTTGTGAGCAGGAATCAAACTCTGGTCGCCGGGTTCTAGCGCAGTGCGATAATTACCGTGCCTCCTCACAGCGTCCGGCCTCCTCTCCCCCTCCCTTTGTCTCCTTCATGCTCCTAATCCCTCACTGTCTGCGACACGGACTGTTCGCCCCCACCACCACTCCCTGCACCCGCCGTCTCCTCCTGTCGGTGGGGGGAGCAGGGGGAGCTGGGTGGGAGCAGGGGGAGCTGGGTGGGAGCAGGGGGAGCTGGGTGGGAGCAGGGGGAGCTGGGTGGGAGCACGGGGAGCTGGGTGGGAGCAGGGGGAGATGGGTGGGAGCAGGGGGAGCTGGGTGGGAGCAGGGGGAGCTGGGTGGGAGCACGGGGAGCTGGGTGGGAGCAGGGGGAGCTGGGTGGGAGCAGGGGGAGCGGGGTGGGAGCAGGGGGAGCTGGGTGGGAGCAGGGGGAGCTGGGTGGGAGCAGGGGGAGCTGGGTGGGAGCAGGGGGAGCTGGGTGGGAGCAGGGGGAGCTGGGTAGGAGCACGGGGAGCTGGGTGGGAGCAGGGGGAGCTGGGTGGGAGCAGGGGGAGCTGGGTGGGAGCAGGGGGAGCTGGGTGGGAGCAGGGGGAGCTGGGTGGGAGCAGGGGGAGCTGGGTGGGAGCAAGGGGAGCTGGAGGGAGTGAATGCCAGATTATTTGAAGGAGTATAATTTATGCAAATAATAATATGTGCATTGTGTCACTTGACACCCCCCTGGACACCCCTGCAAACGAGACGTTCCACACTCATGTAGTTGTGACAGCTGCTTTGCATTACCCGGGCAAGGGAGCTCTGTTCATACATCCTGACAAGATCCAGGTGGAAGCCAGGAGGAAGAGAGGTGGAAGCAAGGAGGAAGTAATGAGAGAGCCAGGTGAAGGTCAGGAGGGAGCCAGGTGAAGGTCAGGAGGGAGCCAGGTGAAGGTCAGGAGGGAGCCAGGTGAAGGTCAGGAGGGAGCCAGGTGAAGGTCAGGAGGGAGCCAGGTGGAGGTCAGGAGGGAGCCAGGTGGAGGTCAGGAGGGAGCCAGGTGAAGGTCAGGAGGGAGCCAGGTGAAGGTCAGGAGGGAGCCAGGTGAAGGTCAGGAGGGAGCCAGGTGGAGGTCAGGAGGGAGCCAGGTGAAAGCCAAGAGGAATCTTCGAGGGCGCTGAGTGGGAGTAAGGAGAGTCAGGTGAGAGCATGGGTTAGAGTAATTTGCTGGGTTCTCAACTCTGGAATTACAACAAAACTGGGGCGTATCATGGGAAGAAGAGCAATATCTGACAATAGCAGAAGAGGTGGGAATGAGCAGTGAACGTGCTCTGAGCGATGTGTCGTCGTTGTTGTTACGCCGACAGCTACGTCGTTATTCAACAAGAGGACGATCCTGGGAAAACCAGGACAGGTGAAATCTCTAGCCTGGTGGAAGCCGGGTGGGAGAAGCCGGCTAGGAGCCGTGCCGACCGGTTGCCCCCCCCCCCCGCCGGACCGGTTGAGCGAGGTCCCCGGTGCCAGCGTGAGGCCCACGGAAGCGAGGAGGCGGCGTCCTCATGCGGGGTCACTGAGGCCCACGTGGCCTGCCACCACCACCGCCACCACCAATACAGCAGCCACCGCCACCATCATCATCATCACCACCAAAGACAAAGATCCCCCGTATAGCCTCAATAGACTGTTGGGGCAAGTGCTGTTAGCAAGCACCTATGAAGACCAACACTGCACAAGAGGGGGTGGGTGGCCAGCACCACGCCCGGCCGCCTTTGTCTCCCCAGTGGCGATGTTTACACACCGCACCAGGTACTCATTTTAGGCTGAGTCGACCTAGGGGAGGCCCAGGACCAGTTCAAATAATCGTCACCCAGTGTTGGCCGTGAGCGGGAATCGAACTCGGGACGCCAGGTTCGTAGCGCAGCGTAGCGCTAACCGCTACACCACCACTCCACATCACCACCGCCACCACCACCACCACATACAGGCAGCCAGACAGGTGTAGCCTAGGGCTTATCACGAGGGTCAGAAGGTTTGGCAAATAGTTTGCAGGTCAACGCGCAAGGTCAGAGCTGGGTCACCAACCACATTCCCAATGCTGAGAAACAATCTACTGCTAATCACTCATTAGGGTTCTCATAGCAGCAGCAGCAACCGCAACTTTTCCGCCTCGCACTGCAAACACTTGACAGGACCCTCCTGAAAAGGTATCTTGAGACTCTACGTTCTCACCACTCACCGGCTCCCTCTGCTGCGATCATTCCCAACGCATTACTGTTTCTCCTGCCATAGCGAGAGGTATCCTGGACGTGGTGTGTTGGGTGTAGAAATATTTTCCGGGTCACTGGCAGCCACAGAGAGGGTTATACTGGATGCGGTGTGCCGGGGTGGGATTAATCCCTACCCTCGGTTATGTGTGGCCGCTGGTCGCCGTGGCGACGCGGTCCTCGCAGGAGGTGGGCGGGCGGCTGCTGCCAGGAGACGAGATCGTGGTGGCAAACGGCATCGCCGTTGAGACGCTCTCGTACCAGGAGGCGCGGCAGCACCTGGCACACCTGGCGCACTCCACCACGCTGGTGCTGACCAAGCGCACGCCCAGCGCCACCACCACCGCCCCTCTGCGGCCCTCCAGCGCGCCAGGTGAGGTTCACCTGCAGCTCACCGGTAGAGCAGCTCCCTTGTATAGCTCCCCAGCTTAGCGGGTCACTGCCCCAGCAGCTCACTGACACAACATCTCATTTACACAGCAGCTCCCTGACACAACAGCTCACTGACACAGCAGATCACTGACACAGCAGCTCACTGACGCACCATCTCATTTACACAGCAGCTCCCTGACACAACAGCTCACTGACACAGCAGATCACTAACACAGCAGCTCACTGACACACCATCTCATTGACACAGAAGCTCACTGACACAATAGCTCACTGACACATCAGCGCACTGAAACAGCAGCTCACTGACACAGCAGCCCACTGACACAGCAGCTCACTGACACACCATCTCATTGACACAGAAGCTCACTGACACAATAGCTCACTGACACATCAGCTCACTGAAACAGCAGCTCACTGACACAGCAGCCCACTGACACAGCAGCTGACATGTAACGTTGCTTTGGCCGTGACGCGAGTTTCACCCGCGTTGTCTCTCGCACGAGGAGTTGGAGGCGTGCGGAGACCGGCGCCGCCCGTGCCGGTGGCCGCCGGCTCCACCGGCCGCAGCGCGGGAGACTCGCCGGACGCGGGACCGCGAGCGCACAATGGCGCCAGCGCCGGCAGCGCCGGCAGCGCCGGCAGCGTGGGCAGCGTGGGCAGCGCGAGCAGCGCGAGCAGCGACCCAGCGTCGGAGCGCGCCGCCCCGCACGGTTCCTGGGCGCTGGCGCGCCGATCTCCCGCCGGCACCACGACCACCGGCAGCAGCGGCAGGAGCATCGGCAGCGACGGCGAAAGCGACGGCAACGACGTCGCCGCAGAGAGGGGTGCGTCACCTAGGAGAGGGGGAGCGGCGAGGCCGGTGGCGGCCGAGGGAGCGCCGCCGGGGGTGGCGCCGGTGCCCCCCGGGGGGAGCGGTGCCGGCGGCCGGCGGGGCTCGGGGTCTTCCGACCCGACCTCCGACTCGGAGGGGGAGTCGCTCGCGTCTGGACGATCGGGACGGGAACGTTCGGAACGGGGAGAGGAGGAGGAACGGGGACGCGGCGTGAGGGGGGAAAGCCCGAAGGGCGCGCACGTGGGCCCGGCTCGACCACGGCGAGAGAGGGAACGCCGGGAAGAGGAAAGCTCAAACAGCGAAGAGGAACGTTTGGAAGAGGAATGCGTGGAGAGGGAATGTTTAACGTTGGAACGTTTAGAAAAGGAGCGTTTGCAGCGGGAAAGCTTGAAAGAGGAACAGAAGCGTTTGGAAGGGGAACATTTGGAGAGGGATGAGGAGGAACAGGGGCGCGTGGGGAGCGGGGAATGCCCAGAGGGTACGCAAGTGGGCCCGGCTCATCCACAACGAGAGAGGGAACACCGGGAAGAGGAGAGCTCGGACAGTGAAGAGGAATGCGTGGAGAGGGAATGTTTAACGTGGGAACGTTTAGAAAAGGAGCGTTTACAGAGGGAAAGCTTGAAAGAGGAACAGAAGCGTTTGGAAAGGGAACGTTTGGAGAGGGATCATTTGGAGAGGGACCGTTTGCAGAGGGAACGTTTGGAACAAGAGCGCTTGAATAAAGAGGAGGAACGTTTGAACCAAGAACGCATGGAACAAGAACGTTTGGAGAGGGAACGCTTAGAAGAGGAACAAGAACGTTTGGAATGGGAGCGCTTAGAAGAGGAACGTTTGGAGCAGGAACGCTTCGAGGAAGAGGCACGTTTGGAGAGGGAACGCTTTGAAGAACAACGTTTGATCAGAGAACATTTGGACAAGGAACGTTTGAAACAAGAACGTTTGGAGAGGGAACGCTTCGAGGAAGAGGAACGTGTGGAGAGGGAGTGCTTGGAATTGGAACGTTTGGAGAAGGAACGCTTCGAGGAAGAGGAACGTGTGGAGAGGGAGCGTTTGGAATGGGAACGCTTAGAGGAAGAGGAACGTGTGGAGATGGAGTGTTTAGAGGAAGAGGAACGTGTGGAGAGGGAACGTGTGGAGAGGGAACGCTTAGAGGAAGAGGAGCGTGTGGAGAGGGAACGCTTAGAGGAAGAGGAACGTGTGGAGAGGGAACGCTTAGAGGAAGAGGAACGTGTGGAGAGGGAACGCTTAGAGGAAGAGGAACGTGTGGAGAGGGAACGCTTAGAGGAAGAGGAACGTGTGGAGAGGGAGCGTTTAGAGGAAGAGGAACGTGTGGAGAGGGAGCGTTTAGAGGAAGAGGAACGTGTGGAGAGGGAGCGTGTGGAGAGGGAACGTGTCGAGAGGGAACGTTTAGAGGAAGAGGAACGTTTGGAGCTGGAACGCTTATTAAAAGGGAGGGATCGCAGCTCGGGGTCTGATTTCAGTTGCAGGGAGGCTGGACCGAGATCTTCAAAATCCGAACCGGACGAGTTCAGCGACTCAGACTCGGATTCGGACCACGGGCGCCCGCCGGTGGGCCCAGCAGCCCCCGGGCAGCCGGGACCGCGGGATGGGCCGGCGGTAGCGGCCATGTATGCCAACGCCGTGGACAGCACCGAGAGCAGCGACGACGGCGACGACGACGGCGACGACGGCGACGATGACGAGCTGGAGCTTTGCTGCCCTGTGGCGGCGCCCGTGTCGGGGTCGAGCGCGGCCGCTGGGCCCGGCTCTCCCCCGACACCCGCACGGCTCCACCTAATGCTCTCACCCCGCCTCTCCTCCTCCTCCTCCACCTCCTCCACCTCGTCGTCGCTGGCTTCGTTATCGCCGGTCACGGCGGTCCGGGGTGCTCCGTCATCACCGCTGCCGCCGGTGGAGGGTAACTCATTAACCGGGATGGGCGGGGGGGGCCCGGCAGTGACGCCCCAGGGTCAGAGTCTCCCCGAACGAGAGACTCTGTCGTCGCTTAGCGGAGGCGGCGGGCGCACGGTCGCTGCGGCGGTGACGGCGGCGGCGACGGCGGCGGCGACGGCGGCGGCGGCGAACGTTCGAGCGCCAGAAGCGAGCGGCGGCAGTGGCACCGCGGCACGGGCCAAGGCGGACGGACTCGAGATGTCCAAGCTGAAAGGTAACGGCGCTCCGCTCGCCCGGTCTGCGTATTGTGGCTTGCCTCGATCCGCTCGCCCTGCTGGCCCTCCCGGCACCGCGAGCCGCTGGGTTTACGACACCACTAGAGCCGCCGCAATAATCCTCGCATTTTTGGAATTCGTGCAAAGCGTGACCCTTGCCCGACGCCGGTAACAGCCGGGTGGTCGGTGGGCGCCTCGGTGTTCTGCCGCCGCAACTGGCGCGGCGAGAGCGGCCGTGACATGACAATGCAAGGGCACAACAAGGAACGTTTACGATGAGCGCGTGCCACCCGCAGCGACGTGCAGGCAGAGGCACGCGGAGACGGCGGCACGGAATTCCATGAGAGGTGGAAAGAGTCTCGCCACGGTGGGATACAGGAGGTCGTGGGTTTCATCCCGATCCTGACGAAACCTGAATATTTGGAGTTTTCCTCTCTCTCCCCACGGCCGCGTGGATTTTTTTGAGTTTTTCCATCCACATTTAGAAATATGCATTTAGAGTATTTGGCTGCTTTAAATGTCCACGTGATAAGCCACTTCGTTGAGCTATCACTTGTGGTCAAGTCGCTTCTGAAAAAGAGCTGTATAGCTCAGTGGGCCTTACCTGATGAAATAAAAAGAAGTTTTAGTTTAATGACATCATCCAAACTTTCGATTTAAAGCTTTTGTGACTGCAGGGATTCATCTTCTTGGTTCTTTCGGTAAAGTTGCGTAGAAGGAAAATAATAAAAATAAAACTACAAATAAACATAATAAAAATAAAATAAAAATACAAAAATTCATTTTTTTATTATGTTTTCTTTTTATTATTTTATTACTTCCCCTTCTACGTGACTTTACCGATAGAACCAAGAAGATCATCCAAACTGTGAAGTGAAGTGAGTGGGGCTTGGGCAGGATGCATCATGGCCAGAAGGCACGTTGATGGCCGGTGATCGAGACTAACAACAAAGTGCCAGCTGAGGAATGGAACGCGGAGCCCTCGGGGATGAGGAGATGGAGCACCGATGAGGTCGGCATGTGGTGTGCAGAGCAGGTGGCTGTGTGGATCGTTGCATCGCAGGATCTTAAGATGTGGCGACTGCTTGGGGAGGCCTTCATCCAGCAGTGGATTGACCACGGGCTGATGGCAATGATGACATTTTTGTATTGATTCACAAACATTGCGGCTAAAGTGGCGGTGCTCGTGATGCTGGGAAGAGTCTCAGATTGCTATTTGGCTCATTGCTGCACTTGATTTTACTTGCATTGCTTTTGTCCTTGTAGAGTGACCCTTGGTCACTGAGACTGCACAACGTGCAGTACGGATTGCAATCGTAGCAAACATCACACCACACGCGCACACGGGGATTCATATCTCACCCAATATGTTCTGGTTCACTGGAGTGGGTGGCACGAGTCTCGTGGCCGTAGAGGGCGGGTAATACTGGATGTGGTGTGCTGCGCTTGGGTATATGACGGCGCCTCCTCTTCCACCGGAGCATGAACAACGGTCTCCCCCACTTCTCACTCGCTCTGTCCGTGCTGCACCCCGCACCTCTTTCCTGCCTCATCCCCTAGCCCACACCTCCTAATCTAGCCCACACCTCCTAATCTTCATGCAGCCATGCACGGTCAGGTTGGTTCATTATAATCGGTGTAGTTTAGCGCATGCGGTGCGAGCACTATCGTTCTCATAGCGCAGGCCAATCGTGGAAAAGGCGCTGCTGTCGTCTCGAAGCAGGAAGCGACGCTGCTGCTGCTGCTGCTGCTGAGTGACTTGCGCTGTAATTTTTCTAATTTGGCAAATCTTGGACGGTGACAGCGGTGGCACAAAGTTTCCTGCTTGTTGCAAACGACGTCGCGGCATCTGTGACGTCCACGTTGAAGTGGATAGCGCGAAGTAGTGGTAGCTTACAGTTGATACGCACAGTAGCAGTCACAAGGGCGGTGGCCTGTCGCAAACCACTACAACAAGTGGCTAACACTCCACCGCTGGGACATATCACCGCCTCAGCTTACCCATAGTTATAGCCCTGGGATTATAACACCACCCCCGGACGTTGTAACACCACCGCAGGGGGGTTGTAATACCACCGCAAGGGGGGTTGTAACACCACCGCAAGGTGGGTTGTAACACCACCACCCAGGGGTTGTAACACCACCACCCAGGGGTTGTAACGCCATCCACGGGGGTTGTAACGCCATCCGCGGGGGTTGTAACGCTACATTGTCGAGGAAGTTGGCGCCCTATGCCGAAGGGTGGAGTAGTGGCTCGGTGATTTGCGCGCTGCACTCTGAACCCGGCGAGTAGAGTCCGGTTTGCGGTAAGAGCCACCGCCCCGTGGTAGGGTGAGCGGTGTGAGAGAAACCCCTGTCACTGAACCGCACTGACCAGCGCGGTGAAGTACGGTCAAAGATCGCCCGTGTCTGACACGGAGCCTGTGTTGGGGCCTTCACCCGGCAGCGGGGCAGCGTGGCTCCCTTTGTGGGCCGCCGTCGTGCGATTTGTCAGAGTCAGAATATTTATAGTGGATGAATCTGATGAGCTATAAAGCTCTTTTACACAACTTTCCAGTAGGAGGCGGGTCAGAACGTCACAACAACAAACAATACAAAAACACGACAGGAGTGAGAAACACAGGCAAGGTAAACAAAACATACACTTAAAACTAAACTATACTTTTTCTTACCAGCTGAAGCCCACTGAGGTATTAATTTATTTTTCAGAGACGCGACCTGGCCTACAAATGATAGCTCAACAAAGTTGCTTATCACGTGGAAATGTATTTCAGCCAAAATAATAATAAAAATATCTCAATGCAAGTTTCTAAATGTGGAGGGAAAAACCGGAGGACCCGGAGAATAAAATTCCTTGCGACCGTGGGGAGAACATGCAAATAGCAAATCTTCAGGTGTCGGGATCGAACCTCCAACCTCCTTTGTACCAGGCAAGAAAAATAACATCACACCACCGTGGCGCCTTTAAATAAATAAATATATAAGTTCGCTGCCTTTGGCACGGAGTACAATACAATTTGGCACAACATCGCTGTTGCCGCTCTAGAAACAAATGCAATCGGATTCTTCTCTGGAGAGGAATAAAGAGATTTAGTTTCTGGAGTTCAAGATTTAGCTCTGGCTGCTCTCCGTTGGTATCCCCTCAAGGGCAGTAACGTCCTTCATGTATTTCAATCCTCCCTCCCTCCCAGCTTCTCCATCTCCCTCCTTATCTGCACCCCGAGCTATGGAACTCCCTCCCCCGACACCTTAACCCCCCACCACCCACCTCCCTACAAAACTACCTGGCCTCACCTACAGCTCCCTCCTCTACCCTTAAGCAGAACCCTCCCCTAACCGTGCCCACCTCCCAAGCCCTCTCCCTACTCCCTCTTCCTGAACGCTCTCCCTAAACCTCTTGTTCTTGTATACATGTCTCCCTTGTGAATTCTGACATCTGTGGCGTTGTTGTTTTTGAAACATCTCTGTGTTGTTGCTGTCGTATTGCAGGCCTCGCCATCAGGAGGGGTCCGGGCGCGGGACCCACGGTGGCCCCCAGGGCCCCGGCGCCATCTCTGCCGGGCCCCGTCACGTCCCTGCAGCTGCTGTCGCGACGGCTGCCGTCCCCGCTCTCCATGGCTTCCGACGAGGACGATGACGGCCGCGGGAAACCACCTGAGCTCGCGGGGAGCGGCGGCAGCGAGGAGGCGGCGTCGCCCCGAGACAAATCCGACGAAATCCCGGAAGGAACCGGGCATGGGAGAGGTAGCCCCGTGCCAGTGGAGGATGCGGATGGGGCCTGGGTATCCGGCGACGAAGGGGGGTCCCTGGAGGAGGGGCGGCGCGGGGAGGAGCACGACCCTCACCGGCCGCCAAACGACGTCTGCGCCGCGGAGCTGATGAGCGGCGACGCGGCGACGCCGATGCCCGGCGTCGACTCGCCGAGCGGTGGAGGGGCTAGGAGCCTCCCGCCCAGCCCCCCGCCAAGCCCCCCGCCCAGCCCCCCGCCCAGCCCACCTCCGAGCCCCCCTCTGCAGCGGCGCGAGTCCAACGGCTACTCCGATACGTCGGCATCTCCGCCCAACGGCCGGGCGTCCCCCGCAGGGGAGGTCGAGCCGGAATCGCGGAGCCCCCCGCTCCTCCCACACAGCCCCCCACACAGCCCCCCGCTCCTCCCACACAGCCCCCCGCTCCTCCCACACAGCCCGCCACACAGCCCCCCGCTCCTCCCACACAGCCCCCCACACAGCCCTCCGCTCCTCCCACACAGCCCCCCACAGAGCCCCCCGCTCCTCCCACACAGCCCCCCACACGGCCCCCCGCTCCTCCCACACAGCCCCCCAAACAGCCCTCCGTTCCTCCCACACAGCCCCCCACACGGCCCCCCGCTCCTCCCCCACAGCCCCCCGCGGTCACCTCCAGCGGTTCTCCCGCAGGAGACTCCGTTCAGTACTCCGTCCCGCACTCCTCAAGGGCCCGCACCCAGCCCCCCATATTCACCCCCGCCCAGCCTCTCTCGGGGCCTCCACGCAAGCCCCCCTCAGGGCTCGCCCCCTCGCAGCCTCTCGCCGTTCACTGACCAGGATCTCGTCGCCGTGACGTCGACGCGGCCGCAGGAGCGTTGGGAACGCGATGGCGCCGTGGCCCCCCGGGGCCCACCCACCCCCTCGTCACTTCCGTCGTTACCGCGGTCACCGGGCCAACGCGGGGCTTCCTCGGGGAGTGACTCGTCCGGGGAGCAGGAGGTGCGGGTCCAGGAGAAGAAGCCACGGGCTTCCTCCCCTTCCAAAGAGGCGTCCGCTCCGGACGCAGTCATCCATGACGCGAGGCCCAGAGCCGGTGGCAGCCACGGCGACGACGACGACGATGAAGTGGACTGGAGGCAGCGTGGGGCGAGGCCAGCCGGAGGGGGAGATGCCCCCCGCTTTGGCGGCCCCCCGGGGACGGCCTGGACGGCGTTGGACGCCGCCGTCGGCTCCGCGGAGCCAGCGGCTCCGAGCTTCTCGTCGCTCGACCGGGACGACCCCGCACCAAGCGAGCGGCCCCCGGTGCTCCCTCGGCGCCGACCTCCGCTGCCCGCGGCGCTGACCCCGAGCGCTGCGGCCGATCTCCCCGAGACGCGGGGCGAGGGCGCGGACCCGGACTCCGAGTCGGAGGAAGCCGCCTACCGCCCACGGTCGGTGTGGCAGAGGGTCCGCTCCTATGAGGTCCTGGGCGTCTCGGCGCCGCGCCGGCCCGGTGCCAAGGACGCCCCCCGCCACCGTCGCCTCCGCCGGTCGCGTCTGGCCGCCCAGGCGCCGTGACTCGCTCGACGAGCTGGATGGCAGTGGCGGGAGCGCGGCGGGCGACTCTGTGGACTTCGGGCGTGGGCCCACCAGCCCGGCGTGCTCCCTCGATGAGGCACGGGCCGCGGCGTGGCCGGCGCCGGTCGCTCGCCCGCACGCCGTTGCCGGCACCGGCCCTGCCGAGTCGGGCCGCAAGGACGGCCGAGAGTCGGAGGCCAAAATTGGAAACTACATCTTCCGGTCGGCGGGAAAACCGAAGCCGGACGGCACGGTGGCGTGGCCGCCCCGGGACGGCGACACGCTGGTGGTGCACGCACGGCCCGTCATCATCGCCCAGAAGGAGGCGGCCGTGCGGGGCGGTGATGGCGACGGCCGCGCGGGGCGGGAAGCAGGAGGTGGGAGTTGGTGGCGGTGGCCGTGGCGGGGAGAGAAGGGGTTTCACTGGGAGCCCCGGGTTCGACCACGGCGCCGCCACACGGGCCAAGAGCCTGCCCAGCTTACTGGACGGCGCCGACACCGGCCGGAGGCCCGCGCCGGAGACCGCCGTCCCGCAGAGACCCGCGGCGGAACCCAGCAGCCTGGGCGACGGCAGGCGGGAGAGCTGGCGGTGGAGCGTGGCGGAAGGGGCCCTGACGCGGAGCTCTACCGTGGGACCCAGCAGGAACTGGCGGTGGAGCGGGGCGTACGACGTGGGGCGGAGCAGCGGCGCCGAGGTGGAACCGAGCTGGTCCGTGAGGTGAGCGCAAGCCATCCAGCGGTGACCACCTGTTCCAAAAGTCTGGGTGAACTCACCGATTGACAGGCACCGGTTCAGATATCGCCGATGTTGGTCGCGAGCAGTCGTCCGGTTTGCAGGGCAGTGCACTACCCACTGCACCAGAGCTCCCAATCGCACATGGACAAAACAAAACCCCCTGTTGAGGCTGTGTAGGCTGTTGGGGCAAGTGCTGTGTGTTTACGTGCGTGTGTGTTGATTGGGGAGCTGTGGCGTGGTGGTTAGCGTTCTTCGCTACGAAGCCGGCGATCCGAGTTCCAAAACTCTTCATGACTAACATCATTGAGGATTATCTGAGCCAGTCCCGAAATTCCCCAAGGGCAACTGTCCCTTAAAATGACTACCTGATGCGATGTGTAAACATGAGCACTTGGGGAGACAAAGGCGGCCGGGCGTGGTGCTGGCCACCCACCCCCTCGTGTGCCGTGCCGGCTTCATACAGTGAGGGAAAAAAGTATTTGATCCCCTGCTGATTTTGTACGTTTGCCCACTGACAAAGAAATGATCAGTCTATAATTTTAATGGTAGGTTTATTTGAACAGTGAGAGACAGAATAACGACAAGAAAATCAAGAAAAACGCATGTCAAAAATGTTATGAATTGATTTGCAATCACAGAGGTCAGACGTTTCTTGTAGTTGGCCACCAGGTTTGCACACATCTCAGGAGGGATTTTGTCCCACTCTTTGCAGATCTTCTCCAAGTCATTAAGGTTTCGAGGCTGACGTTTTGCAACTCGAACCTTCAGCTCCCTCCACAGATTTTCTATGGGATTAAGGTCTGGAGACTCGCTAGGCCACTTCAGGACCTTAATGTGCTTCTTCTTGAGCCACTCCTTTGCTGCCTTGGCCGTGTGTTTTGGGTCATTGTCATGCTGGAATACCCATTCACGACCCATTTTCAATGCCCTGGCTGAGGGAAGGAGGTTCTCACCCAAGACTTGATGGTACATGGCCCCGTCCATCGTCCCTTTGATGGGGTGAAGTTGTCCTGTCCCCTTAGCAGAAAAACACCCCCAAAGCATAATGTTTCCACCTCCATGTTTGACGGTGGGGATGGTGTTCTTAGGGTCATAGGCAGCATTCCCCCTCCAGCAAACACGGCGAGTTGAGTTGATGCCAAAGAGCTCCATTTTGGTCTCATCTGACCACAACACTTTCACTCAGTTGTCCTCTGAATCATTCAGATGTTCATTGGCAAACTTTAGACGGGTATGTATATGTGCTTTCTTGAGCAGGGGGACCTTGCAGGCGCTGCAGGATTTCAGTCCTTCACGGCGTAGTGTGTTACCAGTTGTTTTCTTGGTGAATATGGTCCCAGCTGCCTTGAGATCATTGACAATATCCTCCCGTGTAGTTCTGGGCTGATTCCTCACCGTTCTCATGATCATTGCAACTCCACGAGGTGAGATCTTGCATGGAGCCCCAGGCCGAGGGAGTTGACAGTTCTTTTGTGTTTCTTCCATTTGCGAATAATCGCACCAACTGTTGTCACCTTCTCACCAAGCTCTTTGGCAATGGTCTTGTAGCCCATTCCAGCCTTGTGTAGGTCTGCAATATTGTCCCTGACATCCTTGGAGAGCTCTTTGGTCTTGGCCATGGTGAAAAGTTTGGAATCTGATTGATTGATTGCTTCTGTGGACAGGTGCCTTTTTATACAGGTAACAAGCTGAGATTAGGAGCACTCCCTTTAAGAGTGTGCTCCTAATCTCAGCTCGTTACCTGTATAAAAGACACCTGGGAGCCAGAAATATTTCTGATTGAGAGGGGGTCAAATACTTATTTCCCTCATTAAAATGCAAATCAATTTATAACATTTTTGACATGCGTTTTTCTGGATTTTGTTGTTGTTATTCTGTCTCTCACTGTTCAAATAAACCTACCATTAAAATTATAGACTGATTATTTCTTTGTCAGTGGGCAAACAAAATCAGCAGGGGATCAAATACTTTTTTCCCTCACTGTAAGTGCTCGCTAACAGCACTTGCCCAAAAAGTCTGTTCAGGCTGTATGGGGCATCTTTGTTATGTGGGGAGCAGTAGTGCAGTGGTTAGTATGCTGTGCTACGAACCCGACAACCCGAGATCAATTCCTGCTCATGGCCAACACCACTGACGATTTTCTGAACCGATCCTGGGCCTCCCCTAGGTGAACTCAGCCTCATAGGTTCTTGCTAACAGCACTTGCCCCAACAGTCTACGAAGGCTAAATGATGTTGTTATGTTTTTGTTGTGCCAGTCTGCTGGAGCTGGAGAGTTGTGCGCCACACGAGGGGCGCCGGGCACTCGTGACGTCGCTCGTTCCGTGGGACCACGTGCAGCAGCTGATAGCGCAGGCAGAGGAGTGCGGAGCCACTCAGGTGCCACCCCCGTGACCCCTATGACCCCCCCCCCCGTGAACTCTCGTGAACCCCCCATGACCTCTGAGAAGTGGCATGCCCAATCGACATCACCCTGTCCCACACAGCGACCTTGCGTGTTTGTGTCAGTCGGTGAGGGTGCGGGTGGGTGTGCGTGTCTTGGGGGAGCGGTGGTGCAGTGTTGCAGTGGTTAGCTCACTGCGCTACGAACCCGGTGACCCGAGTTCGATTCCCGCTCGCGACAAATGAAAGTGCGAATATCTCAACCAGTCTTAGGCCTGCCCTAGGTCGACTCAAACTTAAATGAGTATCTGGCAAAGTATGTAAACTTCAGCAATGGGGCTGGGGAGACGAATGCGGCCGGGCGTTGTGCTGGCCAACCATCCCCTCGTGTGCCTTGCCGGCCTTCATTGGTGCTCGCGAACAGCACTAGCCTCATCAGCCTGTTAAAGGCTATACGGGGAACCTTTGTATTTGTATGTATCTTATACCTGGTGTGCTGTGTAAATAGCAGCACTGGGGAGATAAAGGCGGGCAGGCATGGTGCTGGCCACCTACCTCCTCATGTTCACCGATGTATACACAGGTGGAGCATCTGTCAATCATCTCCTGTATCACCTGAGTCCCTCCCATGACCTGCCAACAACACGAGAGCCTTCCACACACGACGGCCTCAAAGTGCACCCAGCCTGGCACAAGCGCCATGGTGACGTCACAGCCACTCATTGTCGAATGGTGGCTGTTGTTGAATGTAGTGTTTATTGTGAGTGTGGTGGTTGTTGTAGTGTGTATTGTGAGTGTGTTGGTTGTTGTAGTGTGTATTGTGAGTGTGGTAGTTGTTGTAGTGTTTATTGTGAGTGTGGTTGTTGTAGTCTTTATTGTGAGTGTGTTGGTTATTGTAATGTGTATTGTGAGTGTGGTAGTTTTTGTAGTGTGTATTGTGAGTGTGTTGGTTATTGTAATGTGTATTGTCAGTGTGGTAGTTGTTGTAGTGTGTATTGTGAGTGTTGGTTGTTGTAGTGTGTATTGTGAGTGTGGTAGTTGTTGTAGTGTGTATTGTGAGTGTGGTAGTTGTTGTAGTGTGTATTGTGAGTGTGTTGGTTGTTGTAGTGTGTATTGTGAGTGTGGTAGTTGTTGTAGTGTGTATTGTGAGTGTGGTAGTTGTTGTAGTGTGTATTGTGAGTGTGCGGCTGTGTGTGGACAGGTGTTGACCGACACGAGGGTCGTGGTTCTGCACAAGGAGGAGGGTGCGGGGCTGGGCTTCAGCATCGCCGGGGGCCACGACATGGAGACCAAACTGATCACTGTGAGCACACACGTACACACACACATGTACACACACGCGTACACACACACGTTCACACACACACACGTTCACGCACACGTACACACACACACAACAACAACCACCGCCATTCGCCACTAAGTGGCGGTGACGTCACCACGACGCTTGTGCCAGGCCATGTGCACTCTGAGGCCACGTGCACTTTGAGGCCACATGAAGTGTCGAACGCCCGTGGGCAGGATGTCACGGGGCAGACCCAGGTGCCACGGGTCGACTGACTGAGATGACTGGCTGGTGCACCACCTGTGCCCCCTACTGTGCCAACCTGCTGTGCTTAAGCCACCCGGCGCTCCGCTCGTTGTTGTGAGCGTCGCTCCTCCGCCCTCCGTTGTTGTTGGAGGGTGACTGCCTCCAACTGCCCAATAGCGTCCTTCACAAGCCTCCTCCACAGAGGCCGATCTTGACACCGCTGGTACCAGTCATCGGCAAGTCCACTCAGCTCCACGTCCTCCTGTACCACATCACTCCATCTCTTCTCTAGCCCGTGATGCGCCCGTTTAGCCCCCTCGATCCGGCCGAACAAAAGCTGTTTCGGCATGCAGTGGCTGGGCATGCGGGCTACATGACCCAGCCAACACAGCCTTGCCTGCTGGAGGAGCTCACCAATGGGACCTTGCCCAGATCTTTCAAGGATTTGTGAGCTCCTCACATAATCCAGCCTGGTTAAACCCAGGATGGATCGTAGGCAGGCTCGCCTAAATGTTTCCAACCGGCGAAGATGCTCCATTAAGGGGGTCCACGTTTCGCAAGCGTAGAGAAGGGAGGGAATGACCGTGGCCGAGAAGACCTGAAGCTTAGTGCGGAGCGACAGACCAGGTAGTTTCCACACAGCGTTACGCAACCGATGAAAAGATATTGCCGCTCGACTGATTTGGAGTGAGACCTCTGCTGTTAAACTGGAGCCGGTCAAAAGCACACTGCCCAGGTATGGGAAACTCTCCACTCTCTCCACAACTGCCCCATCACCGATTGGGAGTTGTGGGGGTGGAGTGTCCGATGGTACAAAATACCCAGGCAGGTGCTTAGTTTTGGTGGGGCTGATGGTAAGGCCCCATCTCTTAGTGGCACGCTCCAGTCTCAGCAGCAGCGTCTCCAACTCCTCCTCTGAATGAGCAGCTATTACCAAATCATCGGCATACATAACATGGTTGAGCAATAGGGAGCCATCCCTAGACCGCACCTGGGCATCGATCAGCCTCCCATTATATCTGTACCAAATGAAGATTCCCCTGGTACAGCTATTGAAGGTTTCACGAACTACGTGGTCAAAATAGGTGTTAAATAATGTGGGAGCCAGAGGACATCCCTGTCGCACCCCAAGGTGTACAGGGAATGGCTCTGACTCCCGGCCACGTAATTTTGCCCAGGCCCGCTCACCATCATGAAGGTCCTTACTGATCGTGAGCAGAGGGTCAGGGACTCCAAAATTACGAAGAACAACCCAGAGCCCAGGCCTACTGATGGTATCATAGACCTTGACCAGGTCAATAAAGCAGAGATGTAGGTCTTGTTGGAATTCCCTACACCTCTGCTGTAGCAGATGGACAGAAAATATGGCATCTGTGCAGGACTGCTCTTTCCTGAAACCGCATTGGGGCTCCGCAAGCCTCTCCTCAGCGTGCCTGGCAAGGCGATGTTGCATAATCCTTGCTAGGACCTTTCTCAGCACACTGAGGAGTGAGATGCCCCTGTAGTTGTTACGGTCTGTGCGGTCCCCCTTCTTAAAGAGGGCGACCACCAGGGCATCCTTCCAATCCTGCGGAACCCGTCCAGTTGTCCAGACTGTTGTTATGATGTCATATAGGGCAGTCTGTGCACAAACGCCACCCTCCCTCAGCATTTTGCTTGGGAGATAATCTCTGCCCGCTGCCTTTCCTGGTCTCAGACTCCGGATCGTCTTCAGTACTTCCCCAACAGATGGTACTTCAGCCAGCCACTCACAGGGAGTGACTTCTTCCAATATTTGAGGCACCGCAGCCTCAGCAGGGTCATCCTCACTTTGTGCCACGATGTTTTCCTGACTGAGGGATTTTCCCTCCCCCAAGACCTCACAGAAATGCTTAGCAAATCTGCAAACCTGTTCCTGGGGGTTGGAGATTGGATCACCGTTTTTTCCCCTAGTCATGGTAATTGGTGTGGCGCTGCAGGATACTTTTTTGATGGAGTTAAAGAGGTTTGTGATCGCGGGCCACTGAGGCAGACTCCATCTCTTCAGCACACACAAAGACAAAGATCCACTCTATAGCCTTAGCAGGCTGTGTTGGGGAAAGTGCTGAGAGTGAGCCAGCACCATGCCCGGCCGCCTTAGTCTCCCTAGTGGCGATGTTTGCACACCGCACCAGGTACCCGTTTGAGGCTGAGGCAAACAAGGAGAGACCCAGGACCGGTTCAGCTAATTGTCACTGTTGTTCACTAGGAATGGGAATCGAACTCGGTTCGCCGGGTTCGTAGCGTAGCATACTAACCACTGCACCACCACCCCCCAAAAGACACACATGCGCACACACGTACATGCGCGCATGTACACAGCCACAACAACAACACCCACTAAGTGGCGGTGACATCACCACGGCGGTACTTGTGCCAAGTTAGGTGCACCATGAGGCTACGTGAAGTGTGAAAGTCTCGCTGGCAGGAGGTCACGGGACAGACCCAGGTGCCATGGGTTGATTGGCAGATACACCCACTGTGCTCCCCACTGCCAACTCGCTGCATTTTAACGTCGCTCCTCCACCCTCCATTGCTGTTGGAGGGCGACTGCCTCCAACGGGAAGAGCAAATTAACCCTTGACTAAGCGCTGCTCATAGCGGACGTCCCTGTGGCCGGCGCCGTGCATCATGAACGTTCGTGCCGGTGCCGCCCACGACGCCGCAGGTCCACCGCGTGTTCTCCGAGGGTGTGTCTGCGCGGGAGGGCTCCATCCGACGGGGGGACCAGCTGGTGAGCGTGGGGGGCCGCGCCCTGGCCGGCGCTTCGCACGGCGACGCGCTGGCGCTGCTGCACGCGGCGCGGCTGCCTCCCTCCGTGGTGGTGATCGTGCGCCGGACCCCGCTCTCGTCGCCGCTGCTTCCGCCGACGGCATCGCCAACGGGAGCGCCGGGATTCAGGCCTGGAGGCCGCAGCGCCGCCGCCGTTGCCGGCGCCATCACGGCGGCACTGTCCGCTGGTGAGCTAGCGCCACGTGCGTGGGAGCGAGAGTGGGGGGGGGGAGGGAGGCGGTGAGCGGCACCGGACGCGAGCTCAATCGAGCGACGCTCGCCTGCTCCTTGCTCGCGCGACGGTCGACCTCGTGCCGCTCATCTTCTTCGCCCCTCGCCCTGCTCGCCCCACTCGCTCGCATGCCGCAGCTCGCCCACACCTCGATCGCCCCCCTCACCCACGCCCCGCTCACCAGCCGCACTTTCTGTGTAGCCCCCCCGGACCCCCAGGGCCGCGTCTTCACCGTGACCGTAGAGACCGCGACCTCGGGCCTGGGCCTCAGCTTGCAGGGTGGCCGTGGCTCCGTGCTCGGGGACCGGCCGATCACCATCAAGAAAGTCTTCCACGGTAACAGGCCACTGGCGTGCGGGGTCATGCCATCACCGGGCCTGGGCCGTCTGGTGATACGGGTTCCCTCACTCGCCCAGTCGGATAGCAAATGTCATTCCGCGGTGGCGACATCGCTGCTGCTCTGTGTCCGGTGGTGCACGAGCACAATTAACAATTCCTCAGTGACACAGTACGAGTGTGTGGTCTTCAAAGGAAAAGTATATCATGGGCCACGTTTGGGGCAACGCAGCTTCTTCGTCAATAGAGAGGCCAGAGATAATTAAGTCTCATCGGGCCTAAGGTGTAAACAAGTCTCCAACTCATATCATCCACTCTGTCTTCTGGCCTCTCCATTCATGCGCTATGAAGAAGGGCCATTGGCCGAAACGCCGCCTATTAAATATTTGTTATTGACACGGAAATGCGCCGAGTTGTGCTTGTGCACCAACCACTGCCGACGCAGCGGCGTTTCCATCACCGTTGCGTTGGCTCTGGTGACGGCCTCACCCCACCGCCTCCACCGTCCCCTTCCTCCGTGGGCGTCTCTGCCAATGAATTTCACCGTGGGAGCTTGTGAACGAAATTCCTCCGAGACAACGCTCTTTACAGGAAATGAGTTTCTTTGACAGATTTGTGTTTGCTGTCACGCAGTTGTCTCTGCTCTGCTGTTCGGTTCATTGCTGTACTTTATTTTACTGGCATTGCTTTTGGCATTGTGGTGACCCAGGTCACTCTTGCAAATGAGACTCATCCTGATCTGTTTGAGTTCTCACCTCTATCACCGCTATTCATTTTATTGCTGTGACTTCACATTGCTTGTCTTGCTTTCGTCATTGCGGGGGCCCAGGCCACTCGTGCAAGTGAGGCTCCTCTATCCTGATCTCCTGACCTCGCACCTGATTATACAACACAAGCTTGAACCTTGACCCCCAGGCGGCGCGGCGGAGACGAGTGGCAAGGTGCACGAGGGCGACGAGGTGCTGCAGTTCTGCAAGAGGGACCTGCGAGGGATGACGAAGTTCGACGCCTGGAACCTCGTCAAGTCGGCGCCTCCGGGGCCCGTGACGCTCACGCTGCGGAGAGGGAGCAGGGGGGGCGCGGCTGGGCCTTGAGACGGAGCAGCTCGCGCTCCACACCACATTCCGTGCTGAACCACACCGCACCACGCACCTTACACACCCTACCACATCACTCTGAACCACACCAAATCCACACTAAACCACACTGCTCCACGCCGCACAAAACCACACCGTGCCACACCTCACGCGCCAAACTGCACCACGCCACACCAAATCACACCACACGAATCTCACAGCCTCTACTCCTTGCGCCCTGTTCCTGTTCCTTCAGCCAGCCGCCCAGTACCCTGCAGTCCTCGCTACCCCACCAGCACCCTCCATTGCCATCATCACCACCATCGGGCAGCCATCTGTCACGCTGCCTCCACTTTGTGGAGACGGCGGCGGCGTGCTGCCCTCTGCTGGGGCTAAAGCTTCCGGCGGCCATTCCCGGCTGCCACTGCCAGGCAGCGAAAGTCTCGGCCGGTGTGCGCGTCACTGTGTGTGCGTCACTGTGTGTACGCGTCACTGTGTGTACGCGTCACTGTGTGTACGCGTCACAGTGTGTGCGCGTCACTGTGTGTGCACGTCACTGTGTGCGGTACCGACCGTAGAGGGGGCATCGTTTTTTACGGAGCTGCAGGGTCAACGTCGGCCTTGGGCCCTTCACTGTCATCGGCAACCTCGTCTACGTCGAGGGCGGGGACCGGTGGCCACCGGGGAGAGTTTCGCGGTTCCGTCGTGGTTTTGGCAGGGCGCTCTGATCGACGTTTTCTCGGGTTGTACCGCTAAGCGTCGTTTGGCACGATGTCCGTCGTTCCGCTCCGCGTGCCAGTCACTTCAGGAAGGAAGTTCAAAAAGGAGTTTGTGAGAAAACTGCCGGCGCGCGACAGGCGAATTGTCGTACATCACGCCCGGCAATGCATGGCGGTAGAACCCAAAATCTCCCCGGAGAGCAGTGACGTTACTCTGCAGAGCGGTGGAGGGGGGGGGGGAGTAACAGCGGCGCCGAGTGAATCTCACTCGCGACGCGCGCTCTTGCCAAAGTGTGATCACTGACCGGGAGAATGCGAGAAGCCACGGGGGCACTCCGGTGACGAAGGCATTCAGACGGCGATGCGTCGCGTTCTATTGAGAACGATCGTCCTTGTGCAATAAGTCACGGGGGGTGGGGTCGGGTGGGGAGAGTGGTCACTCTCACCGCGCGTATTTCTGTTCGGTTTTGTTCACGTGCAGAATCGATGGGCCAGGTCGGGCCGCACGGCAGCGGTGGGGGTCCCCGGTGAGGTGGCCCTCCGTTGACCCTGGGGGGGGGGGGGGTGTTGTGTTTGTGGGGGCAGCTGTCGGTCAGTGATGGGCTATTTGATGGCCCAACCATTGGTGGATTGGGTCACTGCACTCCGGGCCCAAATGAATCTGTGCGGCGCAACCTCGCGCACACGGCAATCACCTCCCGTACTGGCAGCAGACTTGCGCCCCAGGTCACTCTGCAATGAGACTCATTCTGGTCTCTTGCGTTCTCACCTGGTTACACAAAACCAACCCGCACCGTAACCCATACCCGAGTAAACGACGACGTACGATTCGCGGTTGCTCTCCGATTCCTCTTGGTGCAATTCCTCGCGCGTGCCTGGGCGCCCTGCATCCCGTGTCCCCTGTCCCGTGTTCCGTGTCGAGCGGCCCCACATCCCGTGTCCCCTGTCCCCTGTCCCGTGTCGAGCGGCCCCACACCCCCTGTCCCCTGTCCCCTGTCCCGTGTTCCGTGTCGAGCGGCCCCACATCCCACATCCCGTGTCCCCTGTCCCCTGTCCCGTGTCGAGCGGCCCCACATCCCCTGTCCCCTGTCCCGTGTCGAGCGGCCCCACATCCCGTGTCCCCTGTCCCCTATCCCCTGTCCCGTGTCCCGTGTCGAGCGGCCCTGCGCTCCGGACCCTCGTGGCACCGCGGGGCGACCACGGCGGTCCACGGCGGTCCACGCTGCGTCTCTGTCGCCGCGTCGTTCTGGAGCTTTGCACTCGGGAAAATTCGAGTTTTCCCAAATCGCTCCAACCCCCTCCTTCTTCGTCCGCCTTTTAATTTCATCATTTTGACTCCGGTTCCTCCTCTGGCAGCTGCTACCCTAGGCTCACGCTTCTCTGGTGTTTTCCAGCTGTGGCCGACCGGCGCTCACCTATGTGACTTGTTATTCATCTAGGCTCCTCGGCTCCACGATGACGAGGAGATGTTATCCACGGTGACGAGGAGATGTTATCTCCCTTGCCTGGTGCGCAGGACGTAGCAGGTTCGATCCGGGACCCCGACGATGCCTGTTGTATATTTGGTTGTCATGAAGATCGTTCTCCGGGTTCCTCTGATTTGGCCCCCAACCCCCCCCCCCCCCCCCTACATTTAGAAACGCGTTTAGATTATTTGGCTGCTATAAATGATCACGTGTGATAAGCTACTGTGATGAGCTATCATGCGTGGCGCGTTCACCTCTGAACAAGAGCTAATCGCTTGGTGGGCTTTATCTGGTAAATAAAATAGTTCACAGCTTATTATAGTTTTTACCTTGGGCCAAACATTGCGACCTCCTTTGCTGCCAAGGCCTTCGGCCGTTGCGTGCTGAAGGACATCCACCGCGGTTTGTGACCACTACGTTGTCGGCAAGTCTTCGTGATGGGTAACGCTTTCACCGTTTGTGTTTATGCCAATATCTCCAATACAACGTCACCGTGACGTATCTGCCAAAGTTACTGATTGCGATTCGCACGGCGGTCTCGAGCACCGCCTTGGTCACGTGTGCTTCTATTGAATCAAGTGACCGCGGCCCAGTGGGAGCGCGTTCGGCCCGCTTGTTACTGCGGTTCGCGGTGCTGTTTGGGGCGGCCGCCCTGGTTAATAGCGCGGTGTCTGTGTGTTAACCATACAATACCACGACGCGCCCTCTGCTCCACTCGCAGTGGGCGTTAACGGTCCCGTGACATGATTCGAAACGAGTTGGCTGGCCGTTGTGTGCGATCCAAATTTCAAAAATATCTCCCAAATTAATGCACTCAATTGGAATTCCGCACGGCAACATGGCCCCCTACCGCTAAACTAGGGCAGCCTGTGCCTGTGAACCACAGCGGTGTCTTCCTTCGTGCTCTGAGAACGATAGCGCCCGCACCAAATCTACTAACTTATAACGATCATTACAGGTGGTTGGTCCTACGAAGATGATCGTCAGTGCTATGCAGTTCTTGTGGTCAAGATTAATATCCGCGACTGGACCGTGCGGCGAACACTTTGAGCGTCGTTACGGAGTGGTGTGGGGATTCGGATCGTGAGCAGCAGGCGGGCTGGGTGAACCGTCTCAGAATCGCGAGAGGTGGCGGCCGCGGCATTGAGAGGCCTTCATCCAGCAGTGCACAAAACGCAGTTCAGTCTGTTGTCCTTCCCTAGCAACTCCGATTAGTACGGTTGCCTATGTACGGTGCAAAAGTAGTTCTACGTACGTACAATCAGCCGCGGTCAGTGCATTGCTGATTGATGTTTATGATGATGTTGACGGTACAAGATGGGCCGATTGCCACCTGCAGCCCCCAGAGGATGGCTTGTTGAAAGCGGCTGATGGCAACCGGCCCCTCATAATTTATATTGAGTTTAATTTGTGTTCATTTTATACATCGCGGTGCTGTCGCTCGTGCGAGTCGCGTCTTTCACAATCGTCAAGGAGGAACCACGGACTAGCGGGAAATCAGCAGCAGCAGCCACGCGCTAAGGATCCAGCACTTCCAACAATCCCCCAAGATCTGCGGTCCTCTGTACATTAAGATGTTTTAAGCCAAATTAATGAGTGTTTAGACACGTGGGAGGATACCAGGGCGCCCAGAGAAAACTCACGTGTGCGAGAGGGCAACACTCTCCCATCATACAGCAGGCACAGATAGTCCAAACTTTAACCGCGTTACAGGCTACCACGTGCAGCGTAGCGCCCACCACCGCCTCCTGGCCTGTCCTGTGGGCAGCATCGACTGATTGCAAGCCTGCCATCACTTTAATTTGACTACAGTAATTATGCAAATTTTGGCTACAAAATTACACTTCCCCAGGCGGCCACACCTTATAGCCGGCTGTGTGCAATGATCCCCGTGTGTGTGGGGAATTCCCGCGGTGTTGACATGATCCGCTGTATGCCGCGAGCAGGCTGTCCGCGACCAATGTCGTGAATGGTAATTGAGGTGTGGGTCGGATCGCGTGAGAGAGTTCAGATGTACGACTGAAGGGCACTGCCATCATCGTTCTGACGGCTGCCCGGTGATGCTGTAAAGTACCGGCGATGCCTCGTAACCCAGTCGTTAATTGTGCTGCGCGGATCGCTCTTCACCAGTGACGAACTGGTCGAGTTTGTTCACCCGACACAACGTTATTGCTTTGGCTGTGTCGGATGGAGGAAGGTGTGCGACGCACATTTTACTCACGCGGCTGTCTGACCCAAAATGCAATCGTTAATGTCCCACCGTGTTGAATCCTGTTGCGTCGCTCCAACAATGACAGCTTCATACTCTTTGGTTCTATTCGGTAAAGTCACGTAGGTAAAAATAAAATAACAAAAATCACGACGTTTCGGCCACAACACAAGTGGCCTTCATCAGGTGAAGGGACCGGACTGTCCAGAGGATCCAGCACTTCCAGAGGACAGTCCGGTCCCTTCACCTGATGAAGGCCACTTGTGTTGTGGCCGAAACGTCGTGATTATTGTTATTTTATTTTTACCTACGTGACTTTACCGAATATAACCAAAGAGTATGGATCCTTGCAGTCACGAAAGCTTCAAATCTAGAAATGACAGCTTCATTTGTTTAACGGATGCGTTCTGGCATGTGAGCCAAGTAAACACGTAACAGCGGGCGCAACGTTGGGCCAACCACATGCAACGTTGCTCTGACGTTGCATGTTTACTGTGAGGTTTTGTGTGTGTGTGTGTTTAGCTAACTTATCCTGAGCCCCACTTTGCTGCCGCCTTTGTTCAGTTCCTCTTGCGTTGCGTCTGCTTGCGTGCGGTGACTCAACGGTGAATCTCTCTGTGTTGTGTGGCGACGTGAGATAAGACGATGGTCGATGGATTTCCTAGGGGTAGCAGCGGGGTGGATCGCTCCTGCTGCTGCTGGTCCTCTGCATTGGGCAGGCACCGGCCACGTGGCTCAGGGACTGGCTCCTCGTCACGTCAGTCTCTCATCGGTCCCCTTCTTGTCCATTGCCACTGGGCTGTCATGATCGTGGTGGTGCTGCTGTGATGGCAGTGGTGCACAAGGGCAACCAACCAAACAACTCGACACATTGAGACTCACGCTCAGACTTTATTGTTTCGGCCGGTGATGCCCCATTGAGCTAAGCAGCTCGACTTTAAGGACGGGCCAAAGACCCTCGGCAGTGGCGGCAGCTACAGGGTTTTGCATTAACATCGAGACGCATAGAGTTGCACAGAGACCCATAGAGTTACACAGAGACCCATAGCGTTGCACAGAGACCCATAGCGTTGCACAGAGACCCATAGAGTTACACAGAGACCCATAGCGTTGCACAGAGACCCATAGAGTTACACAGAGACCCATAGAGGTACACAGAGACCCATAGAGTTACACAGAGACTCAGTTACACAGACTCACAGAATTACACAAATACCCATAGAGTTACACATAGACCCATAGAGTTACACAGAGACTTGTAGAATTGCACAGACTGGTAGTTACACAGAGACCCATAGAGTTACACAGAGACCCATAGAGTTACACAGAGACTCATAGAGTTGCACAGAGACCCATAGATATGCACAGAGACCCATGGAGTTGCACAGAGACTCACAGATGCACAGAGACCCAGAGAGTTGCACAGAGACTCAGAGTTACACAGAAACCCACAGAGTTACACAGAAACCCATAGAGTTGCACAGAGACCCATAGAGTTGCACAGAGACTCGCAGAGTTGCACAGAGACTCACAGAGTGAGACTGCAGCCCAGAGACCACGGCCCAAGACCGTCAGCAGCGATGGTAGCTACAGGACACCGCAGGGCAGAACAACAAATGGTTGACACGAAACCCACGGCAGAACTCACTACAGAGACAGGACTCGGTCACTTACACTGCCATAAAACGACGTATGCGCTATGAAGAAGGGCACTTGCCCGAAACGTCGGCTATTCTTGTATATGTTTCCTATTGAAGCCGCGCGCGGTATTGGAGGTGAATGTGTGTGTGGGGGGGGGTGTCGATGTGTGGTCGTCGGTCGCGCCGCCCGTGACCCCGCACGCAGTGGCCACAGGCGGCCGCTAGGGGGTGATAAACCACAGCCTGGGGTCAACCGTTCTCAGACCGTTGTCCGGTTTCCCAAAGAGGGGTAACCGGTAACCCGTTTGCAGTGGGTCGTGAGTGGCGATCGGCAACACGGGGTCGCGTCCACACGGCGCGTTTCTCAGGTTTATCGCTTGAAGCATCCAAACGTGTCAACGCGTTTAGATTGTTCGGCATCCGTGTGTCGTGGCCAACCGGTTTTTACCGGAGCTTTTTTCTTTCATTTGGTTACCGGTTAATGCAATAACGACCAAGACAAAAAATGCCGACGTTCGCGATCCCCTAATGGCCACTCGCGGTGTGCGTGGTCCCGACTCCGAGTTGTGTTTTCGGTTTTTATTTTCTTCTGAATTTTTCCGGGGAGATGAGCTCCCGCAGGGCGGGTGGCCAGCACCACGCCCGGGACCGCCGTTGTCTCCCCAGTGCTGATGGTTTAAAAAATAATACATCAACACTGGTCTTCGAGTGGGAATCGAACCCGGATTCGTAGCGCAGTGCGCTAACCACTGCCCCCACCGCTCCCAACCACCATCACTCCCAACAACCACCACCATCACTCCCAACAACCACCACCACCACTCCCAACAACCACCACCACTCCCAACCACCACCTCTCCCAACCACCTCTCCCAACCACCACTCCCAACCACCACCACCACTCCCAACAACCACCACCACTCCCAACAACCACCACCACTCCCAACAACCACCACCACTCCCAACCACCACCACCACTCCCAACCACCACCACCACTCCCAACAACCACCACCACTCCCAACAACCACCACCACTCCCAACAACCACCACCACTCCCAACAACCACCACCACTCCCAACCACCACCACCACCACTCCCAACCACCACCACTACTCCCAACCAGCACCACCACCACTCCCAACCAGCACCACCACCACTCCCAACCACCACCACCACTCCCAACCACCACCACCACTCCCAACAACCACCACCACTCCCAACAACCACCACCACTCCCAACAACCACCACCACTCCCAACCACCACCACCACTCCCAACCACCACCACTCCCAACGACCACAACCACCACTCCCAACAACCACCACCACTCCCAACCACCACTCCCAACCACCACTCCCAACCACCACCACTCCCAACCACCACCACTCCCAACCACTCCCAACCACCACCACGCCCAACCACTCCCAACCACCACCACTCCCAACCACTCCCAACCACCACCACCACTCCCAACTACCACTCCCAACCACCACCACTCCCAACCACCACCACTCCCAACAACCACCACCACTCCCAACCACCACCACTCCCAACCACTCCCAACCACCACCACTCCCAACCACTCCCAACCACCACTCCCAACAACCACCACCACCACTCCCAACCACCACCACCACTCCCAACCACCACTCCCAACAACCACCACCACTCCCAACCACTACCACCACTCCCAACGACCACCACCACTCGTGATGTTTGCTTGTACACACACCGGAGCCCCTGAGAGAGACCAGAGAGAGATATGCACTGCATTGTTTTATTTAGCCGTGGTCAAAACCAGTGATTAATTCACGCATAATCAACACTGCTGTGATTAACTTGCAATGCCACGCTTCAAACTGTAATATATGTAACATCGGATAACGATGGTAATGATAATTATTATAATAAAAGATCACACTTCTCCGAGTGTGCCGTCGTGAATTGCTCGAGCTGAGTGAGTGCGGGTGGAGCCCTGTCCCACGTCAATTTGTCGTGGACTCGCCCGTGAATGTGCCTCGAGGGCTGTAAGCAGGAGATGAACAGCCAATGCCTCCATTGGAGCAGGAGGTCACTGACCGTGGACTGTCTAGCCCGCATGCCGTGTTGCTCGTCCCCGCTCGGGAGCGGAGACGCAATGAGGGGAGAGAAAAGAGGAGGAGGTGGAATGCAGAGAGGGACAAGAGGAGGCGAACGAGTGTGAGAGGAGCGAGCACGGCGGGTGTGGAGACGGCGCCGTCGACAGGAGGAGATATGAAATAGGAGAGCTCGAAAGAGGAGATACATTTTCAATATCCTTGGGCGTGTTTACCCAGGGAGTCTGAGTGAGTCTCAAGACTCATTTTTAGGAGGGTCCTGCTGCTGCTGCGTGATCCCGATTGAGTGCTTGGCAGGAGCTTGTTCAGCAATTGGGGACGTGGTTTGGCCGATGCCAGTTCCACGGTGTTTGTGGGTTTAGCTACAATACACAAAGTCAACACAGGCGGCGCCTGGGATGAGCTACAGTCGACAGGCGAGAGGAAGGAGACAGCAGAGGAGGAGGCGTGAGGAGGAGGAGGAGAGACTGGAAGGGGAGGGGGGTCAACAGGAGAGGTAAGGGAGAGGAAGACACGAAAGGGTGGAGAGAGGGGGAGGAGTGAGCGGGGGTAAGAAGGGGGAGAGTGGCGAACAAGAGGGGAGAGTGGTGAACAAGAGGGGAGAGTGGCGAACAAGAGGGGAGAGTGGCGAACAAGAGGGGGGAGTGGTGAACAAGAGGGGAGAGTGGTGAACAAGAGGGGAGAGTGGCGAACAAGAGGGGAGAGTGGTGAACAAGAGGGGGGAGTGGTGAACAAGAGGGGAGAGTGGTGAACAAGAGGGGAGAGTGGTGAACAAGAGGGGAGAGTGGTGAACAAGAGGGGAGAGTGGTGAACAAGAGGGGAGAGTGGCGAACAAGAGGGGAGAGTGGCGAACAAGAGGGGAGAGTGGCGAACAAGAGGGGGGAGTGGTGAACAAGAGGGGAGAGTGGTGAACAAGAGGGGAGAGTGGTGAACAAGAGGGGAGAGTGGTGAACAAGAGGGGGGAGTGGTGAACAAGAGGGGAGAGTTGTGAACAAGAGGGGAGAGTGGTGAACAAGAGGGGAGAGTGGTGAACAAGAGCGGAGAGTGGTGAACAAGAGGGGAGTGGTGAACAAGAGGGGAGAGTGGTGAACAAGAGGGGATCGTAAGGAGAGAGAGAGAGGACGCAGTGTGGTGATCGTGACAGGGGGGACAGTGAGGAGGAGAGAGAGTGTGAGGAGAGAGGGGAGGGGAGAGAGAGCAGGGAGAGTGTGAGGAGAGTGTGAGGAGAGAGGGGAGAGAGAGCAGGGAGAGTGTGAGGAGAGAGGGGAGAGTGTGAGGAGAGTGTGAGGAGAGAGGAGAGAGCAGAGAGAGTGTGACGAGAGAGCAGGGAGAGTGTGTGGAGAGTGTGAGGAGAGAGGGGAGAGTGTGAGGAGAGAGCAGGGAGAGTGTGAGGAGAGGGCAGGGAGAGTGTGTGGAGAGTGTGAGGAGAGCGGGGAGAGTGTGAGGAGAGAGCAGGGAGAGTGTGACGAGAGTGAGGAGAGTGTGAGGAGAGAGCAGGGAGAGAGCGGGGAGAATGAGGAGAGTGTGAGGAGAGAGGAGAGCGCAGGGAGAGTGTGAGGAGAGCGGGGAGAGTCGCCGCTCCCCGTTTCCCCTCTCACGCGGAAACGGCAGCAGTAGCAGCAGCGCATCCGCCCCGCGCTGCCGCTGCCCTCTCCGCCTTCCCCTCCCATGCGCGGGCCCCGCTGCCAGGCCACGGCGAGGAGGAGGAGGAGGTGCGCCGAGGAGGAACGGGACGAGGTGGCGCCACGACGAGGTGAGCAGACGGTAGGGGACACGGTGGAGAGACGAGGAAGGACGGATAACGAGGGGAGGGGACCGGATAGACGAGCAGAGGGACGAGGTGAGGGGAGTTGTGTTTTCAATTAAGAGACGAGGTGAGGGGAGTTGTGTTTTCAATTAAGAGACGAGGTGAGGAGAGAAGGGGATGTGTTGAGCGGAGGCGAGGTGGGGAGAGGCGAGAAGAGGAGATGGTGACAAGCACCGCCCGTTATTTACAATGGGGGCGGTGTGGGGGGACGCCGCGGCCTAGGCCTAGCGCGGGACCTCGGGTTGCCTGGGGATGCTGTGGGGACGGAGGCGCCCCTCGCCGGCCGAGAGACTTAGTCCCAGCGGGCCCCCTCCCTCCCTGCCTCTCGAGAACCAACACGAATAGAGGCGAGCCCTCCATCCAGCAGTGATCGTGGCCGCTGGTTGCGATGAGGAGGGGATGTTCTGCTTCGTGCCGAATTCGCTTATTGTGAGAAATGTAAGGTTCGTATTCGCTGGTGGGCGAGGTTGTTGGACGGGAGGGAACGCGTCCTGGGGTTTGACTACAACCGAGGAGACGGAGCGATGAATTCGGATCGTGTGCGCGACTCACGGTGCGGATTACTAAGGACGGTACAAGGTAGAGAGAGACGTGGATGTGGCTCGGGCAGGGCTTCATCCAGCGGTGGATCGACCATCTGCTGCTTGACGATGGGAACTGGGGACGGGTGACGCCTTCTGATAGCGGGGCCCGAGACTTAACGGAGCAGAAGGAGAATCGGGGGACCCCTTTTAGGGGTCTCATGATCCCGTGCAGGGCTCTGGTGACTGTGGAAACATGAAAGTGTTCCTGTGTAAGGGTTCGGGGTCCCGTCGAGGGGGTCCAGCGATCCTGGTTAGGGGAGTTTCGCGATTCTGTTTATGGTGATAGCGGTCGTGAGTCGGGGTCGAGCGGTCTTGTTTATGGGTCCAGTTTTCCTGTTTAGGGACTCAGACAGGGATAAGCCCCTGTGCGTGTGGCGTTTGTTGTGGCCGTGATGGAGCCAGTGCGCCCCACAGTGTTTGTTGACTGCGCTTGGAATGTCCGCCGCTCCCATAATTACCGCTAATTGGGCTGGGTGCTGGGGTTCGTTTTGAGGAGCTGTGCGGGCGGGCTGACCCGGTCCCATCATCGTATCCTGGACTCAATCAGAGCTTTGCAGACTCTGAGCTATCCCTGCACAAGCAGCCGCGTACTGGCCTGGTGAAATCCTCACCCAAACAGCCCTAACCCAGTACAACCATCAGCTCTCATTGCCCAAGCCCTCCCTACCTTACCTAACCACACCCTACCCAACCCAACTACACCCTACCCAATCACACCCTACCCAATCACACCCTACCCAATCACACCCTACCCAATCACACCCTACCTGGCACAACCACTCCCGACACAACCACTCCCAACTCAACCACACTCTATCCAACAACACCCTACTCAACCACACTCTATCCTCTATCCAACAACACCCTACCCGACCTGGCCCTATGCTGACCCACGCACACCAACCCATACCTCAACTCCTCCTGGGCCTGCTATAAGGCTGGCGCCTGTTCCACAAACCAAACCCGAATATGATTGTCAGTCAGCACTGCGCAATAAACTGTTAATGCAGTTCAACACAAGACTGGTGGTATCAGATCTCGATGCAAATCCGTTCCTGCCACCAGAATACAGGTGTCACTTCCCAGACAGGTGGAAAACCTTTCATGCAATCATCCCCGACCCAGGCTAGTCCTACATAATAACCCACATCCATCTCGCCCTCACTCTTAACTAAACTCGAAACCAACTGGCCAACCTTACTCTACCTCACTCTACCTGATCCTACATACCTCTTCTGCACCATGCCCTAACCTTTTAAAACCTACTCCGTTCCTCCCCTCACTGCCCTACCAGACGTGATCTGACTCTTTGCGGTTAGCTCCCGTCCTGCTCTTGTCTGCATATAATGTGATGAGATGGCCCCTGTCAGCCCCAGCGTTTACTCGTAGAGCAATAAAATGGGACTGCTTAATTCTAGTTGGGATACAGATCGCACCACTGCACTGCCCGAACACGAGCTCCTAATTCGGTGGTCAGCAACCTGCGGCTCTTTAAGGACTGCTTTGTGACGTTATTTATTAAGGACCACCGTCTCGTATTCACGTTGCATTGCAGGCCCCTTGAAATATTGAGTTTTTTTAAATCGAAATTAGAAAAAAGGCACTTTTTGTTATTTTGATTTCTGACTCCTGCCTTAACGCCACTCGCCTCGATCACAACCCTGCCCCAGCTGGGACTAAGCCTGCCCAGGGGCAACTCCCTGCTGTTGATATCCCTGAGAGAGCTTGACAGATGCTGCTATCTTCTGCAACAGTAGACAATCAAGAATAGCCCAGAGTGCGGCTGCTGTCACTAATCTCAAACCGCGGACCACAAAGTAACACCACTGCTCACTTCCATCGTTTAAGTCTATGGATCTCTATTTGAGCCAGTGTATCGCTCAAACCATGGACCACATCGTAAGACCACTGCACGCTTAGATCATTGACCAGAACCACTTAAAATACATTGTGTGTGTATCTGTGGGTCTCTATGTAAGTCTGTTCATCTCTGTGTGAGTATGGATCTGTATGCGAGTCTCTGGGTGTCTATACAAGTCGTTGAATCTCCACGATATTCACCAGGCTACTCCTGAAGCTCACTCGCCAACCTAGACACAAGCGTGTGAGCATTGGTGATCAACCCCGCACCATGTTTGAGGACGAGAGGGATAAGGAAGCAGGCGCTCCACTCCATCCCCGCTCGTCCCTAACTCTGTTACGCAGTAATATAATGGAACTCGTGCGCCCTATTGATTTAGGATCTCCGCTGGGGGCAGCGTAATTGAGCCAGAGGCAGCTGGGTCATGGAGGGGCTGTTCATAATGGCCAGGGCTCAGCGCGAGTGGAGGACGTGGCGCGTTCCGTTCAAACGAGGTACCACACAGCGGGGAAAACGTCGCTGTCATCGAACACAGTGCTGCAGCCAATCAGTAGCCCTATACTCCTCGCGCTCAACTCTTCACCCTAAACCATAATCCCAACCCTTAGTTGTTAATCCCAACTCTAAACCCCAACATCCAACCATAACCCCAATTCTAAATCTTAACCATAACCTCAGCCTTAACCCTAGACCAACCTTAATCTTGGCAATAAACCCTATCCCCAACATTAACTCCAACCCTGAACACAAACTCTTAACCTCAATCTAAAACCTTAAACTCCAACCCTAATCGCAGCTCTTATCCCAACCCTTAGCCCTAAACCCTAATATCCCAGTTCCCAACCGGAACCCTATCCCACTGTGAACCAATCAAAACACAGTCCCATGCAGAGCGCTACAAATAACTTGACACAACACAGTGTATTTGCAAAGAGACAGCATCTCAAGACGCTGTACAGAAATGGGGAGCATATTTAAATGGAAGCACTCATTGGCCCCTATGTGAGTCTATGGGTCCCTATAGGTCCGTATGTGAATATTACTGGTCTATATGGAGTCTATGGGTCTTTGTGTTTTGTATGGGTCTAAATGCGAGTCAGTACAGTACAATACAATGGGCTGTACAGAAACTCTCGTACAAATGTATTTATAGAGTCAATGTGTTGTAGGCAGAAGAGAATGGAAGGAGATCAGCCTGAACTTTACATTGACTTATTATCTCATCATTGCGTTTATTTTCGTTATCATTAATTTGTGTAAAGTGCTCGAGTAAGTCTTCTGGGTTCTTTCGATAAAGTCACGTAGAATGGGAATACAATAATAATAACAGAATAAAATTCTCACGACGTTTCGACCACAACACAAGTAGCCTTCCTCAGGTGAAGAAACAGGACTGTCCGGAAGACTGCTATTGTGTGAGCGTTTTAACAGTCTGATCATTATTATCCCTTGTTATGCTGCACGTGACAATCTCGGGAACTTCTCTAGTCCCCCGAATAGAAGGAAGTCCTAAAGATAGAGGCTTGTGGTCTCGGGAGACTGATTGAGTCATTTAAAGATATTTTTGCCATCGTCCTCCAGCAGTGTGGACTGTCAAGGCGAGGTTGTAGGGATAGGGCGAAACGGGGTCGCAGGGAGTGGACAAATTAGGGGAACTGGGGTGGGGGCACGGAGGGGTTCTCAGCTGCCCAGGCGAGCCGCACAGCTGCATATCCCTCATCCCCCCCCCCCTTCCCACCACAACAGCCTCAGCCTAAAATAGTGCAACATCCCCCAGCCAGCGCTAGAGCGGAAACTCAGAAGCGGAATTTGTAGCGGCACCAAAACTGCACAAGCGTCCACCTGTGGTGGGCGAAGTTCCCGAGCACAGACGCGGCTCTGGTGCGAGTCGTGACGCCACCGCGTGGGTTCTTTACGGTTGTGCCGCACGGCTCTCTCCGCTGTGTTTTTGGGGTTGCGCCGCCCGCATTGTCGTTCGGCACGTCGCCCGACATTCCGCTCCGCGCGCTGGGAGCATCCTCGGTGCCGGGACCCGGGGAGCCGCGAGCCGTTTTCTCTTGCCGGCATGTGGAGCGAAACGTCGGACGTCGTGCCGAACAAGAACGGGCGGCGCAAGCCGAATGAGCAGCGGGGACACGGATGAGTCGTCGTTGGGTGGGGGGCACCCATCAGCGCACTCGGTTCACCCCTGCGACACCGCCGCCGTGGACAGTGGGCTTTCTGTGCTGCATTCATACAACGCGTGATGTTGTCAACATGACGATCAGTCATTATCCACTGGTGGATGAAGGCCTCACCACACCCCGACCATTCCTCATGGACCGCTGCTGCCGTCCATCTGCTGTACATGAGCCAATCTGATCTCTTCGCACCATCTCCACACCGGTCGTCCTCTTGGACAACGTTCCCACCTGCGGCTGCCCATTCCATCATGAGTCTCGTCCCATCTATCGATCTGTCCTGCCCAAGCCATGTACCCTTTTTATTCTCGGTGTGATGTTCCTTTTCTGCCTCGCGGTGCAATTAAAATCATTGCACCCCTCCACGCTTCTTTTGCACGCGCTCCAACGTTTGTTTCGTTTTATTTGTCAGCACACCTGCGGGCACGATGTCTCTGTGCTAAAACGGTTGCTTCTCAGTAGCGTGTACTCGCTTGCCCGTCCGTCGTGCTCGCTGCTGCTACTGTTTCTGTTGCAGCGGTGGTGGCAATCGTGGCGGGGTGTTTCCTGCATGTCGATTGGCTCGGCTGCTTTGGCACGTACCGCCAGTGCACATGCGTTGCCATCTCTAGGTGCCGTGCCATTACTCTTGGAATTAAAACGTCGAGCCCTGCTTTCTTGCACCCCCCCCCCCCCCGACTAACAAGAGGGTAGCAGGGTGGGCGCTGAGGTTTTGGTTTGGGTGGCAGGGTCTTTACCAACTGATGCCGCTACTTGCTACCCCTGTGGCCACAAACACTAGGGTTCCCTGCTCGGGGGTTTCTGACTACCGAGTCTCAATTTCCTTCCCTGGTTCCCTCCCTCCCTGCTCGCCCTACCCGCCTGCTATCGCTGGTTCCCATGTTTCCGTGGCAGCCAGGGAGCACGGCACTCGCAGCTCGACAGATTAATATCTGCTGCTCCCTTTTCAACGTCGGGTGTTTCCTGTTGGCCGTGTCACGATTGCCTGAGCGTGTCCCACGCTTTCCCCGCGAGCAGCGGTGCCGCTCAGGAACTGCTGCTAAATCTCCCTCTGCCGTGCGGTCATATTTCACCCCCTAACCGGGGCTCCTCACCCCTGACCCAAGCTCCTCACCCGTACAGGATTCGTCATCCTTACCGGGACTCTTCTTCTGGAACACCCTGCCCCCCTACCAATAATCCAGGACTCCTGCGCCCTACCTTCATACCAAGTCTGACTCTGCCTGGGAAGGCGGGAGGGGGTGGCGGTGTGGGGCGTGGGTGACTGTGGTGTCACTGAGAGGAGCTGCCCCGGCACAGTTTTTCCTAGAACCAGCGGCCGGTGTGTCAGCGAGGAAGCGACACCCCTGCTAGTATTTGCGGTCGTGCGTAATGAACTTTCACGGATTTCTAAATCTTCGCCGCATCCCGATTCTTCTCCCCGTGTGTTCCCTGTTTTTCCTTCTGCTCCCCCCCCCCTTCCCCCCGCCTTCCCCTCCGCAGATCGGATGATCGGGGAGAGCCCCTGAGCCGGGAGTCGTGATGACGGACCACGAGGTAATGTCACAATGCAAGGCCACCACGCACGGGGTCGCATGAGGGGCCACGCTTGGGGTCACAGGGTCACACGCACACACGGGGTCACGTGTACATGAGGTCACACACACAAGGTCATTCACGGGGTGGCACGAGACCACTCGAGGCCCCTCGTCGGGGCCTTGTGGGGCTCCAGCACTCCCTCAACATCTGCTGTGTCCCCAGACCTGGGCCCCCGGGACCCACTGTGTGGCTCGTTACAACTACCACGGCACGGCTAACGACGACCTCTCCTTCAACAAGGGCGATGTGCTCATCATCGTCTCCGACAACAAGGCATTTGGGCTCACCGCCTCACTGCCTCACCACCTCGCCACCTCACCACCTCACGCCCTTACAGTCTCACCGCATTACAGTCTCACCACTCCACCACCTCACCCACTCATAGCATCACCACCTCACCATGCCACAGTCTCATCAACTCGCAACACCACCACCTCACTCCCCACACCTCGCCACCTCACCCGAGTGCCTCGCGTAGCCCAGGGTTCCCCGATCAATCGTCGTGATTGCGTCCATCTGTGTGTACGTGCTCCTCCTCCGCTCTCACGCGCACGAGTGAACCACTCGGTGTGCACGCGCGTGCGCGTGACCGCACAGAGAAACGCGCGCGTGCGTGATGTGTTTACGGGTGTGTGAACGCGCACGCTCACGCACGCGCGAATCCCCCGACCCCGTGCGTGCGTGCATGTGAACGCACAGGACAGGAACTGGTACCAGGCTCGCAACAAAGATGGCCGCGAGGGCTTCATTCCTGCAAACTACGTGCAAAAACGCGAGGCCGTCAAGACCGACGGCAAGCTCAGCATGATGCCGTGAGTGCCCGTATTGAGCCCGTCCCACCCGATCTGGTGAAGCTGGGGGCGGCAGGGCAGGGGGCTGGAGGTCAGCCCGGTTGCTTGTTACATGAGCCGGCGTTTTTGGTTAGGGTGGCAGAGTCTCGGCCGATCCGGTTGGGGCCCGGCGCGGTGGTTTGATCTCACGGAGGTTGGGGGTGGTGGGGAAACTCGGGGCCCACGGGGGCTCGATGCGGCCCGCAGCCACGTGAGGCCTACCGGTTATAAACGGCGTGCCAATGGTTTACTTGTGCTGATCTTAATTGATATTCGGCTTGGCCCCGTGATACACTGAATCGTAATACTGCCTGCGATAACCTACCTGTTGAGATGTTTACGCTGTTTACAGTTCAGATTTCTGCCCGTCTTCTCTCTACACGATGGTACAACCCAGTGGAGTACTTTTCAGTGTCGTATTGCGAAGTTTGTTACCGTGACGCCGGCACGCAATGGCCGACTCGTGCACACGATCTTCAACGTTCACTGTGAGTGAAGCAAACGGCGTGGGGCACTGTTACGGTTGACATACGCACCGCAGTATTAACCAGGGCAGCCAGCCGGATTCGAACCGCGAGCCTCAACAAACAAGCGACGGCGGTGAACACGCCGCCCACCAGGGAACCGTGGGAAGCAGGGAGGGGAGGGATCGTATGATATTCGTAGTCGTCTGATCCCAGGTTCAGACATCTATGCGGGGTTAAAGGTGGTCCTCTCGCCCGACGCGTGCTCGTGGCGGGCGCGTGCACCGCAGGTGGTTCCACGGGAAGATCCCAAGGGAGCAGGCGGAACGCCTGCTGTGCCCTCCAGAGGATGGGATGTTCCTGGTGCGTGAGAGCACCAACTACCCGGGCGACTACACGCTGTGCGTGTGCGCCGGTGGCAAGGTGGAGCACTACCGCATCATCTACCGCGAGAGCCGGCTCACCATCGACGAGGAGAGCTACTTCGACAACCTCATCCAGCTCGTCGAGGTGAGCGCACGAGCACGCGTACGTACGTACGTACGCGTGTTTGATGAGGAGCGGTGGCGCAGTGGTTATGATAATGATGGTGGTGGTGATGATACGTGGAGAAAAAGACCGAAAAAGGGTTGGTGGTGGTGGTGATGGTGGTGGTGATGGTGGTGGTGATGATGCTGGTGCTGGTGGCAAACACAGATGGGAAGCGATGGTTGTAGTGGTTCACGCATTCTTGCTATGAGCCTAGCGACCTGAATTCAATTCTCGCTCTTGGCCTACGTCAGTGACAGAATATCTAAACCGGTCCTAGCTCGCCCCTGGGTCAACTCAGGACGAAATGGGTACCTGGTGTGGTGCGTCAAGTCAGCATTCGGCAGACAGAGACACGAAGCAGTGGTGATAGCCACACTACCCCTTTGTGAGCCCTGCCGGCCTTCATAGGTGCTCGGGAACAGCACTTGCCCCAACAGTCTGCTTAAGGCTATACGGGGGGGGGGGGTCTTTGTCATTGTGTGTGTGTGTGCACCTGGACGAGTCCGCATTGGGAATCTGCATTGATGTATGTATTTGTGTTTGTTCATGAATGTGGATGTGTGTGTGTGCTGTGTGTGCGCATGTGTGTCGCTGGGAGCTGTAACAGTCTGCTTTACAACAGCGACATGGACTTGTACAGCGTCCCAACGCGATTACAACACAATGCGTTACGCAACAACAGAGGGCACATTTGTTTCATTTTTTATTGTTTTATTATTGCGCTTTTACCCGGGAAGCCTCACTGAGTCTCAAGACTCTCCTGCAGAAGAGTCATGCCAAGTTTTCACGGCATTAGGGAGCAATGTTGTTGTTGCTGCGTGTGATCCCGGATTGAGTAATTTGCAGGTGATTTCTAAGCATTGGGATGCTTTGGCCAGAACCAGCAACATTGTTTTAGCTATGAGATGAGGAAGCCAGAGAACCCGGAGGAAAACAGGGCGCCCGGGTCAGGAATGGAACCCAGGAACTTCTTGCTGTGTGACGCGAGTATCAACGCTGCACCGCCCTTATAGAGAGGGTTGGTCGGTCATCGGCCTCTGTGAGTCTCTACGTCTCTGTGTGAGTCTATGGGTCTCTCTATATGTCTTTGGGGTTATGCGTAAGTCTATCGATCTACGTTGTGAGTCTATGGGTCTCTGGGTCTATGGGTCCACAGTCATTCAAAGGCAGAGGAAAAATAGGAACTTGTTGAGCCTGATCTTAAACAGGGGCAGGGAGCTGACAGCACGGCTAACCAGGGGATGGGTGTTTCAGACCGTGAGGGGCATCAGCAGAGGTGGTGCGGTGTGGGGGGGGTGGATCGGGTAAACCTTACCCCCCCCCCCCCGCTCGTTGTTTATCTCCATGGTGATCACTGGCCTACCCGCTTCTCCCTGAGCCCACGGCACACGACGCGGGGGACACGGCATCCTTGTCAGTCACCTTTGGTCGTTGCTTTCGAAATGTCAAAGGTTGCTTTCTCATGGCACTTCACGTACAGTGCGGGTCAGGTGTACAGTTCACATTTTAAGCGGAGCGCGTGGGTGCAACTCGGCATCTAAATCCGGACGAGTTCCTTTTTTTTTTTGCAACAAATACAAATTGTAGAAGAGAAACCGCGAACTTCCTCCGTCACTGCGGCGTGCGAACACATGCGGCCTTGCTTGGCCCGTGATGGCACCGGCTGTCGCAATCAGTGGGGCCTTTCTCAGCCGAAGCGGGGTGTGCGGTTTGGCGAGCGTCCTTTGGCTCGGGCCACACGAGCGGCGCGAGTTTCCGTGACGTCGGCAATGCGTTGTGGGAGAGGAAAAGGGCCCCCACGATCCTGGGCGGCCGATTCTTCGTCGCTCGCCGGGCTCGTAACGGGCCTGGGGGCGGAAAGGGTGGGGGGGGGCACGCATTGCGCCCCAGGCCCCAGGCCCCACGCCCCACGCCCCACGCCCCACGCGAGGGTTTTCTGCGCTCAGGTTTTTAGATAAACGGTAGAGACCACCACCGCCGCATCTAAGCCGTGCGGGGAGATGCTCACACAAAGCCCCGTGTGTGTGCGCATGTGCGTGTGTGTGCATTTGTGTCACTTATGCACAGTGCGGCTTTTCAGCGTTGTCATGGTAATGGCACTCAGTGGTTCAGTGTAGCGGTTAGCAAACTGCTCTACGAATCCAGCGACCAGAGTTCGATTCCCGCTCAAGGCCAACACCATTGACGATCAGCCCTAAGCCGACTCGGCTTCAAACAAGTACATCGCCGCTCGGGAGACCAAGGCGGCTGCGGCAAGGTGTTGGCCACCCACCCTCTCGTGTGATTCAGTTGCTGGCTGAGTACTGCTCGTAGTGACTGTGTGTGCTTTGCTGTGCACGTGTGCTGTGTACTTCGCGTGGTGACCGTGTGTGCTGTGTGGTGTGGGTGTGGTGGAGAGTGGTGGTGTCGCGTGCTGCGCTATGAACCGAGCGACCCGAGGTTAATTCCCGCTCACGGCCAAAACCGTTTGTGTGAACATTGCCACGAGGGAGACAAAGATGGCAGGGCGTGTTGGTGACCACCACCCCCTGTTTCCCGTGCCAGTCTTCATAGGTGCTCGCTAACAGCACTTGCTCTTACAGTCTGTTAAGGCTATACGGGGGGTATCTTTGCGTGGTGGGTGTGGTGTGCATGCGGTGTGTGTGTGTGCTGTGTGTGTAGAAGCTACCTGGTCTGTCGCTTCACATGAAGTTTAGGGTCTTCTCGGGCAGTTGTGCTCTCCCTTTCTCTATGCTTGAAAAACGTGGACACCCCGAATGGAAAATCTTCGCCGGTTAGACATTCAGGCTGGCCTGCCTATGATCCATCCTTAGGTTAACAAAGCTGGATTGTGTGAAGAGTTTACAAATCCTTGAAAGATTCTGGACACAGTCCCATAGGTGATCTCCTCCGGTGGCAGGCAAGGCAGCGTTCGCTGTGTCATGTAGCCCGCATGCCCAGCCACCGCATACCTAATCAGCTTTTGTTCATCCGGATAGAGGAGGCTAAACAGGCACAGCACGGGCTAGAGAAGAGATGGAATAATGTAGTACCAGAGGATATATAGCTGAGTGGACTCGTCAGTGCCTGGTACCAGCGGTGTCAAGATTGGCCTCTGTGAAAGAGGTTCGTGAAGGACGCTACTGGGCAGTTGGAGGCAGTCGCCCTCCAGCAACAACGGAGGGCGGAGGAGCAACGCTCACAACAACGAGCACAGTGCTGGGCAGCTAAGGCACAGCAAGTTGGCACAGTAGGGGGCACAGGTGGTGCATCTGCCAGTCATCTCTGTCAGTTAACCCATGGCACATGGGTCTGTCCCGTGACCTCCTGCCAGCGGACGTTCGACACTTCACGTGGCCTTAAAGTGCACATAGCCTGGCACAAGCGTCGTGCTGACGTCACTGCCATTCGTTGCAAATGGCGGTTGGTGTTGCTGTGTGTGTGCGGTGTGTGTGCTGCTCGTGTGTTTGTAGTTGAGCTTTCGTGGGGTCACCCTGTCCTCACGAGCCACCGGATAGCCCATGGTTCTCTATTCTACGCCAGCAGTCTGGCCCAAAACTAAAACGTGGAATGCACGTTTATAAGTTGTGCTTGCACAAGCCACGAATTCGTCAAATCGACGCATTGATCAATGTCACCTTGGCCTTAAAAGAGAAATATAACATAGAGGTATAAAACGGAAAATGTTTTGTGCAATGTCCATTCTTCCTAGCATTCATTACAAGACATTTCTGGTCTCCTAAGCCCCATTGCTTGGGTTAAATATGAAATAAATATGAGTCTGGAGAGGCTGCTTCACTTGGGCGTGGTTGCGTGAGCATCTCTGCGCGTCCTTGTGCGCGCGTGAGCGCACCCTGGCGTGTGTGGCTGCGTTTGTCAACGAGCCTTCCACGCTTCACATGGCCTCAAGGTGCACTTAGCCTGGCACATTCACTGTTATGATGTAACCGCCACTTACACGTCCACCTTTGCCCCGCTAGTCTTTTAAAGGCTATAAGGAGTATTTTTGTCTTTGTCTGGTGTTTGCAAGGTTACACATGGGATCCCTGTCATTGTGTGTGGGGAGCGGTGGTGCAGTGTTAGCGCACTGTGCTATGAATCCGAGTTTATTTCCCGCAATATGACCAATAACAGTCATGATAATCTGAACCATTCCGGGGCTTCTATTAAGTGGACTCGGCTTTAAATCGAGTACCTGGCATAAACATACACCACATGAAGCACTTCAGAGACAAAGGCGGGCAGGTGTGGTGTTAGCCACCAACCACCCTCTCATTTGCAGTGTCGGCCTTCATAGGTTCTTGCTAACAGCACTTGTCCCAACAGTGTGTTGAAGGCTATATGGGGAATCTTTATCTTTGTGTGATCATGCCTGTGTGTGTGCCGGTGTCTCTACGGCTACACATGGGATCTGTGACTGTGTGACTCTGTGACTGTGCGTGTGACTGCTGCGCCTGTGACTGTGCGCATGTCCCAGCATTACACGCAGGAGGAGGACGGGTTGTGTACACGGCTCATCAAGCCCAAACCCATCGAGGGCGCCATCGCCGCTCAGGAGGTTTTCTCCAAGGGTGAGTGACGCATGGCGGGGGGCGGGCGGGCGGGGTGGAGGTGCGGGGAGGGGCACCTCTCTCGCCATCTGCCTTGGCGCCAGAAGCCTCCTCCTCTTGTGCTCTTGGGCAGGCAAGCTCGTTCGACAGAGTTCGGGCGGGCGTCTCTCGCCTGGCTCGCCGTGATCACCGAGCCCACTCAGTTCCGTTGGACGTGTTGCGGTTAATAATTAACAAAAATACATTTGTACGGGGCAGCATGTTATCCGTAGGTCCCAATGTACAGCGCTAGGTGGCGGTTCGCACACAGACGCAGTGGGGGTGCTTACTTCATGGAGAGAAAGGGGCGCAAGTCTCTGTGAGAGAGTACTGGTCTCTGTGTATTTTGAAGATCTAAAGCGAGGCAGTCAGTCAAAGAGGGGGAAGAGGAAGCGAGACTAAGTAGTGGATAGCATGGAAGGGAGTTGCAGACTGAGGACAGCAGAGGAAAATGAGCGACCTCCCACTGAGCCCAGGTTGACTGGGGTCTTGAGTAGAGAGAGCGTTGGTTGCTGGAGCGGAGAGTGTGTGGAGGGAAGTAGAGTGAGATGAGAAGGGAGAGAGGCAGGAGAGTGTGGAGGTAGGGATGTGGTTTCCCAGGGGCTGTGGTATGGTGCCTGCTTAACGTGAATGTAACTTGATTTTTTTCAAAATATTGATGCGTTTTTATTTTGTGTGCTTGTCTTTCTCATGCATATACACACATGCACACTGAAAATTACACACTCACACATGCACGTGATCACACATGCACGTGATCACACATGCATGAACAAAATCCACTCGCACACTGACACACGCGCATAAATACACACACACACATGCACACACGCACACGCAGGCGGCTGGGTGATTGACGTGCATGAGCTGAACTTGGGCAGCTCCGTGGGGAAGGGCGAGTTTGGAGGTAACACAACGCTCACACCCGTGGGTTTTGGTGGGGGGCAGGGAAGTTGCCCCCCATTTCCGCCTGGCTCTGGGGGATGGAGTGGGAGGGGCCCTCTGGGTCGCGAGCGCCAGTGTTGGCTCATCAGTGAGCAATTGATTCATCAGACAAGGCCCATTGTGGGTCTGTGTGACCTTTGACTCGCCCGGCTCGGGGTGCGGGTTCCTCGGCAGTAGCACAGTCTCTTCAGTGTGCTCCACACGAGTGCTTGCGTGCCTGCGTGTGAGGGAGTGTGCTTGTGTGCATGCCTGTGTGCATGCCTGCGTGTGTCTTTGTGTGTATGAGAGAGTGGGGAGCGGTCATGTAGCGCTCCGAACCCGGCGGACCCGAGTTCGATTCCCGCTCGTATCTGAATAGCTGCTGGGCCGCTTCGCCCCAGGTCCACTCGGAGACAAAGGCGGTCAGGCGTGGTGCTGGTCACGCCAACCCATCATGTGCCGTGCCACCCTTCATAGGTGTTCGTCAACAGCACTTACTGCAACAGTCTGCTTAGGTTATACGGGGGATCTTTGTCTCCGTCTCTACAGGTGTGCGTGCTTGTGTCTGCGCGGGTGTGCGAGACAGACGTACTCGAGGGCTGCTACCGTGGCAACCGCGTGGCCGTCAAGATCATCAAGAGCGATGCCACGGCGCAGGCATTCCTCGCAGAGGCGGCCGTCATGACGTACGCACATGCACGCACGCACATATACTCGCACGCACGCACATATACTCACGCACTCGCGCACTCGCGCACAAAGGGCTCCCGTGTAGCCCACTCAGGCAGCTGGGGTCAAGTGCTGTTCGCGAGCACCCATGAGGGCTGGCACAGCGCTCGAGGGAGTGGCTATGGTCAGCGCCGCGCACGGCCGCCTTCGTCTCTCCAGTGCTGATGTTGGCTACGCACACCGCAACGGCGACTTTCCGGGCAGGGTATGGCACACACGTGTCCTTAAGTCCAGCGCTGTGGAGGCCAGGGTTGGTGGATTCTCTGGTTTCCTCCCACGTGTTTCAACACTCGTTAATTTGGCTGACAATATCTTAATGTTTCGAGGAGCACAGAGCTTAGGCAATTGTTGGTGGTGCCGACTCCTTACCGGGTGGCTGCTGCTGCTGCCTTTCCGCTCGCTTGCCGTTCCTCCTCGGCGATTTGGAGAGACGCTATCCGAACAACGACGGGGCTACAGATGATACTAACGCAGATTAAGCTACGCACTTGCCCCAACAGACTGTAAAGCCTGCACGAGAGCATCTTTTCCCCTGCCTTTGGTGCCTCCTCGCCCCCCCCCCACCCCTGCAGTGAGATCCGGCACAAGAACCTGGTGCAGCTGCTGGGCGTGGTGATGGGTGACTACCTCTACATCGTCACCGAGTTCATGGGCAAGGTCCGTGAACAACAACAACAACAACCAAACAACGTCTTTCATTCTCCCAGGAAGGCTTCAGGGAGTGTCGAGACTCGTTCTCACGAGGGGGTCCTTCGTTGGGGATGTTTGGCCAGTAACTTTAATGGGCGTTTGGCTTTGTACGGGAGGAGACCCTGGTGGAAACCCTTCCTACACAGACGGGTTCACAAAACCCATTTTAGAGTCTCCCCCCCCCCACATCGCCTCTTTCCCCCCGCACGCTCTCACAACAGCGATAACCTCCCTCAATTCAGGAGACGTGGTAGCCAGGCGGTGGAGGCTACGCTGCTGCACGTGGCAGCCTGTGATCAAAGTGCTCCAATTTACTCCCACACTCATCACTAATTGGCCGATGATGACCCCTTCAGATATATAGAGGGCCGCAGAGCTCGGGCAATTGTTGGTGGCACCGGCTCCTCACCACCGAGTGGCTGCTGCTGCCTTCCCGCTGGTCTGTCGCTCCTCCTCGCGCCTCTGAGTCGTCCACTCTCTCTACGGGAGCGAGCAACTGCTGTGCGGCGCCACGTTTTATTATTAATATAATCACTCATCTTTTTTCACTTTGATGGCGCTGTTTGTTGCTGGCGGTTTTATGTTTTGGGCCTGTGCTCAGCAGCTGTGTTTAAAGGAGAGAGTGGGGACCGTGTTGTTGTCGGTGACCGGTGTCGTGGTTACAGGGCAGCCTCGTGGACTACCTGAGATCGCGGGGTCGCTCAGTCATCACGCAGAGAGACCTCATCCAGTTCTCCCTGTGAGCGCTGCCACTCGCACACACTCTCACACCCGCACACACTCTCACACACTCGCACACACACTCACGCTCGCACACACTCTCACGCACTCTCACACACACTCACGCTCGCACACACTCTCACACTCGCACACACTCTCACACTCGCACACACTCTCACACTCTCACACACTCTCACACACCCACACACACTCTCACACCCACACACACTCTCACACACTCTCACACACACACTCACACCCACACACACTCTCACACTTTCACACTCACGCACACACTCTCATACTCACACACTCTCACACACTCACACACTCACACACTCTCACAGACACACACACACACTCACACTCGCACACACACACTCGCACACTCTCACATGCACGCACTCACACACACACACTCGCACACACTCTCACGCTCTCTCACACACACTCGCACGCTCGCACACACTCTCACACAAAGATCCCCCATATTGCCTTAACAGACTGTAGGGGCAAGTGCTGTTAGCGGGCACCTATGAAGGCCGGAACGGTACACGTGGAGGTGGGTGGCCAGCACCACGCTCGACCGCCTTAGTGTCACCAGTGGCAATGTTTTTATCCACCGCACCAGGTACTCATTTGAGGCTCAGTCGACCTAGGGGAGGCCCAGGATCGGTTCAGATAATCGTCACCGGTGTTGGCCGTGAGCGGGAATCGCACCCGGGTCGCCAAGTTCATAGCGCAGCGCGCTAACCGCTACACTACCGCTCCCCACACACACGCTTACTCACACACACTCACACTCACTCGCACACTCGTACACACCCACTCACACACTCGCACGCGTATCGCCATCGTCTTCAGCACCTCTGAAGGTCGGCACGTTACACGAGGGGGTGGAGCTGGGCTTTAGCATCGCCAGGGGCCACGACATGGAGACCAAACTGATCACTTGGAGCGCACGCACATGCACACATGCACACACGCACACATGCATGCACACACATGCACGCACACACATACACGCACACACATGCATGTGCATATGCACACATACACAAAGACAAAGATCCACTGTATAGCCTTAGCAGGCTGTGTTGGGGCAAGTGCTGTTTGCGATTAGGACCTATGAAGGCCGCGACGCCACACTAGGGGGTGGTTGGCCACCACCACGCCGGCCATCTTTGTTGCTGTGTTGTTGTGTTGGCAACTCGGTGTGTCCTACGTAGGAAGATGCCGTGTAGTGGTTAGCACACTGCGCTCTGAACCCGGCGACCCGAGTTCGATTCCCGCTCGCGGCCAACATCTGTGACGAATATCTAAACTGGTCCCGGGCCTCACCTAGGTTGACAAGGCCTCAAATGGTTACCTGGTGTAGTGTGTAACCATCAGCACTGGTGCTAGGCACCCACCCCCTTCTGTGCCATTTTGACCTTGATTGGTGCTTGCTAATAGCTCCTGCCTCTACAGCCCATGTAGGCTACATGGGGGATCTTTGTGTGAATGATGATGTCCATGTGTCTTTGTGCGCATGTGGGGGCGGTGGCGCAGCGGTTAGCGAGCTGCACGACGAATAACAGTGGCGAATATTTGAACCAGTCCTGAGCCTCCCCTACATCGCAACTAGGGAGACAAAGGCGGCCGGGCATGGTGCTGGCCACCCACCCCCTCGTGTCCCGTGCAGGCCTTCATAAATGCTACTCGCGAACGGCACTTGCCCCAAAAGTCTGTTAAGGCTACACAAGGAATCTTTGTGTGTGTGTGTGTGCGCGCGTATCGGCGCGTCCCAGCGACGTGTGCGAGGGCATGGAGTACCTGGAGTCGCGGCGCTTCGTGCACCGCGACCTGGCGGCACGGAACGTGCTCGTGTCGGACGACAGCATCGCCAAAGTGAGCGACTTCGGCCTGGCCAAGGAGCAGGCGACCGCCACTGTCGACAGCAGCAAGCTGCCCGTCAAGTGGACCGCCCCGGAGGCGCTGCGGCACAACGTAGGAAGAGCCGCACGCGCCCCGCACAACCACGCATCGCCACCTCGTGACACAACCACGTGGGCAGCTGCACACACGCACGTGTTGGTGGTACAGCCGTACAGGCAAGCACACGAGCATGTGGTGGTGTGTGTACCGGTGTGCGTACCACTTTGTAGCTCGGTGTGTGCCGCTGTGTGTACCAATGTGTGTGCGTGCCAGTGTGTACCCGTGTGTGAGCAGTGGTGTAGAGGTTAGCGTGCTGCCGAGTTTGATTCCTGCTGACGACCAACACCAGTGACAATTATTAGAAGGTGTCCTGCGTCTCCCCTAATAATTAGTAACTGGTATGATGTGTAAATATCAGCACCGGAGAGACAAAGGTGGCTGGGCATGGTACTGGCAACCCACGCCTTTGTGTGCCATGCTGGCCTTCATAGGTGCTCGCTAATAGCACTTGCCCCAATAGCCTGTTAAAAGTTACACGGGGGATATTTGTCTCTGCGTGCGCTACGCAGGCCTTCACATCACAGTCAGACGTGTGGAGCTACGGCGTCCTGCTGTGGGAGGTCTACTCGTTCGGGCGCGTGCCCTACCCCCGCGTGGTGAGTGCCCCACCTCACCACCCTGCCACCTCACAGTCTCCTCCCTCACCACCCCTACCTACCCACCTTTGTGTGGTGATTGTCATTGGTGGTGACTGTGATATTGGAAGTTGTTGTTGTGATTGCGCTTGTGGTAAAGGGTGGTGTTGGTGTTGGTTGTGGTGCTGATGGTGGTGGTGCCAATTGGCGTGATGACGATAGTGTTGGTGTCGGTTGTCATGGTGTTAGTAGTGCCAACAGGCAATGGTGCCAAACTGATGGTGCCCAACGGTTAAACTGATGGTGCCCAACGGTTAAACTGATGGTGCCCAATGGTTAAACTGATGGTGCCCAACTGTTAAACTGATGGTGCCCAACGGTTAAACTGTTGATGGTGCCCAACCGTTAAACTGATGGTGCCCAACCGTTAAACTGATGGTGCCCAACTTTTAAACGGATGGTGCCCAACGGTTAAACTGTTGGTGCCCAACGGTTAAACTGTTGGTGCCCAACGGTTAAACTGATGGTGCCCAACGGTTAAACTGATGGTGCCCAATGGTTAAACTGATGGTGCCCAACGGTTAAACTGTTGGTGCCCAACGGTTAAACTGATGGTGCCCAACGGTTAAACTGATGGTGCCCAACGGTTAAACTGATGGTGCCCAACGGTTAAACTGATGGTGCCCAACGGTTAAACTGTTGGTGCCCAACGGTTAAACTGTTGGTGCCCAACGGTTAAACTGATGGTGCCCAACGGTTAAACTAATGGTGCCCAATGGTTAAACTGATGGTGCCCAACTGTTAAACTGATGGTGCCCAACGGTTAAACTGTTGATGGTGCCCAACCGTTAAACTGATGGTGCCCAACCGTTAAACTGATGGTGCCCAACTTTTAAACGGATGGTGCCCAAGGGTTAAACTGATGGTGCCCAACGGTTAAACTGTTGGTGCCCAACCGTTAAACTGATGGTGCCTAACGTTTAAACTGATGGTGCCCAACGGTTAAACTGATGGTGACTAACGGTTAAACTGATGGGGCCAATAACCAGAGGCAATACTGGAATCACTGCTGACGACTGTGGTGCTGGTAAACTAAACTACGGTGGTGGTGGTGGTTGTCGCGGTGGTGCAGCCCCTGAAGGACGTGGTGTCCCACGTGGAGAAGGGCTATCGGATGGACGCCCCCGAGCAGTGCCCGCCCGTCGTCTATCAGCTGATGCGCGACTGCTGGAGCCTGGACCCACAGAAGAGGCCCAAGTTCCAAGACTTGCGGCGGAGGATAGAGGCGGAGAAGGGTCGCATCGCCAGCGAGTGACACATGCACCTACACACACACACACGGACCTACACACACACACACACATGGACCTACACACACATGCACCGACACACACACACGAACCTACATACACACGGACCTTTCACACACACACATGGACCTACACACACACACACGCCTATACACACACACGAACCTACATACACATGGACCTACACACACACGCACCTACTACACACACACACCTATGCACAACGACCTACATAAACATGCAAAGACCCCCACAAACACACACCTATACACGTATAACCACCAATACACCTACGCACACCAAAACACACACTGACAGCCAATCTAACACACACACCCAAACATAGCCACTTATGCAGAGTTGCAAACGCACGCACAGAGACGCACACACATGCACAGAGACGCACACACACACACACTGTAGCACCGCACTCCTCTCATTTCCGTTGCCTGGGCTCGTTGTGCTCCACTCTTTGGGAAGCCGGACGCCGACGGTGCCGGGCCACGGCAGCAGCAGCGCCGCCCCCCTTGCATGTCCACGCCTCGTTGAGCCTCACATCGATAACATCGTCATCATTTTTAAATCTTATTACTAACCCGTACTATGGTAGCTTTTTTAATCGTGTCCGCGTGTGCGTGTGCGTGCGTACGCATGCGACGTTTGTGTTCGTGACGCTGGTGCGTTGGCCGGCACTTTCCTTGCAGTTGGGCTGGCACCGCCGCCTGTGCCCCCCACGCCCCCCTCCTCCCCTCGCCCCCCTCCTCCCCTCGGGTGCCCCCCGCCCCCACGGTGCCCCTCTTCGCTTCCTCGAGTCGCACATTTCAGGGTCGCGCCCCCCACGTGGAATGTGGTGGGGGCCGGGGGGGTGGGGGGGGCTCGGCCTCCCGGCCAGGGCTCCGCGCGACCCCCACGAAGTCGGGCGTGCCCGCGGCGCGGGTTCACGCGCGTGCGCGCCACGCGGTGCCGCCCGGTGTGCCATGCTCTGCCATCTGGTGCCTTGTCGCCTTACGCGGGCACCGCGTGGTGCCGTCCGGCGCTTCCCCACCCTGTGGGGCCCCGCGCCGCCTGTGACCGGGTCGCCGCCAACCCTCGACGCGTTTCCTCGGAGCGCCGTGCGCCGGTAGCGTTTTTATAAATTGACCGCGTCGTGCCCGTGACGGTCCCCCACTTGGGGGGGGGGGGGTGGTGACCACGGGTGGGGAATCGCCCCACGATTCCCCACTTGGTGTCGCGCAGACTTAGGTGGCGGGTGGCTCGGGCCGACGGGGTGGGCCCCCCTCTAACGCGCGTGCCCGGCCGTAGCAGCATTTGACCAACGGTCCCGCACGGCGTTCGCCTCTCTCGCCGAGACTGGATGTGGCCGGTCAACCCGGGCAGGTTAATTTATACGGGCGACGTCCAGACACGAGAGGGCGCGAGGTCCCCGCTGGCAGGATGCGGAGAGAGGCCGCCGTGTCCTTGGACGCGGCGATCTCACCGCGCTCCGCTCGTGGGAACCTTTCGTTCTGGTATTTGGGCGAAGTGAATCTTTTCTGAATAAAGTCGCTTTTCATTTTGGTTCTATTTCACTCATCGGTAAGATTTTTTCAGCTCTCCGCCTGACGAGTTCGTTCGCCCGCCCGCCGTCGCCTCCGCGTGCCTCGGGCTGCCCCCTTGGTCGGCCCGCGGTGCGAGCGGCGGGCGCTGTGGTCCGCCGCCGGCCGCCCTCCCTTCCCGTCTTGATGCGTTTACACTGACCCCGCCTGCCCCCCAGCGGTCCTGGACGGTCCTGCGTGTGACATCATCGTCGTCGTCGTTGTTATGGGGTTTTTTTTGCAATTGAATTCCTTAACTCGCGTAACCCTCCCGAGTCCGTCTCACTCTGTGCCCGGTTCCTCGTGTCGCCTCGTCATGTGAATCGGTCCACGCCGAGGTAGACACCTGTCCCCGTGTTTCACTCGGACCTGAAACCTGTGTCCGGCTGGCAGGAATTGATTTTCCGGTTGCAGTATTGCCGTGTTGAACTCTTATCACGGTAAACCGCAGCACGGTTCTGGTTATTGACCTCGTGCCGAGAAACACTCCCCCCTTTGTTTGATCCCCGCAGTGAGAAAAAAATGCGGCGACCTCCGTTTCACGGCACATTTACCATGACCACCTTACGGCAAGCAGCCTGGTGAGGTTTAGGGTTGGGGTGCTGGGCCGGCCCTTGGGCCCCCCCAGCCCCATTTCTAAGCCCAGGCAAGCACGCCTCAAAATCGACTTGGGGCTCCAGGTGGTCATCAAGACGTGACGCTGCTGAGTTTCACACTCGGGCTGCTGCGTTAGTTTCGCAGGAGGGCGGTGTTGCCGCGTGCGTCATCCGAGCGGAGTGTTTTGCGGGTGTGTTTTCACTCTGCCGGTGCCTGGATCGCGCTGGGCTACCCCTAGGCCACGGGTTGGCAACCTGCGGCTCTGGATCCGCGTGCGGCTCTTTAAGGACTGCTTCGTGACCTTATTTATTTAGGACCACCGTCTCATTCACGTTGCATTGCGGCTCTTGAAATATTAAGTTTTCACACAAAAATGGCTCTTTGTCATTTTGGTTGGCGACCCCTGCCCTAGGTCCGTGTATCTTCATTGTGATGAAAGTGACTGGGGCGCTTCTCCGATGGCCCTGTGAAATCACGGCTGTTTACCTGGGCGGCCCAGGGCGGCCCAGGGCGGCCCAGGGCGGCCCAGGGCGGCCCTGTGCGGCCCTGTGCGGCCCTGTGCGGCCCTGTGCGGCCCTGTGCGGCCCTGTGCGGCCCTGTGCGGCCCTGTGCGGCCCTGTGCGGCCGTGGGGACACGGAATCTAGGCCAGACCACCTAGCCCTGTCCGCCAGTCGAACCGCATGCTTCTCGGGTCACATGAAGTCGCAAACACCTCCTCGTGAGAGACCCGACTACACAAAGCAATCTCCTGCCGTGAATCTTCTGGACCACAACCCTGAACCCCGTCGGCACAAACCATGGCAGCAGCAGCAGCAGCAGCTGATACAGTGCTTGATACACAAATGGACAATTAAAAACCTCACCGGCAGTGGAGTCTGGTCACCCACAACACAAGCGTGGAACATTAAACGACGCCTCGGTGCCTGATTCACAAAGACGGAAGAGGCATCGCGACAGCAGCGATCCGCTGCCCCTCGTGACGCATTCGTCTGGCTCGTCCACAACCTCGATGTAGAATGACAGCTGAGGCTGTCCATCAACGTGAGCCTGGCGCAGCACCATTCTCCGTAGCCTTGGGAACGCCGCACCACGGCGCATCGAGCAGGCCCGCGCACAGCGAGGTGTATTGGAGGGGTGTTGGGCGACATTCGAGGATCCAGAGGGGTTTCAGGAGAGCGGGAGGGGTCACGCCAGGGATCTCCTGGACCCCCGCCACGAGGTGGGCCCACGCATGGCCACGGTGCAGCCACGAACGCGGCAACTCATCGCCGCTTGTGTCCCCACAATCAGAATCTTTATCCTGCCTGGAGGAATCTGATGAGCTGTGAAGCTGTTTTACACAGATGTACAGTCGGGGCACGGGGTCGGCGTGTTATAATAACAAAAAACAATTCAACAAAAAACGATAGTGAAAAATCGAGAAGGTAAGCAAGTCACTAAAAGTAAAACTAAGTACGAATTTCTCAAGTACAAACACTCCTGCTGATTGTTCTACACAATGCGAACGACTCTGTCTCAGGCGAGCCCGGCTGCCGATGAGACACTGAACGGTGAAGCCGGCCCGGAGTGTTTGCTGTGTTTAACCAATGCTGTGTGACTGATGCAAAACTCTCTTAAGTCAATCTTATTTGTGTTTACATACGTAGCTGGCGCCTTACTGCCACAAATTGCCAACTCGAAGCGCCATCGCCTTAATACTGAACATAAGAGTTGACAATTCTAAACTATGATGACATGTATATTTACATACTGTCTATAGTTTAAAATATAACTACCAAACTGCGGCTGTGAGTTCAGGCTACACATACGGTGCTATTGTGCTGTGACCTGCAGTGCTGTGAGTGGGTTGGTGAGTAGGTGATGGGTGGGTGAGTGAGTGGGTGGGTGAGTGGGTGGGTGAGTGAGTGAGTGGGTGAGTGGGTGGGTGAGTGAGTGGGTGGGTGAGTGCGTGAGTGGGTGGGTGGGTGAGTGAGTGGGTGGGTGAGTGGGTGGGTGGGTGAGTGGGTGGGTGGGTGAGTGAGTGAGTGGGTGAGTGGGTGAGTGAGTGAGTGGGTGAGTGGGTGGGTGAGTCGGTGGGTGAGTCGGTGGGTGGGTGGGTGAGTCGGTGGGTGAGTGAGTGGGTGGGTGAGTGAGTGGGTAGGTGGGTGATTGAGTGGGTGGGTGGGTGAGTGGGTGGGTGGGTGAGTGGGTGGGTGAGTAGGTGGGTGGGTGAGTGAGTGGGTGGGTGAGTGGGTGGGTGGGTGAGTGAGTGGGTGGGTGAGTGAGTGGGTGGGTGAGCGGGTGAGTTGTGACCTGCAGTGTGGTGCTTGAACACGGTTGACGCAGCACAAGAGTTGAGCACAGCACCGCTTTCGCTGCTGATGAAACCGTCCCTGAATATAAACCGATTCAGGCCGCGCGCCATCCATCCCGTCGCCAGCGCCAGACGTGCTCGCTCCTAAACAAGTTCAACATCCATAGGTGAGCTGCTGCCCAACCTCCCTCCACTGCCCACTCCTTGATGGGGGTGGGGAGGGCGGCACCTCTAACGACACGTGACGTTGAAGAGCCTCGGCTCTTCAACGTCACGTGTCTCGACACCCGAACTCGCGGGGCGCTGCCCGAGTCCCTCTCCTCGTGATGTCTCCTCGCCTCGTCCTGCCCCTCCTCGGCGTCGTCTTCGCGGGGCTCGGAGTCCTCGCTCGGGAGCCGCAGCTCCGCTTCGAGTACAAGCTGAGCTTCAAGGGCCCCCACCTGGTGCTCGGGGATGGCGCGGTGCCCTTCTGGAGCCACACGGGCAGTGAGTAGAGGGGGCCACACGGGCAGTGAGTAGAGGGGGCCACACGCGCAGTGAGTAGAGGGGGCCACACGCGCAGTGAGTAGAGGGGGCCACACGGGCAGTGAGTAGAGGGGGCCACACGGGCAGTGAGTAGAGGGGGCCACACGGGCAGTGAGTAGAGGGGGCCACACGGGCAGTGAGTAGAGGGGGCCACACGGGCAGTGAGTAGAGGGGGCCACACCGGCAGTGAGTAGAGGGGGCCACACGGGCAGTGAGTAGAGGGGGCCACACGGGCAGTGAGTAGAGGGGGCCACACCGGCAGTGAGTAGAGGGGGCCACACGGGCAGTGAGTCGAGGCGTCTCCACGCCGACCTGACGCGACCCAGCGGGGACTCGAACCCGTCGCCGTACTGCTCCGGGGTCTTGGGTGAGACGCACGGCACCGCATGGTGACTGTGGCGCGAATTTCCGTGTGTCTCACCTGGTGCGTGTGTCTCACCTGGTGCGTGTGTCTCACCTATCCGTGTGTCTCACCTGTCCGTGTGTCTCACTTGGTGCTTGTGTCTCACCTGTCCGTGTGTCTCACCTGTCCGTGTGTCTCACCTGTCCGTGTGTCTCACCTGTCCGTGTGTCTCACCTGGTGCGTGTGTCTCACCTGGTGCGTGTGTCTCACCTATCCGTGTGTCTCACCTGTCCGTGTGTCTCACTTGGTGCTTGTGTCTCACCTGTCCGTGTGTCTCACCTGTCCGTGTGTCTCACCTGGTGCTTGTGTCTCACCTGTCCGTGTGTCTCACCTGTCCGTGTGTCTCACCTGTCCGTGTGTCTCACCTGGTGCGTGTGTCTCACCTGGTGCGTGTGTCTCACCTATCCGTGTGTCTCACCTGTCCGTGTGTCTCACTTGGTGCTTGTGTCTCACCTGTCCGTGTGTCTCACCTGTCCGTGTGTCTCACCTGGTGCTTGTGTCTCACCTGTCCGTGTGTCTCACCTGTCCGTGTGTCTCACCTGTCCGTGTGTCTCACCTGGTGCGTGTGTCTCACTTGGTGCTCGTGTCTCACCTGTCCGTGTGTCTCACCTGTCCGTGTGTCTTACCTGGTGCTTGTGTCTCACCTGTCCGTGTGTCTCACCTGTCCGTGTGTCTCGTCTGGTGCTTGTGTCTCACCTGTCCGTGTGTCTCACCTGCCCGTGTGTCTCACCTGTCCGTGTGTCTCACTTGGTGCGTGTGTCTCACCTGTCCGTGTGTCTCATCTGGTGCTTGTGTCTCACCTGCCCGTGTGTCTCACCTGTCCGTGTGTCTCACCTGGTGCTTGTGTCTCACCTGTCCGTGTGTCTCACCTGTCCGTGTGTCTCACTTGGTGCGTGTGTCTCACCTGCCCGTGTGTCTCACCTGGTCCGTGTGTCTCACCTGTCCGTGTGCCTCACCTGTCCGTGTGTCTCACCTGGTGCTTGTGTCTCACCTGTCCGTGTCTCTCACCTGTCCGTGTGTCTCACCTGTCTGTGTCTCACTTGGTGCGTGTGTCTCACCTGTCCGTGTGTCTCACCTGTCTGTGTCTCACCTGTCCGTGTGTCTCACCTGTCTGTGTCTCACCTGTCCGTGTGTCTCACCTGTCCGTGTGCCTCACCTGTCCGTGTGTCTCACCTGGTGCTTGTGTCTCACTTGGTGCGTGTGTCTCACCTGTCCGTGTGTCTCACCTGTCTGTGTCTCACCTGCCCGTGTGTCTCACCTGTCTGTGTCTCACCTCTCCGTGTGTCTCACCTGTCCGTGTGTCTCACCTGTCTGTGTCTCACCTGGTGCTTGTGTATCACCTGGTACTTGTGTCTCACCTGTCCGGGTTCACACGCCACGTGCGTATTGTGCCATATGCTACAATCATCGCAGCGAAACGTGGTGGGTCAGCTGGCCATGGTTGTTATTGCCACGAAACGTGGTGGGTCAGCTGGCCATGGTTGTTATTGCCACGAAACGTGGTGGGTCAGCTGGCCATGGTTGTTATTGCCACGAAACGTGGTGGGTCAGCTGGCCATGGTTGTTATTGCCACGGTCACGGTTCGGGGTTATGATCGGGGTCGAGGCAGGGATCTTCATCGTCACGATCAGGTGAGGGTCATGGTTAAGTTCAGGGGTTGCGGTCAGGGTCATGGTTTGTGGTGTTGACTTTAGGCGGCCTCAAGGCATGCGCGGAGAGAGGAGAGTGATGGAGAGGTCGGGAGAGAGGAGAGTGATGGAGAGGTCGGGAGAGAGGAGAGTGATGGAGAGGTCGGGAGAGAGGAGAGTGATGGAGAGGTCGGGAGAGAGGAGAGTGATGGAGAGGTCGGGAGAGAGGAGAGTGATGGAGAGGTCGGGAGAGAGGAGAGTGATGGAGAGGTCGGGAGAGAGGAGAGTGATGGAGAGGTCGGGAGAGAGGAGAGTGATGGAGAGGTCGGGAGAGAGGAGAGTGATGGAGAGGTCGGGAGAGAGGAGAGTGATGGAGAGGTCGGGAGAGAGGAGAGTGATGGAGAGGTCGGGAGAGAGGAGAGTGATGGAGAGGTCGGGAGAGAGGAGAGTGATGGAGAGGTCGGTAGAGAGGAGAGTGATGGAGAGGTCGGGAGAGAGGAGAGTGATGGAAAGGTCGGGAGAGAGGAGAGTGATGGAGAGGTCGGGAGAGAGGAGAGTGATGGAGAGGTCGGGAGAGAGGAGAGTGATGGAGAGGTCGGGAGAGAGGAGAGTGATGGAGAGGTCGGGAGAGAGGAGAGTGATGGAGAGGTCGGGAGAGAGGAGAGTGATGGAGAGGTCGGGAGAGAGGAGAGTGATGGAGAGGTCGGGAGAGAGGAGAGTGATGGAGAGGTCGGGAGAGAGGAGAGTGATGGAGAGGTCGGGAGAGAGGAGAGTGATGGAGAGGTCGGGAGAGAGGAGAGTGATGGAGAGGTCGGGAGAGAGGAGAGTGATGGAGAGGTCGGGAGAGAGGAGAGTGATGGAGAGGTCGGGAGAGAGGAGAGTGATGGAGAGGTCGGGAGAGAGGAGAGTGATGGAGAGGTCGGGAGAGAGGAGAGTGATGGAGAGGTCGGGAGAGAGGAGAGTGATGGAGAGGTCGGGAGAGAGGAGAGTGATGGAGAGGTCGGGAGAGAGGAGAGTGATGGAGAGGTCGGGAGAGAGGAGAGTGATGGAGAGGTCGGGAGAGAGGAGAGTGATGGAGAGGTCGGGAGAGAGGAGAGTGATGGAAAGGTCGGGAGAGAGGAGAGTGATGGAGAGGTCGGGAGAGAGGAGAGTGATGGAGAGGTCGGGAGAGAGGAGAGTGATGGAGAGGTCGGGAGAGAGGAACACACTGAGAGGGAAGGAATGAGACGGCGGCATGTTGAGAGGGACGAGAGAGCGGAGTGAGATTGGAGAGTTTGGCGAGAGATGTCGAGAGGAGACGGAGAGTGGGGGGATCGAGTAGCGAGAGAGGGAGCATGGGAGAGAGTGTGGGCAGAGAGTTCGACGCGGGGAGAGTGAGAAGTCGCTGTTCGAGAGTGGGAGAGTCGGGAGTCATCTGGTGGCGCTGTTCGCGATCCCACGCCTCGCGCTGCTGGGGCCGTGGGAACGCGGGCAGCAGGGTGCCGGTCGGGGGTCCGGAGCGGGGTCCATCCCGCCCGGGGACCCCAGATACGCGACCCCTTTAGACCCCTCGTCGCACCGACCTAATGAAGTTGCTTTATTGCCTTTTGGTTGCCTCCTGGTTGTCCCTGATCACCCCTGGTTGTCCCTGGTTGCCCCTGGATACCCCCGGTTGCCCCTGGTTACCCCCGGTTTCCCCCGGTTGCCCCTGGTTACCCCCGGTTTCCCCCGGTTGCCTGCCCTGTGTGCAGGCGCCATCCCGGGACCCGAGCTGCTGCGCGTGGCCCCCTCCCTGCGCCACGGCCGTGGGGCCGCGTGGTCGCGCACCTCGCTCAGAGCCGCCTCCTGGCACGCGCGAGTTCAGCTCCGGGTGACGGGGAGAGGTCGCGCGGGGGGCCACGGCCTGGTATGGGGGGGGGGGCGGGGTGAGGGCACGGGAGGGGGCACGGAGGGCACGGGGGGGGCATGGGGGGGCACGGGGGGGGCACGGGGGGGGGGCACGAAGGGTGGCACGAGGGCCTTGGGACACGGGGCGATTGTGGTCCGGGTTAGGGAGGCACTGAGGCGTGGTGACAGGAGGGTTACTGTGACACATCGACATACAGGGCACATGGAGACACGGGGGACATAGAGCGCGGAGGAGACGAGGAGACGGGGGGGGACACGAGGAGACGGGGGGGCACGAGGAGACGGGGGGGGCACGAGGAGACGGGGGGGCACGAGGAGACGGGGGGGGGCACGAGGAGACGGGGACACGAGGAGACGGGGGGGGGCACGAGGAGACGGGGGGGGGGACACGAGGAGACGGGGGGGCACGAGGAGACGGGGGGGGGCACGAGGAGACGGGGGGGCACGAGGAGACGGGGGGGGGGGACACGAGGAGACGGGGGGGGGACACGAGGAGACGGGGGGGGGCACGAGGAGACGGGGGGGGGACACGAGGAGACGGGGGGGCACGAGGAGACGGGGGGGGCACGAGGAGACGGGGGGGCACGAGGAGACGGGGACACGAGGAGACGGGGGGGCACGAGGAGACGGGGGGGGCACGAGGAGACGGGGGGGGCACGAGGAGACGGGGGGGGGCACGAGGAGACGGGGACACGAGGAGACGGGGGGGGGCACGAGGAGACGTGGTTGGCCCCGCGCGGCCTCGCTGACTGCACGTGCGGTGCACGCCTCTCCCTCCCTCTCTCTCTCTCCCTCCCTCTCCCTCCCTCCCTCTCTCCCTCCCTCTCCCTCCCGCAGGCGATTTGGTTCGCGGAGGAGGCGGGGGCCCTGGGCGCCGTGTTCGGGGGCCCCGAGACGTGGAACGGAGTCGGGGTCATCCTGGACTCTCGCGGCAACCAGGTGGAGGCCTCCACACCGCCCCTCCCACGGAACCCACAGCCCCCCAAACCAACACCTCCATTCCTTGATGGTGGTGGTCGTGGGGGTGGTGGTGGAGGAGGAGGTGGGGAGCGGTAGTGTAGCGGTTAACGCGTTGCGCTACCAACCCCAGTGACCCGCGTTCGATTCCTGCTCAGGGCCAATAACAGTGATGATTATCTGAACTGGTACTGGGCCTCCCTTAGGTCGACTCGGCCTCAAATTGAGTACTTGGTGTGGTGTGTAAACATCACATCCAGGGAGATGAAGGCGGCCGGGCGTGGTGCTGGCCACCCACCCCCTTCGTGTGCCGTGTCGGCCTTCACAGGTGCTCGCTAACAGCACTTGCCCCTACAGTCTGCTAAGGCTATACGGGGGATCTTTGTCTTCATTACCCCCCCGCCCCACCCCCTCTCATTACCCCCCCGCCCCACCCCCTCTCATTACCCCCCCGCCCCACCCCCTCTCATTACCCCCCCGCCCCACCCCCTCTCATTACCCCCCCCGCCCCTCAGGGAGATTTGCCGATGGTTTTTGTCGTCGCCAACAACGGAAGCGTCGCGTTCGCCCAGGGGAGGTGCGTGGGGGGGGCTGGGAGATGGTGGGGGGGGGGATGGTGGGGGGGGGGATGGTGGGGGGGGGGATGGTGGGGGGGGGGATGGTGGGGGGGGGGATGGTGGGGGGGGATGGTGGGGGGGGGATGGTGGGGGGGGGGGGATGGTGGGGGGAGGATGGTGGGGGGGGGATGGTGGGGGGGGATGGTGGGGGGGGATGGTGGGGGGGGATGGTGGGGGGGGATGGTGGGGGGGATGGTGGGGGGGGATGGTGGGGGGGGATGGGATGGTGGGGGGGGATGGTGGGGGGGGATGGTGGGGGGGGGGGCTCTGGGGTCGGGGTCAGTATTTGTGTCAGGGCCGGGAGCGTCACGGATCGATCGTCACAATTCCCACCTCACGCCGGGGATCGATTCACGAGCCGATTCCTTTAGTTGGCCATCGTGGTGCGGCAGGAGAGGTTGCTGATAGGTGGGACGCGTGGCGTGTGCAGGGTGGAGGAGCAGGAGCATGGGGTAAGCAAATGAGAGGTTTGTAATAGGAGGTAGTGATGGGTGGGACACGTGGTGTGCAGGATGAGGGAGGAGGAGGGGCAGGTGACCAAGAGGGCATTGCAGTGGCACTCAGAGGTCGGTGACCTCGATTCCTAGAGCCACGTGGTGGCGGCCGTGCTGGTGGTGGTGATGATGAGGCTATAAGAGGGGTCATTCGAGGTCAGGAGTGGATCAACAGGAAGTGACGGGGAGGTGCGGTGACCCCCTGACCTTGACCCGTGTTCGTGTCGGCAGCGACGCCTCCGCGCAGGCCCTCGCCTCGTGCCGCCGCGACTTCCGCAACAAACCCCACCCGGTGTGGGTGGGGGTCTCCCTCCACGCGGGGAGCCTTGAGGTGAGCGGGGGACGCTGACACCGTGGCCCCATCCTCACCCCGCTGACCCTAACCTCGCCCCGCGACCCCATCCATTTGCCTGTTACCCTGACCGCCTTCCCGTGACCTCCCTCTACCCCGTGACCTTCCCCCCCCGTGACCTTCCCCTCCCACCCAGTGACCTCCCCGTGACCTCCCTCTACCCCGTGACCTTCCCCTCCCCCCCCGTGACCTTCCCCTCCCACCCAGTGACCTCCCCTCCCACCCAGTGACCTCCCCTCCCACCCAGTGACCTCCCCGTGACGTCCCTCCCCCCGTGACTCAGGTGCACCTCACCTCTGGCTTCACTGCGGAGGAGGACTTTGAGCTGTGCGCCACCGTGGGGGACCTCTCCCTCCCACCACAGGGGTTCTTCGGGGTCTCATCCTCCACCGGAGGGGTCCCGGGTAAGGGGCTCGGGGGGAGGGAGAGCTGAGATTGTAGAGGTGAGAGTGGAGAGTTCAGAGGGGAGAGGTGAGAGGGGAGAGGTGAGGAGGTGAGGAATGAGAGGGATGAGAGGGAGTGTGTGAGGTGAGAGGTGATGAGGTGAGAGGTGAGGAATGAGAGGGATGAGAGGGATGAGAGGAAGTGTGTGTGAGGTGAGAGGTGAGGAGGTGAGAGGTGAGGAGGTGAGGAAGGAGAGGGATGAGAGGGAGTGTGTGAGGTGAGATTGTCCGGCAAAACAACCCCTACCTCCTCACGGTGCCGGACGGGCAACTCTGTCGTGGACAGTGCTGTGGGGAGAGGTTCAATTTCGATTGGCTCCTCCCCTCATGGCGTCTGTGTCCACCACAGGGGCTAAATGGGGGCTCTGGACGGGTGCGAGGGACTGGTAACCCCTCCAACTTCAAATAATTACCACTAAACCGCGAATTAAGTATATAACTAATAAGCTTGTGCCGGAGGCCCCCGGGGGGCCAGGCGCCTATGACGTCTCCAGGCCAAACCCCAATTGGCGGAGCCAGGAGATTGAATATCTACCCTCGGGGCACCTCCAGAATCAACGAAAAACCACTACGGGTGGCCACGTGGAATGTTCGAACGCTCACTGCGGAGGAGAGGCTGCCACTCCTCTGTTGGGAGCTGGACCGGTACCGCCTGGATCTATGTGGCATTCAGGAGGTCCGGTGGACCGGTTCTGGCTCCTGCCACCATGAGGGGTGGACAGTCCTCTAATCGGGGCAGCAGACTGCCAAACAACAGGGTGTGGCTCTTCTTTTGAACAAAAGAATGAAGGGGGCGTGGGAGCATGGCGGTGAGGTGTGGGAAGCTGTAAGCCCCAGGCTACTTTGGGCTCGCCTTCCCATCAATCGGAGGCGAGGAGTGGTGGTCGTGTTTACTTATGCCCCCACTGAAGATGAACATCCGTGGAGGGATGCAGGCAAAGCCGATGAGTCAGATGCCTTCTATGACCTCCTGTCACAGGTGCTGGCTAAAGTGGCCCCTCGGGATAGAGTCATCATGTTGGGTGACTTCAATGCCCGAGTTGGTCATGATGCTGGCACCTGGTCTGGAGTGATTGGAGGGCATGGGCCAGATCAGCTCAATAACAACGGTAGGAGGTTGCTAGATGTTTGTGCAGCCCATGGGCTTGTAATTACCAACACGCTGTTCCGGCATCGGCGCATCCACACAACATCATGGATGCATGCCGGTTCCAAGCAAGAACATCTGCTGGACTACATAGTGACGGACCAGCGGATGCGAGCCCATGTCCTTGATACCAGGACCTACCATGGAGCTGATCTGCCCTCTGACCATCGACTAGTCATCTGTAAGATGCGCCTGCCATTCTTCCACACCGGTGGTGGGTGTACACCCAGGACCCCATTCCAACCCATAGTGGCCTGGTCTCAGCCAGCTGATGAAAGTTACAAGCGAGAATTTCAACATCGCTTGCAGGTGGGATTGGCATCGTCCCCGACTCCTCCTGATGTCGAGGGTAAATGGGCGAGGTTTAGGAGTGTGATTCATGCAGCTGCAATGGCTGCTTTGGGTACGTGGTCCAAACCTCCCCAGAGACCCTGGCTGACAGAGGAGGTGTTCAGGATGGTTGAGAAAAAGCGACAGGCCCACTGTCATCGGCTACAGAATCCCACGTCAGAGAATGAGGAGGCTTACCGCAGCCTTCGCTCGGAGGTTCGGAGAGCCGTGAGGCGCTGCAAGGATGGGTGGTGGTCGCGGGTTGCTGAGGAGATGGAGTCTGCCTCAGTGGCCCGTGATCACAAATCTCTATTTAACTCCATCAAAAAAGTAACCTGCAGCGCCACACCTATTACCATCATTAGGGGAAAAACGGTGATCCAATCTCCGACCCCCAGGAACAGGTTTGCAGATTTGCTGAGCCTTTCTGTGAGGTCCTGGGGGAGGGAAAATCCCTCAGCCAGGAAAACATCGTGGCACAAAGTGAGGATGACCCTGCTGAGGCTGCGGTGCCTCAAATATTGGAAGAAGTCACCCCCTGTGAGTGGCTGGCTGAGGTGCCATCTGTTGAGGAAGTACTGAAGGCGATCCGGTGTCTGAGACCAGGAAAGGCAGCGGGCAGAGATGATCTCCCAAGCGAAATGCTGAGGGAGGGTGGCGTTTGTGCAGAGACTGCCCTATATGACATCATAACAACAGTCTGGACCACTGGACGGGTTCCGCAGGATTGGAAGGATGCCCTGGTGGTCCCCCTTTTTAAGAAGGGGGACCGCATAGACTGTAACAACTACAGGGGCATCTCACTCCTCAGTGTGCCGGGAAAGGTCCTGGCAAGGATTATTCAACATCGCCTTGCCAGGCACGCTGAGGAGAGGCTTGCGGAGCCCCAATGCGGTTTCAGGAAAGAGCGGTCCTGCACAGATGCCATATTTTCTCTCCGTCTGCTAGAGCAGAGGTGTAGGGAATTCCAACAAGACCTACATCTCTGCTTTATTGACCTGGTCAAGGCCTATGATACCATCAGTAGGCCTGGGTTCTGGGTTGTTCTTCGTGCTTTTGGAGTACCTGACCGTCTGCTCACGATCATTAAGGACCTTCATGATGGTGAGCGGGCCCGGGTAAAACTACGTGGCCGGGAGTCAGAGCCATTCCCTGTACACCTTGGGGTGCGACAGGGATGTCCTCCGGCTCCCACATTATTTAACATCTATTTTGACCACGTAGTTCGTGAAGCCTTCAATAGCTGTACCGGGGGAATCTCCATATGGTACAGATATAATGGGAGGCTGATCGATGCCCGAGTGCGGTCAAGAGATGGCTCCCTATTGCTCAACCACGTTATGTATGCTGATGATTTGGTAATAGCTGCTCATTCAGTGGAGGAGTTGGAGAAGGCTGCTGCTGAGACTGGAGCGTGCCACTAAGAGGTGGGGCCTTACCATCAGCCCCACCAAAACTAAGCACCTGCCTGGGTATTTTGTACCATCGGACACTCCACCCCCACAACTCCCAATCGGTGATGGGGCCGTTGTGGAAAGAGTGGAGAGTTTCCCATACCTGGGCAGTGTGCTTATGACCGGCTCCAGTTTAACAGCAGAGGTCTCACTCCGAATCAGTCGAGCCGCAATATCTTTTCATCGGTTGCGTAACGCTGTGTGGAAGCTACCCGGTCTGTCGCTCCGCACTAAGCTTCAGGTCTTCTTGGCCACGGTCATTCCCTCCCTTTTCTACGCTTGCGAAACATGGACCCCCTAATGGAACATCTTCGCCGGTTAGAAACATTTAGGCTGGCCTGCCTACGATCCATCCTGGGTTTAAACAGACTGGATTGTGTTGGGAGCGCACAAATCCTTGAAAGATCTGGGCAAGGTCCCATCGGTGAGCTCCTCCGGCGGGCAAGGCTGCGATGGCTGGGTCATGTAGCCCGCATGCCCAGCCACCGCATGCCGAAACAGCTTTTGTTCGGCCGGACCGAGGGGGCTAAACGGGCGCGGCACGGGCTAGAGAAGAGATGGAGTGATGTGGTACAGGAGGACGTGGAGCTGAGTGGACTTGCCGATGACTGGTACCAGCGGTGTCAAGATCGGCCTCTGTGGAGGAGGCTCGTGAAGGACGCTACTGGGCAGTTGGAGGTAGTCGCCCACCAACAACAACGGAGGGCGGAGGAGCGACGCTCACAACAACGAGCGGAGCGCCGGATGGCTGAATTACAGCAGGCTGGCACAGTAGGGGGCACAGGTGGTGCATCAGCCAGTCATCTCAGTCAGTCGACCCGTGGCACCTGGGTCTGCCCCGTGACCTCCTGCCAGCGGGCGTTCGACACTTCACGTGGCCTCAGGGTGCACATAGCCTGGCACAAGCGTCGTGGTGACGTCACCACCACTTAGTGGTGAATGGCGGTTGTTGTTCAGGTGAGATTGTAATTCGGGGATGGGGGTCCAGGAGCAGGGGCCGGGTTTGGGGGTGCGGCCCCACGTGACACGGCCTCTCTATTTCAGATGACCACGACGTCCTCTCCTTCCTCACCTACAGCCTCAGCGCGCCTCACCGGGGAAACGTGAGAGAGTGAAGGACTCGCAGCCACTCACCGCACCCCTCACCACTCACGTCTCCTCACCTCACTTGGTGAATATTTACGTCTAATACGCCTCACCTCACCCCATCACCTCTCACACACCTCACCTCCTGAGCTAGGTTCACACCTTGCGTCAGTTCATCTTCACAGCACCTCCACCGTCTCCTCGCCCTCACCGTTGACGTAACATGACCCTGACACCCACCATGATGTATCCTTGGCCCTGTGACATAACATGACCCTGACACCCACCATGATGTATCCTTGGCCCTGTGACATAACATGACCCTGACACCCACCATGATGTGTCCTTAGCCCTGTAACATAACATGACCCTGACACCCACCATGATGTATCCTTCGCCCTGACCTAACTCGACCTTTGCCCTTATCGCAGCCATGAACCCTGTCTGACCGTCACCTACACAGAACCCGACATCGCTTGACCCCTGACCTTTGCCGCGGCTCTGACCTTGACCTCGCCGAATCTTCCCCAGGAGAGCGAGGTGACCCAGCAGGAGCAGGGGGAGGAGGAGAAGGAGGAGGAGAAGGAAGAGGCGCTATGGAGGGAGGAATTTGCTCGCTACCAGGATGAGCTGCGCCGTCAGATGGAGGAATTCCAGAAGGTCCATCCCACGCAGCACGGTACGAGGTCACCGGGGGTCACCGGGGGTCACCGGGGGTCACTGGGGATCACGGGGGGGGGTGACAATTGGCATCCATAGAGTCAGAGGTCCGAATGGATTCGGTTGTCCACTGCAGAGGTCATTTGTAGTCACCAGGGGGTCACAGGAGTCTACACATGGGTAAGGGTTCCACAGAGGTCATCAACCGTGCCCCCCCCCCACTCCTCACCCCCCTCAGCAGGTGAGGGGGCGCTGGAGTCTCAGGCCGAGAGGGACCTGCGTCTGATCTTCGAGGGTCAGGCTCGCATCCAGGCCGAGGTGCGCGATGCAGCCAGGCTCCTGGGCTCCCTCACCGAGGGGGTGGGGGCCGGCGGGGGCAACACCCAGGTGAGGGGGGGGGGGTGATTGGTGAGAGAGGTGAGTGGGTGAGTGAGGTAGTGTGCAAGGAGACGAGTGAGTGGGCGAGTGTTCGGGTGGCTGGGTGGATGAGTGAATAAGTGAGGTTAATTAGACGGGTGAGTGAGCGGAAAGTGAGTGGGTGAGAGGGGCGAGCGGAGCGGGTGAGTGGGTGAGTGATCAAGTGAGTCAGGTGAGGCAGGTGAGAGAGTGAGGGAGCGAGACACGGTGGCGAGATGTTAACTACCTTGCCTGCTATACAGGAGATTGTGGGTTTGATCCCGACCCTGATGCCTGTGTAGTGGCATAGGGTTGTAGCATAGCGCTTGTTGCTATGCTACAACTGCAGGCCACGTGATACACCAGAGGGGGATCTCGGGGAATAGTCACAGAAGGGGCACACCAAGAACCTGCGAGTAGGTTCCAGAAAGGGGGCGTGGCCAGGGGCGGAGCCAGGCCACGCCGACAGTATATAAGAGGGGCCCCTGTAGGGGACCTCGGGGCTGTTGTTGGAGTGGGATCCCCGTCGTGCTGCTGAAGTCTTCGTCACCGTTCTCCTCGTCGTCTCCGTCTTCACCACATCTGTCTCGTCGTCGTCTCCGTCTTCACCATCCCAGGGTGCCACCAGTGAGGCAGCCTACCAGCTGACTGAGTAGCACACCCGACAATAGACGGACTCAATGTTTAGAGTGTTAACCCCGATGGTGCTTGTTCATAAAGAAGTGCCTCCAAGTCTTGTCGTCTACGAGTTAGTCACTCCACCTGTATACTTGTAGCTTGCGTGTCGCTCTCCTCGCGGTCGCGTGGATTTTTCTCTGGGACCCCCGGATTTTCTCTCCACATTTAAAATCAACAACATCATCATCACGGCGTTCAGAGTATTTGGCTGCTGTAAATATCCACATGATACGCCGCTTCGTTGAGCTATCATTTGTGGCCAGGTATATTCTGAAAAAGAGCTACATAGCTCGGCGTGCCTTTCCCGGATAAATTGAAAATAGTTCATCTATATATATAAAAGGGAATTTTGTGAATATGTGTCTGTTCAAAATGTTTCGCATACTTCCCGACATGCAACAAACTTTCCAGACTGTACAACATGCAAAAATGATAAAAATAGACTTTTGTTTTTTTGGGGGTGGGGGCTCAATAATGCATGGCAAGTGAGCTGTGACGTCACATCTGTCATGTGACGTCACATCTGTCATGTGACCCGTGTGCGGAAGCGTCACCGATTGAGTCTGCTCATGTCATGCATCCCCCCCCCCTCAACCCTCCGCGAGTACAGTGCCATACAAATGTGTTGCAGGTCTAAGGCGTTCTAAGCGCATTGCTTTATTATTTCAGTCGTTTACTGCTGTACACACCCTAAAAGTTGTCTGCTGCAAGCGCGTGTATGTGTACCTATGGACGCGCGCGCGTGTGTGTGGGGGGAGCGGTAGTGTAGTGGCTAGCGCTATGCTGCGCTACAAACCCGGCGACCCGAGTTTGATTCCTGCTCACAGCCACCACCGGTGACGATTATTGAAACCGGTCCTGGGCCTCCCCTAGGTCGACTCAGCCTCAAACGAGTAACTGCTGTGGTGTGTGAACATCGCCACTGAGGAGACAAAGGCGGCGGGCGTGGTGAATCCAAGTCGCGGGCGAAGCCGGGTAGTAAAGCTAGTAGTTTATAAACTAAAAGTTAGGTGAGCGTGGCAGGTGAGCGAGTCAGGTGAGCGTGGCAGGTGAGCGAGTCAGGTGAGCGAGTCAGGTGAGCGAGTCAGGTGAGCGTGGCAGGTGAGCGAGTCAGGTGAGCGAGTCAGGTGAGCGAGTCAGGTGAGCGTGGCAGGTGAACGTGGCAGGTGAGCGAGTCAGGTGAGCGAGTCAGGTGAGCGTGGCAGGTGAGCGTGGCAGGTGAGCGAGTCAGGTGAGCGTGGCAGGTGAGCGAGTCAGGTGAGCGAGTCAGGTGAGCGTGGCAGGTGAGCGAGTCAGGTGAGCGAGTCAGGTGAGCGTGGCAGGTGAGCGAGTCAGGTGAGTGTGGCAGGTGAGCGAGTCAGGTGAGCGTGGCAGGTGAGCGAGTCAGGTGAGCGTGGCAGGTGAACGTGGCAGGTGAGCGAGTCAGGTGAGTGTGGCAGGTGAGCGAGTCAGGTGAGCGAGTCAGGTGAGCGTGGCAGGTGAGCGAGTCAGGTGAGTGTGGCAGGTGAGCGAGTCAGGTGAGCGAGTCAGGTGAGCGTGGCAGGTGAGCGAGTCAGGTGAGCGAGTCAGGTGAGCGAGTCAGGTGAACGTGGCAGGTGAACGTGGCAGGTGAGCGAGTCAGGTGAGCGTGGCAGGTGAGCGAGTCAGGTGAGCGAGTCAGGTGAGCGAGTCAGGTGAGCGTGGCAGGTGAGTGTGGCAGGTGAGCGAGTCAGGTGAGCGTGGCAGGTGAGCGAGTCAGGTGAGCGAGTCAGGTGAGCGTGGCAGGTGAGCGTAGCAGGTGAGCGAGTCAGGTGAGTGTGGCAGGTGAGCGAGTCAGGTGAGCGTGGCAGGTGAACGTGGCAGGTGAGCGAGTCAGGTGAGTGTGGCAGGTGAGCGAGTCAGGTGAGCGAGTCAGGTGAGCGTGGCAGGTGAGCGAGTCAGGTGAGTGTGGCAGGTGAGCGAGTCAGGTGAGCGAGTCAGGTGAGCGTGGCAGGTGAGCGAGTCAGGTGAGCGAGTCAGGTGGAGCGAGTCAGGTGAACGTGGCAGGTGAACGTGGCAGGTGAGCGAGTCAGGTGAGCGAGTCAGGTGAGCGAGTCAGGTGAGCGAGTCAGGTGAGCGTGGCAGGTGAACGTGGCAGGTGAACGTGGCAGGTGAGCGAGTCAGGTGAGCGAGTCAGGTGAGCGAGTCAGGTGAACGTGGCAGGTGAACGTGGCAGGTGAGCGAGTCAGGTGAGCGAGTCAGGTGAGCGAGTCAGGTGAGCGTGGCAGGTGAGCGAGTCAGGTGAGCGAGTCAGGTGAGCGAGTCAGGTGAGCGTGGCAGGTGAGTGTGGCAGGTGAGCGAGTCAGGTGAGCGTGGCAGGTGAGCGAGTCAGGTGAGCGAGTCAGGTGAGCGTGGCAGGTGAGCGTAGCAGGTGAGCGAGTCAGGTGAGTGTGGCAGGTGAGCGAGTCAGGTGAGCGTGGCAGGTGAACGTGGCAGGTGAGCGAGTCAGGTGAGTGTGGCAGGTGAGCGAGTCAGGTGAGCGAGTCAGGTGAGCGTGGCAGGTGAGCGAGTCAGGTGAGTGTGGCAGGTGAGCGAGTCAGGTGAGCGAGTCAGGTGAGCGTGGCAGGTGAGCGAGTCAGGTGAGCGAGTCAGGTGAGCGAGTCAGGTGAACGTGGCAGGTGAACGTGGCAGGTGAGCGAGTCAGGTGAGCGAGTCAGGTGAGCGAGTCAGGTGAGCGAGTCAGGTGAGCGTGGCAGGTGAACGTGGCAGGTGAACGTGGCAGGTGAGCGAGTCAGGTGAGCGAGTCAGGTGAGCGAGTCAGGTGAACGTGGCAGGTGAACGTGGCAGGTGAGCGAGTCAGGTGAGCGAGTCAGGTGAGCGAGTCAGGTGAGCGTGGCAGGTGAGTGTGGCAGGTGAGCGAGTCAGGTGAGCGTGGCAGGTGAGCGAGTCAGGTGAGCGAGTCAGGTGAGCGTGGCAGGTGAGCGTGGCAGGTGAGCGAGTCAGGTGAGTGTGGCAGGTGAGCGAGTCAGGTGAGCGTGGCAGGTGAGCGAGTCAGGTGAGCGTGGCAGGTGAACGTGGCAGGTGAGCGAGTCAGGTGAACGTGGCAGGTGAGCGAGTCAGGTGAGTGTGGCAGGTGAGCGAGTCAGGTGAGCGAGTCAGGTGAGCGTGGCAGGTGAGCGAGTCAGGTGAGCGTGGCAGGTGAGCGAGTCAGGTGAGCGAGTCAGGTGAGCGTGGCAGGTGAGCGAGTCAGGTGAGCGAGTCAGGTGAGCGAGTCAGGTGAACGTGGCAGGTGAACGTGGCAGGTGAGCGAGTCAGGTGAGCGTGGCAGGTGAGCGAGTCAGGTGAGCGAGTCAGGTGAGCGAGTCAGGTGAGCGTGGCAGGTGAACGTGGCAGGTGAACGTGGCAGGTGAGCGAGTCAGGTGAGCGAGTCAGGTGAGCGAGTCAGGTGAGCGAGTCAGGTGAGTGTGGCAGGTGAGCGAGTCAGGTGAGCGAGTCAGGTGAGCGAGTCAGGTGAGCGAGTCAGGTGAGCGAGTCAGGTGAGTGTGGCAGGTGAGCGAGTCAGGTGAGCGAGTCAGGTGAGCGTGGCAGGTGAACGTGGCAGGTGAACGTGGCAGGTGAGCGAGTCAGGTGAGCGAGTCAGGTGAGCGAGTCAGGTGAGCGAGTCAGGTGAGCGTGGCAGGTGAGCGACGGATTTGTCTTTTCCAGGCGCTGGATTCGCTGCTGGACTCCCAGAGGGAAATCCTTCAGCAGCTCAAGGAGATGAGGTGAGTCTGGAACGTCCGATGATCTCCTCACCTCTCACCTCACCTGGTGCCACCTGTCCCCTCAACGTGTTAGGATGCCCCCGCACCCTCCCGCCTTAATTCGCCCCTCCACTAATCTGATTACCTCCACCACGGCGCTTGTGCCAGGCTAGGTGCAAGTGTTCACGGGACAGGCCCAGGTGCCATGGGTTGGCAGTGCTCCCCGCTGTGTCAATTTGCGTCGTTTTTATCAGCCCGGCGCTCCGCTCGTTGTTGTGAGCGTCGCCCTTTTCGCTGTTTCGGGTGAGGGCGACTGCCTCCAACTGCCCAGCAGCAGCAGCAGCAGCGTCCTTCACGAGCCTCCTCCACAGACGCCGATCTTGACACCGCTGGTACCAGTCATCGGCAAGTCCACTCAGCTCCACGTCCTCCATCTCCTCTCTAGGTCGTCCCGCGCCCGTTTATTCCCCTCTGTCCAACAGCAGCGGCGATATCAAGACAATCGGCAGCATCAATACCGTGATGAGCAGCAGCAGCAGCGGCAGGGAGTCTTTAGTGTCCACTGTGAGTGAAGCAGCCGGCCGTGTGGTGTTTCCATGGTGATTACGCACCGCAGTATTTACCAGGGCGGCCGCTGGTTTCGAACCGCGAACCTCTGCAACAAGTGGCGAACGCGCGTCACCGCCCCTACTGCCGATGATGAACCCAGAAGCCCCGCCCCCCACTGACCCCCCCCTGCCATCCACTGACCCACCGCCCCGCCCCCCAGGAGCATCGTGTCGGACACGTTCCAGCGAGCGAGCGCCATCCAGAAGGCGACGAGCGGCGGCGCGGAGCACGTGCAGCGGCTGTCGGAGCTGCAGCAGCACGTGGGCATCGTGAAGAGGGACCTGGGGACCCTGGTTCAAGAGGTACGGGGACCCTCGCTGCCTCACCCCAACGCTCACCTCACGTGCCCTCACTCGTCGGTAACATCGTGTGGCCCCAAACAATAGATTGACTATGCGACAGGCGACGTTTCGGGCAATGGCCCCCTTTTCACGCAGGAGAATAAGTCTCGTCTCTCGCGGCCTCGCTCCTCACCACAGCCAGGTCCGTCCGCATGGCTGACCCGGAATATATTTCCGCAGCCCGCATCCAGTACACTAGCCCCACCCCTTCACTAGACCCACCCCTTCACTTGCCCCACCCCTTCATTAGCCCCACCCCTTAACTAGCTCCACCCCTTCACTATCCCCACCCCTCTTTAGCCCCACCGCTCGCTAGCCCCAGCCCTCGCTAGCCCCACCCCTCACTAGCCCCCACCCCTCTCTAGCCCCACCCCTCTCTAGCCCCACCCCTCTCTAGCGCCACCCCTCGTAAGCCCCACCCCTCTCTAGCGCCACCCCTCGTAAGCCCCACCCTTCGTAAGCCCCACCCTTCGTAAGCCCCACCCCTCGTAAGCCCCACCCCTCGTAAGCCCCACCCCTCGTAAGCCCCACCCCTCGTAAGCCCCAGCCCTCGTAAGCCCCACCCCTAGTAAGCCCCACCCCTAGTAAGCCCCACCCCTCGTAAGCCCCACCCCTAGTAAGCCCCACCCCTAGTAAGCCCCACCCCTCGTAAGCCCCACCCCTCGTAAGCCCCACCCCTCGTAAGCCTCACCCCTCGTAAGCCCCACCCCTCGTAAGCCCCACCGCTCGTAAGCCCCACCTCTCGTAAGCCCCACCCCTCGTAAGCCCCACCCCTTCACTAGCCCCACCCCTTCACTAGCCCCACCCCTCTCTAGCCCCACCTCTCGCTAGCCCCACCCTTCGCTAGCCCCAACCCTCTCTAGCCCCACCGTTCGCTTGCCCCACCCCTCTCTAGCCCCACCCCTCTCTAGCCCCACCCCTCTCTAGCCCCACCCCTCGCTAGCCCCACCCCTCGCTAGCGCCACCCCTCTCTAGCGCCACCCCTCTCTAGCGCCACCCCTCGCTAGCCCCACCCCTCGCTAGCCCCACCCCTCTCTAGCCCCACCCCTCGCTAGCGCCACCCCTCTCTAGCCCCACCCCTCGCTAGCCCCACCCCTCGCAAGCCCCACCCCTCGCTAGCGCCACCCCTCTCTAGCCCCACCCCTCTCTAGCGCCACCCCTCGCTAGCCCCACCCCTCGCTAGCCCCACCCCTCGCTAGCCCCACCCCTCGCTAGCGCCACCCCTCTCTAGCCCCACCCCGCTCTAGCGCCACCCCTCGCTAGCCCCACCCCTCGCTAGCCCCACACCTCACTAGCCCCACCCCTCGCTAGCCCCACCCCTCTCTAGCCCCACACCTCGCTAGCCCCACCCCTCGCTAGCCCCACCCCTCGCTAGCCCCACCCCTCGCTAGCGCCACCCCTCGCTAGCCCCACCCCTTGCTAGCCCCACCCCTCTCTAGCGCCACCCCTCGCTAGCCCCACCCCTCTCTAACCCGACCCCTCTCTAGCCCCAACCCTCTCTAGCCCCACCCCTCGCTAGCGCCACCCCTCGCTAGCCCCACCCCTCTCTAGCCCCACCCCTCGCTAGCCTCACCCCTCTCTAGCGCCTCGCCTCTCTAGCCCCACCCCTCTCTAGTGCCTCGCCTCTCTAGCCCCACCCCTCTCTAGCGCCACCCCTCTCTAGCCCCACCCCTCTCTAGCACAACCCCTCTCTAGCCTCACCCCTCTCTAGCCCCACCCCTCGCTAGCACCACCCCTCGCTAGCCCCACCCCTCTCTATCCCCACCCCTCGCTAACCCCACCCCTCTCTAGTGCCTCGCCTCTCTAGCCCCACCCCTCTCTAGCCCCACCCCTCTCTAGCCCCACCCCTCTCTAGCCCCACCCCTCTCTAGCCCCACCCCTCTCTAGCCTCACCCCTCTCTAGCCCCACCCCTCTCTAGCGCCACCCCTCGCTAGCGCCACCCCTCGCTAGCGCCACCCTTTGTAAGCCCCACCCCTCGTAAGCCCCACCCCTCGTAAGCCCCACCCCTCGTAAGCCCCACCCCTCGTAAGCCCCACCCCTCGTAAACCCCACCCCTCGTAAGCCCCACCCCTCGTAAGCCCCACCCCTCGCTAGCCCCACCCCTCGCTAGCCCCACCCCTCGCTAGCCCCACCCCTCGCTAGCCCCACCCCTCACTAGCCCCACCCCTCTCTAGCCCCACCCCTCTCTAGCGCCACCCCTCGTAAGCCCCACCCCTCTCTAGCGCCACCCCTCTCTAGCGCCACCCCTCGTAAGCCCCACCCTTCGTAAGCCCCACCCTTCGTAAGCCCCACCCCTCGTAAGCCCCACCCCTCGTAAGCCCCACCCCTCTTAAGCCCCACCCCTCGTAAGCCCCAGCCCTCGTAAGCCCCAGCCCTAGTAAGCCCCACCCCTAGTAAGCCCCACCCCTAGTAAGCCCCACCCCTAGTAAGCCCCACCCCTAGTAAGCCCCACCCCTCGTAAGCCCCACCCCTCGTAAGCCCCACCCCTCGTAAGCCTCACCCCTCGTAAGCCCCACCCCTCGTAAGCCCCACCGCTCGTAAGCCCCACCGCTCGTAAGCCCCACCTCTCGTAAGCCCCACCCCTCGTAAGCCCCCACCCCTTCACTAGCCCCACCCCTTCACTAGCCCCACCCCTCTCTAGCCCCACCTCTCGCTAGCCCCACCCTTCGCTAGCCCCAACCCTCTCTAGCCCCACCGTTCGCTTGCCCCACCCCTCTCTAGCCCCACCCCTCTCTAGCCCCACCCCTCTCTAGCCCCACCCCTCGCTAGCCCCACCCCTCGCTAGCGCCACCCCTCTCTAGCGCCACCCCTCTCTAGCGCCACCCCTCGCTAGCCCCACCCCTCGCTAGCCCCACCCCTCTCTAGCCCCACCCCTCGCTAGCGCCACCCCTCTCTAGCCCCACCACTCACTAGCGCCACCCCTCGCTAACCCCACCCCCCTCTAGCCCCACCCCTCTCTAGCCCCACCCCTCGCTAGCCCCACCTCTCTCTAGCCCCACCCCTCGCTAGCGCCACCCCTCTCTAGCCCCACCCCTCTCTAGCCCCACCCCTCTCTAGCCCACCCCTCTCTAGCTCCACCTCTCTCTAGCGCCACCCCTCTCTAGCCCCACCCCTCTCTAGCACTTCCCCTCGCTAGCCCCACCCCTCTATAGCCCCACCCCTCTCTAGCCCCACCCCTCGCTAGCCCCACCCCTCTCTAGCACTTCCCCTCGCTAGCCCCACCCCTCTCTAGCCCCACCCCTCTCTAGCCCCATCCCTCTCTAGCCCCATCCCTCTCTAGCGCCACCCCTCTCTAGCCCCACCCCTCTCTAGCCCCACCCCTCGCTAGCGCCACCTCTCTCTAGCCCCACCCCTCTCTAGCTCCACCCCTCTCTAGCCCCACCCCTCTCTAGCCCCACCCCTCTCTAGCCCCACCCCTCTCTAGCCCCACCCCTCTCTAGCACTTCCCCTCGCTAGCCCCACCCCTCTCTAGCCCCACCCCTCTCTAGCCCCACCCCTCTCTAGCGCCACCCCTCTCTAGCCCCACCCCTCTCTAGCCCCACCCCTCTCTAGCGCCACCTCTCTGTAGCCCCACCCCTCTCTAGCCCCACCCCTCTCTAGCGCCACCCCTCTCTAGCGCCACCCCTCTCTAGCCCCACCCCTCTCTAGCTCCACCCCTCTCTAGCCCCATACCTCGCTAGCCCCACCCCTCGCTAGCCCCACCCCTCTCTAGCCCCACCCCTCTCTAGCCCCACCCCTCTCTAGCCCCACCCCTCTCTAGCACTTCCCCTCGCTAGCCCCACCCCTCTCTAGCCCCACCCCTCTCTAGCCCCATCCCTCTCTAGCGCCACCCCTCTCTAGCCCCACCCTTCTCTAGCCCCACCCCTCTCTAGCGCCACCTCTCTCTACCCCCACCCCTCTCTAGCCCCACCCCTCTCTAGCCCCACCCCTCTCTAGCCCCACCCCTCTCTAGCCCCACCCCTCTCTAGCACTTCCCCTCGCTAGCCCCACCCCTCTCTAGCCCCACCCCTCTCTAGCCCCATCCCTCTCGAGCGCCACCCCTCTCTAGCCCCACCCTTCTCTAGCCCCACCCCTCTCTAGCGCCACCTCTCTCTACCCCCACCCCTCTCTAGCCCCACCCCTCGCTAGCGCCACCCCTCTCTAGCCCCACCCCTCGCTAGCCCCACCCCTCGCTAGCCCCACCCCTCGCTAGCCCCACCCCTCGCTAGCCCCACCCCTCTCTAGCCCCACTCCGCTCTAGCGCCACCCCTCGCTAGCCCCACCCCTCGCTAGCCCCACACCTCACTAGCCCCACCCCTCGCTAGCCCCACCCCTCTCTAGCCCCACACCTCGCTAGCCCCACCCCTCGCTAGCCCCACCCCTCGCTAGCCCCACCCCTCGCTAGCGCCACCCCTCGCTAGCGCCACCCCTTGCTAGCCCCACCCCTCTCTAGCGCCACCACTCGCTAGCCCCATCCCTCTCTAGCCCGACCCCTCTCTAGCCCCAACCCTCTCTAGCCCCACCCCTCGCTAGCGCCACCCCTCGCTAGCCCCACCCCTCTCTAGCCCCACCCCTCGCTAGCCTCACCCCTCTCTAGCGCCTCGCCTCTCTAGCCCCACCCCTCTCTAGTGCCTCGCCTCTCTAGCCCCACCCCTCTCTAGCGCCACCCCTCTCTAGCCCCACCCCTCTCTAGCACAACCCCTCTCTATCCCCACCCCTCGCTAGCCCCACCCCTCTGTAGTGCCTCGCCTCTCTAGCCCCACCCCTCTCTAGCCCCACCCCTCTCTAGCCCCACCCCTCTCTAGCCCCACCCCTCTCTAGCCCCACCCCTCTCTAGCACCACCCCTCTCTAGCCTCACCCCTCTCTAGCCCCACCCCTCTCTAGCGCCACCCCTCGCTAGCGCCACCCCTCGCTAGCGCCACCCCTCGCTAGCGCCACCCCTCGTAAGCCCCACCCCTCGTAAGCCCCACCCCTCGTAAGCCCCACCCCTCGTAAACCCCACCCCTCGTAAGCCCCACCCCTCGTAAGCCCCACCCCTCGCTAGCCCCACCCCTCGCTAGCCCCACCCCTCGCTAGCCCCACCCCTCGCTAGCCCCACCCCTCGCTAGCCCCACCCCTTCACTAGCCCCACCGCTTCACTAGCCCCACCCCTCTTTAGCCCCACCCGTCTCTAGCCCCACCCCTCGCTAGCCCCACCCCTCGCTAGCCCCACCCCTCGCTAGCCCCACCCCTCGCTAGCCCCACCCCTCTCTAGCCCCACCCCTCTCTAGCGCCTCCCCTTGCTAGCGCCACCCCTCGCTAGCCCCACCCCTCTCTAGCCCTACCCTCGCTAGCCCCACCCCTCGCTAGCCCCACCCCTCTCTAGCGCTTCCCCTCGCTAGCCCCACCCCTCGCTAGCCCCACCACTCACTAGCGCCACCCCTCGCTAACCCCACCCCCCTCTAGCCCCACCCCTCTCTAGCCGCACCCCTCGCTAGCCCCACCTCTCTCTAGCCCCACCCCTCGCTAGCGCCACCCCTCTCTAGCCCCACCCCTCTCTAGCCCCACCCCTCTCTAGCCCCACCCCTCTCTAGCTCCACCTCTCTCTAGCGCCACCCCTCTCTAGCCCCACCCCTCTCTAGCACTTCCCCTCGCTAGCCCCACCCCTCTATAGCCCCACCCCTCTCTAGCCCCACCCCTCGCTAGCCCCACCCCTCTCTAGCACTTCCCCTCGCTAGCCCCACCCCTCTCTAGCCCCACCCCTCTCTAGCCCCATCCCTCTCTAGCGCCACCCCTCTCTAGCCCCACCCCTCTCTAGCCCCACCCCTCTCTAGCGCCACCTCTCTCTAGCCCCACCCCTCTCTAGCTCCACCCCTCTCTAGCCCCACCCCTCTCTAGCCCCACCCCTCTCTAACCCCACCCCTCTCTAGCCCCACCCCTCTCTAGCACTTCCTCTCGCTAGCCCCACCCCTCTCTAGCCCCACCCCTCTCTAGCCCCACCCCTCTCTAGCGCCACCCCTCTCTAGCCCCACCCCTCTCTAGCCCCACCCCTCTCTAGCGCCACCTCTCTGTAGCCCCACCCCTCTCTAGCCCCACCCCTCTCTAGCGCCACCCCTCTCTAGCGCCACCCCTCTCTAGCCCCACCCCTCTCTAGCCCCACCCCTCTCTAGCCCCACACCTCGCTAGCCCCACCCCTCTCTAGCCCCACCCCTCTCTAGCCCCACCCCTCTCTAGCCCCACCCCTCTCTAGCCCCACCCCTCTCTAGCACTTCCCCTCGCTAGCCCCACCCCTCTCTAGCCCCACCCCTCTCTAGCCCCATCCCTCTCTAGCGCCACCCCTCTCTAGCCCCACCCTTCTCTAGCCCCACCCCTCTCTAGCGCCACCTCTCTCTACCCCCACCCCTCTCTAGCCCCACCCCTCTCTAGCCCCACCCCTCTCTAGCCCCACCCCTCTCTAGCCCCACCCCTCTCTAGCACTTCCCCTCGCTAGCCCCACCCCTCTCTAGCCCCACCCCTCTCTAGCCCCATCCCTCTCTAGCGCCACCCCTCTCTAGCCCCACCCTTCTCTAGCCCCACCCCTCTCTAGCGCCACCTCTCTCTACCCCTACCCCTCTCTAGCCCCACCCCTCTCTAGCCCCACCCCTCTCTAGCTCCACCCCTCTCTAGCCCCACCCCTCTCTAGCCCCACACCTCGCTAGCCCCACCCCTCGCTAGCCCCACCCCTCACTAGCCCCACCCCTCTCTAGCCCCACCCCTCTCTAGCCCCACCCCTCTCTAGCGCCACCCCTCTCTAGCCCCATCCCTCTCTAGCCCCACCCCTCGCTAGCGCTACTCCTCACTCACGGCCGTGGCGGCCAACGAGTCACGTGCCACCCACGCCAGCCCAGCAGGCGACCCGCAGAATATCGCGAAATGCCACCGGAATCTTCACCCCGATTCTCGCTTCTCACTTCACTCCTCACCCGCCGTCGCCCCAGGCCAAGAGGGGGCAGTGCCCCCCGCCCCCGTCCTGCGTCTCCACCCTGAGCTTCGTGCTCTTCTCCGGGATCCAGACGGCACTGCTGCTGGGATACCTGGCCTACAGGTGTGGGCCCTCACCACACTCACCCACTCACCACACTCACCCACCCACTCACCACACTCGCCCACCCACTCACCACACTCACCCACCCACTCACCACACTCACCCACCCACTCACCACACTCACCCACCCACTCACCACACTCGCCCACCCACTCACCACACTCACCCACCCACTCACCACACTCGCCCACGCACTCACCACACTCGCCCACGCACTCACCACACTCGCCCACCCGCTCACCACACTCACCCACCCACTCACCACACTCACCCACCTACTCACCATACTCACCCACCCACTCACCACACTCACCCACCCACTCACCACACTCGCCCACCTACTCACCACACTCACCCACCTACTCACCACACTCACCCACCTACTCACCACACTCACCCACCCACTCACCACACTCGCCCACCCACTCACCACACTCGCCCACCCACTCACCACACTCGCCCACCCACTCACCACACTCGCCCACCCACTCACCACACTCGCCCACCTACTGACAACACTCGCCCACCTTCTCACCACACTCACCCACCCACTCACCACACTCACCCACCTTCTCACCACACTCACCCACCCACTCACCACACTCACCCACCTACTCACCACACTCGCCCACCCACTCACCACACTCACCCACCTTCTCACCACACTCGCCCACCTACTCACCACACTCGCCCACCTACTCACCACACTCGCCCACCTACTCACCACACTCACCCACTTACTCACCACACTCGCCCACCCACTCACCACACTCATCCACCCACTCACCATACTCACCCACCCACTCACCACACTCGCCCACCTACTCACCACACTCACCCACCTACTCACCACACTCACCCACCTACTCACCACACTCGCCCACCCACTCACCACACTCGCCCACCCACTCACCACACTCGCCCACCCACTCACCACACTCGCCCACCCACTCACCACACTCGCCCACCCACTCACCACACTCGCCCACCTACTCACCACACTCGCCCACCCACTCACTACACTCACCCACCCTCTCACCACACTCACCCACCCACTCACCACACTCACCCACCTTCTCACCACAATCACCCACCCACTCACCACACTCACCCACCTACTCACCACACTCGCCCACCCACTCACCACACTCACCCACCTTCTCACCACACTCACCCACCTTCTCACCACACTCGCCCACCTACTGACAACACTCGCCCACCCACTCACCACACTCGCCCACCCACTCACCACACTCACCCACCTTCTCACCACACTCGCCCACCCACTCACCACACTCGCCCACCCACTCACCACATTCACCCACCCACTCACCACACTCGCCCACCTACTCACCACACTCACCCACCCACTCACCACACTCGCCCACCCACTCACCACACTCGCCCACCTACACACCACACTCACCCACTTACTCACCACACTTACCCACCTACTCACCACACTCACCCACCTACTCGCTACACTCGCCCACCTACTCACCACACTCCCTCACCTACTCACCAGACTCGCCCACCTACTCGCCACTCTGTTTCCTGTGAATGTGTTGCCTGTGACTGTTGCCTGCGACTGTTGCCTGTGACTGTGTTGCCTGCGACTGTGTTGCCTGTGACTGTGTTGCCTGTGACTGTGTTGCCTGTGACTGTGTTGCCTGTGACTGTGTTGCCTGCGACTGTTGCCTGTGACTGTTGCCTGCGTGTTGTTAGGAGTCACCAGGATTCTGTCGCCAAGAAATTCTTCTGACCCCCCACCACCCCCGTCCGTGACTCAACTTGATCCCCGTGGGGTGGGGGCTGAGACCCCCTTGTGTGGGGGGAGGAGCAGGCAAGGTTCACGTGTGGGGGAGGGGTGAGGGGGGGTCTCCACTCGTTCATGACCGTACGGGATTGATCACGTGGGATATGTTTATTGTTGTTGTCGTTAAAATTGAGAACACAGCGAGAGAGACGGCGCCTCTGTGATGATGAGAGTGAGTGGCGTGCGGACGGTGGGGGGGGAGGGGGGGGTGACGTTCGCGTGGGGGTGCGTGGGGCTGAGTAATTAAGGAGCCGGGTAATTAGCGCGCACGATGCAATGAGCACCCGAGTCTCGCTCGCGTCTCCAACCGGACCCCCCACCGTGACCCTTCACCACGGCTACAGCCAGGTGAGAGGTCACGGGGACCCCCGTGAACCCCGGCTACCCCCAGCCCCCGCAACTCATCACCTGGCAGCAGCCGGGCCCCCCGTGACCCCCGTGACGACGTCGTCGCCTCCCCACGCAACCCCCAACGGGACAAACCGGGGTCTCGCTTGTCCCTCCCCCTAGCCCTGACCCCTGACACGTAGACCAATCTGTGACCAGCTCTCACCCCCCTCCCCTTCCCCCGTACCCCCCCCCGCCACCGCATCACTCGAGGTTCCAGGAGCCCAGGACCCCCCACGACTTGAGTTTGACGTAGGCGAGGCCCAGGCAGGCGAACATGGCCATGAGTACGAGCACGATGGCCGCCACACGGCCCCCCTGGGGCTGAATGTTGGTGGTGAGGTACTTCTGTGGACACAGCAGAGCACAGCGGTCAGCTCGCCCAGGTGGGGCTGGACGCCTCGCCCACGTTACCTCGATAGACAAACATTCCCCGTGCGGCCTTGACCGACCGACGGGGCAAGTGCTGTTAGCGGGCACCTACGAAGGCCGGCACCGGCACCACGCCCGGCCGCCTTTGGCTGCCTTCACTACACACCGCTCCAGGTACTCATTTTAGGCTGAGTTGATCTAGGGGAGGCCCGGGATCGGTTCAGATAATCGTCGCTGGTGTTGGTCGTGAGCGGGAATCGAACTCGGGTCGCCGGGTTTCGTAGCGCTATCCGCTATCCGCTGCATCTCTCCGCAGAGACTTTACATCGCACGCACGCACCTACACCACATTGCTTTATGATGCTCAATGAACACGCTGCTGAAGCAGGCGCAAGGGAGCTCGCGACCACTGCCCCCTTACTTGGCAGGGTCCGACTCGAGCTGAGGGCCGGGGCTGAGAGAATTCCTTGGTGAGAGAATTCCTTGGTGAGAGAATTCCTTGGTGAGAGAATTCCTTGGTGAGACTTCCCCGAGGAATTTATTGCAATTCCCCCCTTCACCCCCTCTGCTACTCACCTGGCGGCCGGGCTCCTTGAACTGTAGCCGCTCGACCTCGCTGTCGTCCAGCACGCACACGCCGTCCTCCAGGAACATGCTCTTGCACTTGGACGCTATCTGGTCAATCACCTCGTCCCTGGGGGGGCAGGGTGGGTGGGACATGAGCACAAGTGTGCGGGAGAATTTTCAAGTGAGTTCGTAGGTGAGTGGACAGCTGAGTGTAGAGGTGAGTGTATATGTGAGTCGGTGAGCAGAGAGCTGAGTGTAGAGGTGAGTGTGTATGTGAGTGGGTGAGCAGACAGCTGAGTGTATAGGTGAGTGTGTATGTGCGTCGGTGAGTGGACAGCTGATTGTAAAGGTGAGTGTATATGTGAGTCGGTGAGCAGACAGCTGAGTGTAGAGGTGAGTGTGTATGTGAGTCGGTGAGTGGACAGCTAAGTGTAGAGGTGAGTGTGTATGTGAGTCGGTGAGCAGACAGCTGAGTGTAGAGGTGAGTGTGTATGTGAGTGGGTGAGCAGACAGCTGAGTGTATAGGTGAGTGTGTATGTGAGTCGGTGAGCAGACAGCTGAGTGTAGAGGTGAGTGTGTATGTGAGTGGGTGAGCAGACAGCTGAGTGTAGAGGTGAGTGTGTATGTGAGTCGGTGCGCAGACAGCTGAGTGTAGAGGTGAGTGTGTATGTGAGTCGGTGAGTGGACAGCTGAGTGTAGAGGTGAGTGTGTATGTGAGTCGGTGAGCAGACAGCTGAGTGTAGAGGTGAGTGTGTATGTGAGTCGGTGAGCAGACAGCTGAGTGTAGAGGTGAGTGTATGTGAGTCGGTGCGCAGACAGCTGAGTGTAGAGGTGAGTGTGTATGTGAGTCGGTGAGCAGACAGCTGCGTGTAGAGGTGAGTGTGTATGTGAGTCGGTGAGCAGACAGCTGAGTGTAGAGGTGAGTGGACAGGTGAGTGGACAGCTGAGTGTAGAGGTGAGTGTGTATGTGAGTCGGTGAGTGAACAGCTGAGTGTAGAGGTGAGTGTGTATGTGAGTCGGTGAGCAGACAGCTGAGTGTAGAGGTGAGTGGACAGGTGAGTGGACAGGTGAGTGTAGAGGTGAGTGGACAGGTGAGTGTAGAGGTGAGTGGACAGGTGAGTGGACAGGTGAGTGGACAGGTGAGTGTGCGTCACCCACAGGGGGCTCCACGGGGGGGGCACCTCCTCCCCCTCCTCGGCCTGGAAGCCCTCGGTGAGGAAGAACATGAGCGAGTCGAAAGTCACCTCATGCTTCTCCAGGTTGAACGTGTACATCACCCCCTTGGCCAGGCTGCGGGGGCGGGAGCGGTGGCGTCGTGGTTAGCGCGCTACGGACGCAGCCCACCTGAGTCCAAGCTCACGACCAATGACGGTGGCGGAATGTTTGAAACGGTTTCTGAGCCTCCCCTAGGTAGACTCAGCCTTAAATGAGTACGTGGTGCGGTGTGTCACCATCACCACTGGGGAGACAAAGGCGGCCGGCCCGTGGTGCTGACCACCCACCCCCTCGTGTGCCGTGCCGGCCTTCACAGGTGCTGCTACTCGCTAACGGCACTTGCCCCTACAGTCTGTTACAGGCTGCACCTTCCCTGTATGAGTGTTGAGCGTCCTTCGCACCGGATGTCGCCAATCGTGCTACGTCTAGTGCGGCACCGGAGCATCCACACTGAACAGCAACACCCGCCGCTCACCACGGCGCTTGTGCCAGGCTAGGTGCGCCTTGAGAACACCCAGGCGCACACGCAGCCGCAGGTCGCTCATCTCCGTCGTACTGAGCCACGGGTGGAAATTCCTCATTCCCATGACGAGGACAGCTGACCTTGCGCAGAGTGGTATTGACCCGTCACGGATAATGATGAAGATGACGATGAGGAATGGTAGCAATGCTCCTGATAGTTGTATCGACTGCACTGATCGATCGTGTTGATGATGATGATGCTAATGGTGATGCTGATGATGGTGATGCTCTGGATGGTGATGCTGATCGTGATGATGGTGATGCTGGTGGTGATACTGATGGTGATGGTGCTGATGGTGGTGATACTGATGGTGATGACGGTGATGTAAGATGAGAGATGTAATCGCTCTGAACTCGTGGCCGCCCGTGACCTTGACGTGACCTTGACGTGACCTTGACGTGACCTGGACCTCACCTGCTCCCGGACTCCACTAGTCGCTCGCTCCTGTGATATTTTAGCTTCACTTCCTCCTGCTTGATCCTGGGGGGACGAGGGTGGGGGGTGGTGGGGGTGGTAACACGAAGCGGGGATCAGATGAGGTTCGGTGAGGGTGGGTGACCTCTACCCCCGGTCCCGTTCTTGCCGAGAGACACCAACGCCTTCTCACGCCGGGGAGTCCTGCCGCAGGCCACATCTTCAAGGGGACCCCCGTGTAAGGGACCCCCCCCCCCCCCGCCCCGTGTAAGGGTCCCCCGTGCTAGGGGGTACGCACAGGATGATGGTGGGGAAGCAGCCGCGCTTGACCCCGAAGCGCTTGACCAGTCCCTCTGTGGTCTCCGAGTCCATGTCCACCACCCCCACCCGCGCCTCGCTGCGCGCCCTGCCACACACCCCGCGCCACCATCACCACCATCACCACCACAACACCACCATCACCACCAACACAATCAACACCACTAACATCACCACCAACACCACCATCATCAACACCAACACCATCAACACCAACACCATCAACACCAACACCATCAACACCAACACCATCAACACCACTAACATCACAACCATCACCACCATCACCACCATCACCACCACCAACACCACTAACACCACTAACATCACCAACACCACCATCACCACCAACACCACCATCACCACCATCAACACCACAACACCATCAACACCACTAACATCACCACCATCACCACCATCAACACCATCAACACCACTAACATCACCACCAATACCCCACGCCACCATCACCACCATCAACACCATCAACACCATCAACACCAACACCATCAACACCAACACCATCAACACCACCACCAATACCCCTCGCCACCATCAACACCACCACCACCATCAACACCATCAACACCAACACCACCACCAACACCAACACCATCAACACCACTAACATCAACACCACTAACATCACCAACACCACCAACACCACCACCAACACCACCACCAACACCCCTAACATCACCAACACCATCAACACCACCACCACCAAACAAAGATCCCCCGTGTAGCCTTAACAGATTGTTGCGGCAAGTGCTGTGAGCGAGCAGCAGCTCTGAAGGACGGCCACCCACGAGGGGGGCGTGGCCAAGCACCACACCCGGCCGCCTTTGTCTCCCCAGTTGTGAATGTTTTACACACAACCGGTACTTATTTGAGGCTGAGTCGACTTAGGGGAGGCCAAGGACCGGTTCAACACTGATGTTGGTTTGTAGCGCAGCGCGCGAACAGCTCCACTACCGCTCCATCACCACCAGCAGTAACAGCATGATTAGAATCGGCAGCGTCAATATTTGTATCGTCATCAGCATCATCATCAGTCGCCCCCATGGCAACCACCCCACTCACTTGGCCGCCACGGCTCCCATCACGGGCACCAAGGGCCGCACCTCGTCACACGACGGCTCGTAGCTGCGGATTGAATAAAAACACGTGGTGTGAGTGAGTACACGTGGTGTGTGTGAGTACACATGGTGTGTGTGTACACGTGGTGTGTGTGTGTACACGTGGTGTGTGTGTACACGTGGTGTGAGTGAGTGTACACATGGTGTGTGTGTACACGTGGTGTGTGTGTGAGTACACATGGTGTGTGTGTACACGTGGTGTGTGTGTGTACACGTGGTGTGTGTGTACACGTGGTGTGTGTGTGTACACGTGGTGTGTGTGAGTACACGTGGTGTGAGTACACGTGGTGTGAGTGAGTACACGTGGTGTGAGTGAGTACACGTGGTGTGTGTGAGTACACGTGGTGTGTGTGTGTACACGTGGTGTGTGTGCACGTGGTGTGTGTGAGTACACGTGGTGTGTGTGTACACGTGGTGTGTGTGTGTACACGTGGTGTGAGTGAGTACACGTGGTGTGTGTACACGTGGTGTGTGTGTGTGTACACGTGGTGTGAGTGTGTGTGTACACGTGGTGTGAGTCCACGTGTTGTGTGAGTACACGTGGTGTGTGAGTACACGTGGTGTGTGTGAGTGAGTACACGTGGTGTGTGTGAGTACACGTGGTGTGTGTGTGTACACGTGGTGTGAGTGAGTACACGTGGTGTGTGTGTACACGTGGTGTGTGTGTACACGTGGTGTGAGTGAGTACACGTGGTGTGAGTGAGTACACGTGGTGTGTGTGTACACGTGGTGTGTGTGTACACGTGGTGTGTGTGAGTACACGTGGTGTGTGTGTACACGTGGTGTGTGTGTGAGTACACGTGGTGTGTGTGAGTACACGTGGTGTGAGTGAGTGACACGTGGGGTGTGTGTACACGTGGTGTGTGTGTGTACACGTGATGTGTGTGAGTACACGTGGTGTGTGTGAGTCCACGTGGTGTGAGTGAGTACACGTGGTGTGTGTGTGTACACGTGGTGTGAGTGTGTACACGTGGTGTGAGTGTGTACACGTGGTGTGTGTGTACACGTGGTGTGTGTGTGTACACGTGGTGTGAGTGAGTACACGTGGTGTGTGTGTACACGTGGTGTGTGTGTACACGTGGTGTGTGTGTTCAAGTGGTGTGAGTGAGTACACGTGGTGTGTGTACACGTGGTGTGTGTGTGTGTGTGTACACGTGGTGTGAGTGTGTGTGTACACGTGGTGTGAGTCCACGTGTTGTGTGAGTACACGTGGTGTGTGTGAGTACACGTGGTGTGTGTGAGTGAGTACACGTGGTGTGTGTGAGTACACGTGGTGTGTGTGTACACGTGGTGTGAGTGAGTACACGTGGTGTGTGTGTACACGTGGTGTGTGTGAGTACACGTGGTGTGTGTGAGTACACGTGGTGTGAGTGAGTGACACGTGGGGTGTGTGTACACGTGGTGTGTGTGTGTGTGTACACGTGATGTGTGTGAGTACACGTGGTGTGTGTGAGTCCACGTGGTGTGAGTGAGTACACGTGGTGTGTGTGTGTACACGTGGTGTGAGTGTGTACACGTGGTGTGTGTGAGTACACGTGGTGTGTGTGAGTACACGTGGTGTGTGTGAGTGAGTACACGTGGTGTGAGTCAACGTGGTGTGTGTGTACACGTGGTGTGTGTGTACACGTGGTGTGTGTGTTCAAGTGGTGTGAGTGAGTACACGTGGTGTGTGTACACGTGGTGTGTGTGTGTGTACACGTGGTGTGAGTGAGTACACGTGGTGTGTGTGTACACGTGGTGTGTGTGAGTACACGTGGTGTGAGTGAGTGACACGTGGGGTGTGTGTAAACGTGGTGTGTGTGTGTACACGTGATGTGTGTGAGTACACGTGGTGTGTGTGAGTCCACGTGGTGTGAGTGAGTACACGTGGTGTGTGTGTGTACACGTGGTGTGAGTGTGTACACGTGGTGTGTGTGAGTACACGTGGTGTGTGTGAGTACACGTGGTGTGTGTGAGTGAGTACACGTGGTGTGAGTCAACGTGGTGTGTGTACACGTGGTGTGTGTGTACACGTGGTGTGTGTGTACAAGTGGTGTGAGTGAGTACACGTGGTGTGTGTGAGTGAGTACACGTGGTGTGAGTACACGTGGTGTGTGTGAGTACACGTGGTGTGTGTGAGTGAGTGACACGTGGTGTGTGTGTGTACACGTGGTGTGTGTGTCTGTACACGTGGTGTGTGTACACGTGGTGTGTGTGAGTGCACGTGGTGTGTGTGAGTCCACGTGGTGTGAGAACACGTGGTGTGTGTGCGTACACGTGGTGTGTGTGAGTACACGTGGTGTGTGTGAGTGACACGTGGTGTGTGTGTACACGTGGTGTGTGTGTGTGTACACGTGGTGTGTGTAAGTACACGTGGTGTGTGTGAGTACACGTGGTGTGTGTGTACACGTGGTGTGAGTGTGTACACGTGGTGTGTGTGAGTGAGTACACGTGGTGTGAGTACACGTGGTGTGTGTGAGTACACGTGGTGTGTGTGAGTGAGTGACACGTGGTGTGTGTGTACACGTGGTGTGTGTGTCTGTACACGTGGTGTGTGTACACGTGGTGTGTGTGAGTGCACGTGGTGTGTGTGAGTCCACGTGGTGTGAGAACACGTGGTGTGTGTGCGTACACGTGCTGTGTGTGAGTACACGTGGTGTGTGTGAGTGACACGTGATGTGTGTGTACACGTGGTGTATGTGTGTGTACACGTGGTGTGTGTAAGTACACGTGGTGTGTGTGAGTCCACGTGGTGTGTGTGAGTACACGTGATATGTGTGTACACGTGGTGTGTGTACACGTGGTGTGTGTGTGTACACGTGGTGTGTGAGTGAGTACACGTGGTGTGTGTGAGTCCACGTGGTGTGTGTGTACACGTGGTGTGAGTGAGTACACGTGGTGTGTGTGTACACGTGGTGTGTGAGTGAGTACACGTGGTGTGAGTGAGTGAGTGAGTACACGTGGTGTGTGTGTGTGTACACGTGGTGTGTGTGAGTGAGTACACGTGGTGTGCGTGATTGAGTGCACGTGGTGTGTGTGAGTCCACGTGGTGTGTGTGTACACGTGGTGTGTGTGAGTGAGTACACGTGGTGTGTGTGTGAGTAAGTACACGTGGTGTGTGTGAGTAAGTACACATGGTGTGTGTGAGTACACATGGTGTGTGAGTACACGTAGTGTGCGTGTGTACACGTGGTGTGTGTGTGTGTACACGTGGTGTGAGTACACGTGGTGTGTGTGTGTGTGTGTACACGTGGTATGAGTGACACGTGGTGTGCGTGAGTACACGTGGTGTGCGTGAGTACACGTGGTGTGCGTGAGTGACACGTGGTGTGAGTGTGTACACGTGGTGTGCGTGAGTGACACGTGGTGTGAGTGTGTACACGTGGTGTGTGTGAGTACACGTGGTGTGAGTGACACGTGGTGTGCGTACACGTGGTGTGAGTGACACGTGGTGTGCGTTAGTGACACGTGGCGTGAGTGACACGTGGTGTGATTGTATACACGTGGTGTGAGTGTGTACACGTGGTGTGAGTGACACGTGGTGTGAGTGAGTGTCACGTGGTGTGGGTGTGTGACACGTGGCGTGAGTGAGTACACGTGGTGTGAGTGAGTACACGTGGTGTGAGTGACACGTGGTGTGAGTGAGTACACGTGGTGTGTGTGTGTACACGTGGTGTGAGTACACGTGGTGTGTGTGTACACGTGGTGTGAGTGACACGTGGTGTGAGTGACACGTGGGTGTTTGAGTGACACGTGGTGTGAGTGACACGTGGTGTGAGTGACACGTGGTGTGCGTGAGTGACACGTGGCGTGAGTGACACGTGGCGTGAGTGTGTACACGTGGTGTGAGTGACACGTGGTGTGAGCAACACGTGGTGTGAGTGTGTACACGTGGTGTGAGTGACACATGGTGTGAGTGACACGTGATGTGAGTGACACGTGGTGTGCGTGAGTACACGTGGTGTGTGTGTACACGTGGTGTGAGTACACATGGTGTGTGTGTACACGTGGTGTGTGTGAGTGACACGTGGTGTGAGTGACACGTGGTGTGAGTGTGTACACGTGGTGTGAGTGACACATGGTGTGAGTGACACGTGGTGTGCGTGAGTGACACGTGGCGTGAGTGACACGTGGTGTGAGTGTGTACACGTGGTGTGAGTGTGTACACGTGGTGTGAGTGACACGTGGTGTAAGTGAGTGACACGTGGTGTGAGTGACACGTTGTGTGAGTGACACGTGGTGTGCGTGAGTACACGTGGTGTGAGTGACACGTGGTGTGAGTGAGTGACACGTGGTGTGAGTGACACGTGGTGTGAGTGACACGTGGTGTGTGGGAGTGAGCACACGTGGTGTGAGTGAGCACTTGTGGTGTGAGTGACACGTGGTGTGTGTGAGTGACACGTGGTGTGAGTGACACGTGGTGTGAGTGACACGTGGTGTGCGTGAATACACGTGGTGTGAGTGACACGTGGTGTGCGTGAGTGACACGTGGCGTGAGTGTACACGTGGTGTGAGTGAGTGACACGTGGTATGAGTGAGTGACACGTGGTGTGCGTGACACGTGGTGTGAGTGTGTACACGTGGTGTGAGTGAGTGACATGTGGTGTGAGTGAGTGACACGTGGTGTGAGTGACACGTGGTGTGAGTGACACGTGGTGTGAGTGAGTGACACGTGGTATGAGTGAGTGACACGTGGTGTGCGTGACACGTGGTGTGAGTGACACGTGGTGTGAGTGAGTGACACGTGGTATGAGTGAGTGACACGTGGTGTGCGTGACACGTGGTGTGTGCACTCGGCTCACAACATCACGAGCCACGTGGCCGGGGCGCCCTTCTGCTGGCTCCGGGTCGAGTTCTCAAAGTTGGCCCCGTGGAGTCGCTCGAGGCGAGCCCCCCGCGACTCCTCCACCCAGTCCACCACGGCCTGCGCCACGAAGGCGCCTGCCAACGAGAGCCCCCCACCCCCAGTCGTCAGTCACGGGGGGGGGGGGGGGGTGACAACACGCGCAGCAGCAGCAGCAGGCATCAGCCCCTCGTGGCAGCACACGAATGCCCTCCGCACGCCCTCGACCACTCGTGCCATCAGACTCCTGCAGCCGCGGCGTCCACAAGCAGCTGGAGATGAGAAATTAATTTACTCATAAAAAAACACTTTTCTGTAAATTGTGTAGTTGCGTTTAAAAATATTAGAACACTATGAATCTTTCAACGTGAATTGCCGAATGAAGACAACATTTAAAGTTGTTCGTATTAGAAACCGCTGCTACGGCAAGTCTGAGTAGTGCCACGGGGAGGTCTCGGGGGGGTGGCTGTGAAGGCGTCCTCCGAGTGACACATTTCCCTTCGTTCGCTGCGATGAGCAGCTTCATGGCACTGCAGCCACGCCGTTTGAAACCCACTCAGGGCGGTGGAAGAGGAGGCCACGGCTGTCGTGAGAGACGATGTCACAACGCGAGGTGGCACCGTGCTAAGAGACCAGCTCAGGTCCACACGCTCGAGGCTTTTGGCGGTGTGAAAGGGGATTGTGTAGTGTGGACTTGAGCGTCAAGGGGACAGCATTGGAGTGCTTTGTTGGTTTGTTTAGGATTGTTTATAGATGCATTCCTTTGGTAGACAAGACAGTGATATCACCTGCACGGGAAGGCCAATAACACGACGAGGTTTTTCTTAATTAGAACACCGTCAGATTTTGAGAGGTCACTCACAATAGCCCCACCTAGTGGACATGTCACGAGCCGCCACTGCCGGCCTGCCCGCCTGACCTCTCACCTGGTCACTCGACATCAACCTGAACCTTAAGCTTGATGCTAATGCTGCTGACTCTACTGATGCTGCCGCTGATGATGATGATGCAGCGGATGGTGCTGTTGCTGCCGCTACTGCTGCCGCTGATGATCATTCTAGTGCTGATGATGATGGTATGTTGAACTTCTTTCGCACCGTACGTAGACAAACGTGCTAATCGAAGGTGCGATGATCGTGTGCGTACCGTACTCGTGCCGATGCTGCTGCTACTACTGCTGTCCGATTACCGTCACCATCTGAATTACCTGGCTCACCGGATCTGAGCTATCCGGCTCGCTGCTGCTGACGGTGCTGGTGGTGCCGCTTGTGGCTCCTCACCCTGGTAGATCACGGGCGTGGAAGCGGCGAAGAGGACGAGGCTCGGGAACTTCCACTCGGCGTCGAGGCCGAAGGCCGGGGTCCCCCCGCGGTGCCTCCACACGGCCACGCGGCGCTCCGCGGGCCCCGCCCTGAGAGCCTCAGCCGCCTCCTTCACCACGAGCAGCGATGCCTTGCAGGTGGGGCAACCCTCCTCCGTGTCTGTGGCGGCCGCAGGGGCAGGGGGCCAGCTCATAACACTTCTCATGGACAGTTGATAATCAATTTGTTATATACAGTTTAACACGTAGGCTTTCGCGACCAATATTATTCATAATAAAGGTTTTTGGGTTAGATCGCGTTATTTATAAATGTGTCGTAACCCTCCACCACCCGACACGGCCAATCAGCAAAAAAAGGTGTCACGTTGACAAAAGACAAATAATTCACTACTTTAGCCCACCGGTGTGTTGAAGAGTGAATCGACATTTAATTACTAATCTACAACTCATTACTAATCATAACCAATTACTGATTACTAATCGATTATATAATTACAATACCCCCCCTCCGCCTCTAATCACTGCACCTGATATGAGTTAAGTGATGACGTCACCCTGCTGCTCTATATAAAACCGGGAGCAAGCAAGGGCTTTACCATTCTGGCGAATTGCCCGATGATGCTGGATGTATTTACCAGCGAAACGTCGTACTCAAACTGTAAATGTGGATTCACTCTTCAACACACCGGTGGGCTAAAGTAGTGAACTATTTGTCTTTTGTCAATGTGACACCTTTTTTTGCTGATTGGCCGTGTCGGGTGGTGGAGGGTTACGACACATTTATAAATAACGCGATCTAACCCAAAAACCTTTATTATGAATTTGTTATGTACAGTTCGTAATCAAGTAATTATATAAGTTCATCATCAAATAATTATATATAGTTCTCAATCAAATTATTATATACAGTTTATAATGAAATTATTATATACAGTTTGTGATCAAATAATTATAAAAAGTTCATAATTCAGGTTTTTCGGTCATATCGCGTAAGTATAAATGTGTCGTAACCCTCCACCAGTGTAGTATATAGTGTAGTGTATAGTGTGGTGTATAGTGTAGTGTATAGTGTAGTGTATAGTGGAGTGTATAGTGTAGGGTATAGTGTACGTAGTGTATAGTGTAGTGTATAGTGTAGTATACTACTTCAGCCCACCTGGTGTGTTGGCAAATCGCCCGATGATGCTGCTGGATGTAAATCCCAGCGAAGCGTCACGGTGCTACTCAAATTGTAAATGTTGTGGATTTACTCTCCAACACACTGGTGGGCTGAAGTAGTATACTACACTATACACTACACTATACACTACACTATACACTACACTATACACTACACTATACACTACACTATACACTACACAGTACACTACACAATACACTACACTATACTATACACCACACTATATACTACACTATACTATACACCACACTATATACTACACTATACTATACACCACACTATACACTACACTATACACTACACTATACACTACACTACACACTACACTATACACTACACTATACACTACACTATACACCACACTATACACTACACTATACACCACACTATACACTACACTATACACTACACTATACACTACACTATACACTACACTATACACTACAATACACACTACACTATACACTACACTATACACTACACTATACTATACACCACACTATACACTACACTTTACACCACACTATACACTACACTATACTATACACCACACTATATACTACACTATACACTACTATACACCACATTATACACTACTATACACCACACTATACACTACACTATACACCACACTATACACCACACTATACACCATACACCACACTATACTATACACCACACTATACATTACACTATGCACTACACTATACACCACACTATACTATACACCACATTATACACTACTATACACTACACTATACACTACACTATACACTACACTATATTATACACCACACTATATACTACACTATACACTACTATACACCACATTATACACTACTATACACCACACTATACACTACACTATACACCACACTATACACCACACTATACACCACACTATACACCACACTATACACCACACTATATACTACACTATACACTACACTATACACTACTATACACTACACTATACACTACACTATACACCACACTATACACCACACTATATACTACACTATACACTACACTATACACCACACTATACACCAGACTATACACTACACTATACACTACGTACACTATACACTACACTATACACTACACTATACACTATACTATACACTACACTATACACTACACAATACACTACAGTATACACTACACTATACACTACGTACACTAGACAACTACACTATGGTCGTGACTAATGGGCACGTTTTATTTACGTGACAAACCTTTCTGGCTGTGTTGGGTGGTGGAGGCTTACAACACATTTATACTAACGCGATCTAACACAAAAAAAACCTTGATTATGAATAATATTGGTCGCGAAAGCCTCCTGCATGTTAAACTGAATTCTATCGAGTATTAAATAATACGTTTCGCTGGCTGGAGGACGGACGAGGAGGAACAAACAGACGAGGAGCAGTGAAGGCAGCAGCAGCAGCAGCCACGCGGTGGTGAGGTTGCAGTGCTGACAACGATTGCCCGAACTCTGCGGCCCTCTAGGTATGAGGAAGTGTTACCGGCTTACACGTGCGGAAATCAGCCGAAGCAAGCGGAGAAACCCCACGTTGGGGGGGTAAGCGCTCTACCCCCTGAAGACGGGAACCGGTGGAGTCCACGTGCTCACTGAGCCGCCTTGTGGCGAGCCCAGGGCACATGGCTCCTCCTCGACGCCCATGGGAAGGGAGTTTCAAGTAATCTGTGTGTGATCCACTAACCCTCACTGCTGCCTCCACAGTGCTGGATGACAGGCCACGTGCAGTGCAGCCACCACTGCCCGGCTGATGATGGTGGTGATGATGATGGTGGTGATGATGATGATGGTGGTGGTGGTGGTGGTGATGATGATGATGGTGGTGGTGGTGGTGGTGGTGATGATGATGGTGGTGATGATGATGATGGTGGTGGTGATGATGATGATGGTGGTGGTGGTGGTGATGATGATGATGGTGGTGGTGATGATGATGATGGTGGTGGTGGTGATGATGATGGTGGTGGTGATGATGGTGGTGGTCGTATTCATCAGACAAATGTCGTTGGTGATGCCGCTGCGTTGGCAGTGGTGCACAAACAACTCAACACGTCCCGTGTCAAGAACAACGCTGCGTGTGTGTGTGGCCTTTAAAGGAAATATATAACAGGCGTCGTTTCGAGCAATTGCCCCTTCATAGCAACAACAACAAAGCCGAGCCATTGCCCGAAACGTCGCCTGTTATCTGCGTGTCCACCGTGAGCCCACCGCATTAGTGGACCGCGTGGAGGAGTTGAGCGAAACAATGAGCACGTGGACACCGACACACAGTGAGCACGTGGACACTGACACAGTGAGCACGTGGACACCGACACAGTGAACACGTGGACACCGACACAGTGAACACGTGGACACCGACACAGTGAGCACGTGGACACCGACACACAGTGAGCACGTGGACACTGACACAGTGAGCACGTGGACACCGACACAGTGAGCACGTGGACACCGACACAGTGAACACGTGGACACCGACACAGTGAGCACGTGGACACCAACACAGTGGGCACGTGGACACTGACACAGTGAGCACGTGGACACCGACACACAGTGAGCACGTGGACACTGACACAGTGAGCACGTGGACACCGACACAGTGAGCACGTGGACACCGACACAGTGAACACGTGGACACCGACACAGTGAGCACGTGGACACCGACACAGTGAGCACGTGGACACCGACACAGTGAGCACGTGGACACCGACACACAGTGAGCACGTGGACACTGACACAGTCAACACGTGGACACCGACACACAGTGAGCACGTGGACACCGACACGGTGAGCACGTGGACACCGACACGGTGAGCACGTGGACACCGACACACAGTGAACACGTGGACACCGACACAGTGAGCACGTGGACACCGACACAGTGAACACGTGGACACCGACACACAGTGAACACGTGGACACCGACACAGTGAGCACGTGGACACCAACACACAGTGAGAACGTGGACCACCGACACAGTGAACACGTGGACACCGACACACAGTGAACACGTGGACACCGACACAGTGAGCACGTGGACACTGACACAGTGAGCACGTGGACACCGACACACAGTGAGCACGTGGACACTGACACAGTGAGCACGTGGACACCGACACACAGTGAACACGTGGACACCGACACAGTGAGCACGTGGACACTGACACAGTGAGCACGTGGACACCGACACACAGTGAGCACGTGGACACCGACACAGTGAGCACGTGGACACTGACACAGTGAGCACGTGGACACCGACACACAGTGAACACGTGGACACCGACACAGTGAGCACGTGGACACCGACACACAGTGAGCACGTGGACACCGACACAGTGAGCACGTGGACACCGACACACAGTGAGCACGTGGACACCGACACACAGTGAGCACGTGGACACCGACACAGTGAGCACGTGGACACCGACACAGTGAACACGTGGACACCGACACAGTGAGCACGTGGACACTGACACACAGTGAGCACGTGGACACCGACACAGTGAGCACGTGGACACCGACACAGTGAGCACGTGGACACCGACACAGTGAGCACGTGGACACTGACACACAGTGAGCACGTGGACACCGACACAGTGAGCACGTGGACACCGACACACAGTGAGCACGTGGACACCGACACAGTGAACACGTGGACACCGACACACAGTGAACACGTGGACACCGACACAGTGAGCACGTGGACACCAAACACACAGTGAGCACGTGGACACCGACACACAGTGAACACGTGGACACCGACACACAGTGAACACGTGGACACCGACACAGTGAGCACGTGGACACTGACACAGTGAGCACGTGGACACCGACACACAGTGAGCACGTGGACACCGACACAGTGAGCACGTGGACACCAACACATAGTGAGCACGTGGACACCGACACAGTGAGCACGTGGACACCGACACACAGTGAGCACGTGGACACCGACACACAGTGAGCACGTGGACACCGACACACAGTGAGCACGTGGACACCGACACAGTGAGCACGTGGACACCGACACACAGTGAGCACGTGGACACCGAC